AGTATGAATATTGATATGGGGGTTGCAAAAATTTTATAGTAAAATGTTTATAAATATATAAATACATAAATAAGCCCCTATAAGTTTAATATTTTTATTTTTTAAAAAAAAAAAATATAATTTTTTTATAACTGCATTATTATGCCGTTTTATTTATAACATACTCTTTATAAAATTTTAACAATTATATTTATAAATATAATAATTTTAATTTATTTATATATAATATATAATGTTAAATATATATAATCATTATCGATTATCCATTATTTATAATTATCGATGATATATAAAACCTTATTATAAGCTTCTTAATTTTTTGTAAAATTTATTCTAAAATAACTTAATTAATATTATTAAGTTATACTAATTAATTAAAAAATAAATAATATAAATATAAAATTTATATATTTCCCTTTTTATAAAATAACAAAATGCCTATAAATATGTAAATACATAAATAAATTTTTAAACAATTAATATAAAATATTTTTTAAAAAAAAATTTTTGTAAATTTTATCGCTAATCTTTTATAAACAAATTTAAACCAAAACAAATAATTATTAAATACATAACTCCTTATAGGGAGATATATAGTCTTTATATTTGCATTATTTATTTTTTGTTTGATTATATAAATTAATAATGTTAATTGGGTTATTTTGGAGTATATTTTTTTCGAAAGATTAGGGAATTTGTTAAAAGGTTTTGTATATTATTGATAACCATAAATGATAAGGATGATTGATGATGATTATATGTATTTGACATTATATATTAATGAATTGAGATTATTATATTTGTAAGTATAATTGTTAAAGTTTTATAGAGTGTATGTTGTAAATAAAAGGGCATGGCGATGGAGTTATGAAAAATTTATGAAAGATTTTTGTTTTTACGAAAATAGGAATATTGATTAATTATTATATAAATAATGATATATTTGAGGTATCCAATATGCTCTTTTTTTTAGGTACGAGGAAAAAAACGCTCGAATTACCGATTTCTACTCGATCCCCCCAAAAAAACGCTCGCCTCTCCCCCCCTCCCAAAAAAACGCTCGACCACATCCCCTTCTTCTATCCAGAGGAAGGAGGAATTGTTACATTTTTTAAATTTGCACTCGTTTGCGGATATTTACGCTTGTTTTGCGGACATTTGCATTCGTTTTGCACGTTGATTTCTGCTCGCTCCTTTTGAATATTCAGCGATCGATCATCTTGGAGGACCGACCGACCAGCCCGGTTTTGGGAAAAAACGCTCGAAATAGGAAAAAATGTATGTTTACCATATTTTGGTGACGACCCCTGGTGTTGCAATATGTTTGGGCTAAGGGCAGAAATTTATGTAACGAAGGGTGTTTTAGGTATGAATAGATATATATATATTTTTTATTTAATTTATATATTTTAATTATTGGAAAAGTATATAATTTAAAATATATATTTTGTATTTTTTATGGTAAAATTTATATTTATGAAGAAGATTATATATTAGTTGTACGCGGTATTATATATTGAATGAGGTGAAAGAATAGGTTAATGGTCGATCGAAGAATCGTTTTAGATGACGAGAATTAGAATTGATATTATTAGGGATTATACAGAAATTTGTATGTTGTATTTTTTAAAAAAAATGTTATGAGGATATTTATGGAAATTTGTTGGATGATAAGGGTTGGATTAGGTAGGATGGTTTTTATAAATCGTTATAAATGAGTTATAGAAAATATTGTATAATTATAGTATGTATATATAGTTTTTGTGTAGAATTTGCATATATGTTGTTATTGTTTTTAGTATTAAGGTGGTGAATTGAAATTTGTTGTTTTGTGTGTTTGGGTTGGGTGTGATTTGAGAATGGTTGTAGTAATATATAGGTCAAAAAAATATATTATAGATATTATATTTATTTTTTATTTGAGGTAATTCTTAGCATTTGTTGAAATTAAGAGTAATAGGGGGAATTTAAAGGATATTGTTTTTTTTAAAAAAAACATGGGGGTTTAATTTTGTGACGAAATATTATATAAATTAGATTTATTTGTTTTTTGAAAATAATTTTAAATTTTTATTGTTAAAGGAAATTTAGAAAACAAATCCGAGTTATAGAAATTAATTGAAAGGTAATTCTGCACAAAGATGAGATGAAAAAAGAATGAATGCATGCGAGCATATATATGTGGCGGGGAATAGAAATCTGCAAAAAGTGCAAACCTCTGCGGGTTTTGGCTTCTCCGGCTGGCTGAAAGCCATCCCGGTCGCGGCGTCTGACGGAGACGGGCTCGGGAAGGTCTCAGACGGGCTCGTGCCGGGACCATTGGCACGGACGCGTATATTTTCGCAAGGTTTAAATTTCGTGGCAGGCGCAGCATTTTGGCAAGGTCGGGTACAGATTTCGTGGCAGGTGTATCACTTTCGCAAGGTCAAATGCAGATTTCGTGACAGGCACGGCATTTTCTTATTTCTGGCATGGATGCATCGCAAATCCCATTGGCAAGGATGCGCAAGGCGGCGCATGCAGATTTCGTGGCAGGGGCAGCATTTTCGCGAGGTCAGGAATAGATTTCGTGGCAGGGACATCACTTTCGCAATTTCAAGTACAGAATTCGTGGCAGGTGCAGCATTTTCGCAAGGTTAAAATACAAAATTCGTGGCAGGCGTATCATTTTCGCAAGGTCAAGTACAGATTTCGTGGCAGGCGCAGCACTTTCGCGAGATCAAATACAAATTTCGTGGCAGGCGCAACACTTTTGCAAGATCAATTTTCGTAGCCGGGGTTCGAAAATCGCAACTTTTAAATGCGAAAATAGTAAGCGAAGTCAATTTTCGCAGCAGGGGGGGCTTGAAAATCGCAATTTTTAAGTACGAAAATAGTGCGCGAAGTCCACTTTCGCAGCCGGGGCTCGAAAATCGCAATTTTTAAGTACGAAAGTAGTACGTAAAGTCCACTTTCGCAGCTGGGGCTTGAAAATCGCAACTTTTAAATATAAAAGTAGTATATGAAATCCATTTTCGCAGTGGGGCTCGAAAATCACAACTTTTAAATACGAAAGTAGTACGCGAAGTCAAGATAGAAAAAGATAGAGAAAGAGATAGATAGATTGATACATAGAAAGAGAGAGAGAGAGAGAGCAAGAGAGATAGAGAGATATAGCAAGAGAGATAGAGAGATATATAAATAGAAAGAAAAATATATAGATAGATAGATAGAAAAATAGAGAGATAAATAAATAGTTAGATAAATGATAAACAGACAAATAAATAAATAGACAGATAGATAGATAGAGAGATAAATAAATAGAAATAAAGATGGAGAGAGATATATAGATAGGTAGATAGATAGAGAATTAAATAGATGGATAGATAGATAGATAAATAAATAGAGAAATAGATAAATAGATAGATAGATAGAGAAAGAAATAAATAGAGATATGGATAAATAGGTAAACCTATAGATAAATAAATAAATAAAAAGATAAAGAAATAGAGGGGTAGATAAATACACATGAGATAATGAGATAAAGAGATAGATAAATAGACAAATAGAGAGAAAGATGGATAAATAGGTAGAAAGATGGATAAATAGGTAAATAGAGGGATACATAAAGAAATATAGAGATAACCAAATAAGATAAATAGATAGATATATAAATAGATATGCGGGAGATAGATGGAGAGATAGATGGAGAGATAGATGGATAACTAAATAGAAAGAGATAAAGAAATAAAAAGACAGATAGAAAAAGAGAAAGATAGAAATAGAGGAATAAATAGAGAGATAGATAAATATATAGATATATAAGCAGATAAATAAATAACACAAGAGATAAATAAATAAGTAATTAGGTATAAATAAATAGAAAAAGATATATAAATAAACAAAAGAAAAAAAGAAAAGACAAATAAAAAGAAAGGAGGAAAGAAAGAAAAAAAGAAAAGAAGAAAGCAAAGAAGAAAGAAAGAATAACGGAAAAAAAGAATTAAGAAGAGAAAAATAAATAGTATATATATAAAATAATAATTCATTTCTAAATTATATTCTTAATAAATAACCATTCAAAATTATTTTATATTCCAAATTTATAATATATATTTATTTTAAAAAATAATATATATAAATTAAATAAATTTTATTTCTATATCATTTTAAATATCATTTAAAATTCTAATATATGTTAAAAATAATAATAATATCAACAAATTCATCCTTTTTTTTTAAAAAATATGTTTCAACCAAATCTCTAATAAGAAACAAAAAATATCATTTCAATCTATATATAATCTTCCTCAAATCTTCCATTCATCCTATTACAATCTTCCATAACCACAACATCATAACACCGAATATACTTTCATACTCAACCCTTACAAAAAAACATTTTTTTTTATTTATTTTTTTTTAAAATTAATCCTCAATTAAATATTCAAATCTTCAATCAAATTATAATCTCCATCTCAAATTTATCAAAACACAATTAAAATAATATAATTCCAAAATCATAAATCCTATTATAAAACCCATCAAAAACAATATTATTAAAGATTATTTCCAAAAATACACAAATCCAAATTCGAATTAAACTAATTATTTCCATTACATATATAAAATCAATATATTGTCAAAATCAATATACATAATGATATATGTTTTTAATTCACCCTCAATAATGTCTAATTACGTACGTATCCTCAACGTGTCCAAAAATAACCTCCACATGCCCTAACATACATACTATCCCACCAATCTTAAAAACCCCAAATAATTTTAAGTAGAGGTAATTAAACAAATACACGAACCCATTTAAAAAACAAAAAACGGAAAACACAAAAACAAAAACACCAATTTTCCGGAGACCTAAATCTTAGCTGAAATCGCACATTTGAGCCTTAACACGAAGTTACCTAGGCCAAGCGAAACGTAAGACGTTAATCGCTCTTGCAGCGGTAGATTATCAAGACACGCGCGCAGCTTATCTTGATATTCGAACGTAACACCATAATAGAAGCACTCTCGGCATAGCTCCCTCCTCCGGTTTTGTCGTGCGATTGCAACACCAGATCAAGAGGATCTCGGACGCATTGGCGACACAACCCTCTCCCCTGTTTGCAAGTCTTGAAGCCGGACGCGCTCCGCGCGGCCAACAACTGTCACATAAACATGTGACGTGCATATACGTGCATTGAAACTTTGACGTGCACAAGCCCTTGGCAACTACATGCCCGGCGCACGCCAGTTTAAAACATTTGCCAAAATCATGCTCTGTACAATCCCATCCACAAAAGACTCGCTTTTTTAGCAGCTCAAACCCGCGAGTTGGTGGGAGATACGGTGGTGCTAACTTGGGCAGGCCATTTGCCATTCGACCATTTGCGCCACTGACGTTCCTCAGAACCTGGGAATTGAGGCGGTGACTGTACATGACAAATATTTACCGTTGCTCAAAACCTTTCCCAGACGAGCCGAACAACATTTGGGTGCTTGCAGTTCACAACGACACCACGGCGTTCTGCCCCGGCCCTTTTGAGCTGATGAGCAAACAACTCTTAGCCAAGGGAATGCTGGGCTCAGTCCGTGAGCTGAGGACACACTGCTTCGCCAACGGGACGCGCGGCTTCTCGCTCCTCTGCGGCGGCTGGCGCAAGTTCGAGATGTACGACTCGAAGTCCTCTGAGTGCTGCTCCACCACAGCCAGGAAGCGCTTGAGCCGCGCGTGGTGCCGCAAGGCCGCGCGATGGAAGTCGTGCACGGAGCCCGACCGCGCGGCGCTGCTTGAAGCGGAGGTCTGCCGAACGGAGCAGCTCGGGGTGGCCCTGGCTGACTTCAATGCCTCGTACACGTTCTTGCGAAGAGACATGGGTGACTCCTGGTCGCAGGCGTGGCTGGAGCCAAAAAAACTCGGTATCGGAAACGATACAACGCGCCGTTGGGAGACTATTCCGCTGAGAAGCATTACATCTTAGGCAAACTAATTTCTGAGCTAAGATCGCGCAACGCCGAGCAACAAAGAACCACACAAACTTGGCAACTTGTTAAACATAGGCAAACATGATTAGGGTTGGCTGTAACCCCCTGATTCTGCCAGCAAATGAGGATTCTTTGCCAACAATTGTCCTCTTCCCTTGCAAACATGCTCTGCGTGTCGCCGGATGCTTGACTGAGTTTTCCAAGACTGCTTCGGGTTTTTTCCACGTCTGACTCTCTCCAAGCCGTTACCCGCAGATCTGTACACGCATTCGTCTTGGACGGATGGCATTTTTCTATCGCAAGTTGTCACATGAAGGTGTGGGGCACCAGAGGACGAAGCCTGATGTATCTTGCTCTCCAACTTCCTCCTCTGGAAATCGAGTGCAAACTCCATGATCAGCAAGCTGTCTATCTCACGGTAAGACATGCATCTTCAGTAGACAGAAACATGCAACGTCAGTAATATAGTAATTCACAACACAAGCTGCGGCTTGCTGATCAATAATTCAGTGCGGGAAGTCACACATGTCGGCTCCCATCCTGAGCAGGAATCAAGCATTGCTGCTTGAACCATCTCTTGCATCGAAGCTCAATTTTCCTACCAGCTCTGCCTGCAATGGCTTGAACTCATCGAATTGCAACTTTTGCTCATGCGAATTCAACGCGCTTCCATGGTGTCGTTTTTTTTTTTCAAGCCGACGTCCAAAAGGTAAGCACAAGCGCCTCGGACCGTGATCAACACAAGCAACTTGCAAGTAAAACCGGGGATGATTTTTGCAGTATTGGCGTGTGCCTCTCAGTTGACAAAGAGACCCCCATACATAGACTCACGGTCAATGGTTTATGGCGTGCACAAGCACTTGAACAACTCCAAACGCGTCATGATCATAAACTGTACCATGCCGCACTTGCTTTCACGCGTCCATCACTGAGGGTCATGTAGATGAACAACTAGTTGTGATTTCGAAGTAAACAACCCTGCTCTGATGGAGTCCTGCTTTACCCTCCATTGTCCGTCCAAAAGCTTGATTGATGCTTTCAAGGCCAGGCTTGAAACTTGCACCTCTCTCTCTCTCTCTCTCTCTTCTCTTTAAAATACGGCCCAGACCATGAAAACAGTGCTGCTCCCTTAGATTTATGTCATCACATGGCCTTCGGCACTCCGCGAGCAGCATGTCCAAATCCCCCACCTGCGAAAGCGAAGCAGGGCTCAGTGGACCACAATGTCGCGGAATAGGGGGATCCAACTAAAATGGTGGCTTTCCTTTTGATTGCCCCTTTAAAGGACCAGCAAATTGTTAAGGTGTTCATTGCCCTTTAACCAGCCCCAGCCAGCAAATTGGAGTTGTTCCTTTTGATTGCCCTTTTCACCAGCCCCAAGATGAACTTTGAAACACACCGCGTGGCCACACGGTCGGCGCAAAGCTCAACTCATCTCAAAGGGCAACCACTGCTCATGACGGGCAGGCCTGGTCTTCAGCTTCTCCTGCCAGGCGTTCAGCCCCAGCCCTCATGTCATAGGGCTTGAGAAGGAAACACGAAAGGCAGCCAGAACAAAATCGTGTCAGGTTTGTTTTCTGCTAAACCTAAATCTGCGGAGGCTGGCGACTTTCTCTTGAAAACATGTAAAGGTGATCGAAGATGCATGTTGCGTCCCTCAAGAACATGGTGCTTCTCTGGAGCATTGCAGTGCCAGCAGCCAAGGGGAATCCCTCAGAGTCTGGGTATGAAGTGGCGATTTGCAACGAGCAGAATGCAACGAGCGGGCAGGCAACGAGAGCCAGGCTCAGGCGGCTTTGTTCCGTAAAAAAATATGCCACGGGGGAAAGACCCCTCAACGCTAGGAGTTTTGGTTTATCTTCCTTTGGTGCTGTTGGGGGTGCGGACTCGGAAGCAGGGAGGGGTGGAGAGGCAAGAGCTACCATTCATGTTATTTTTTGGGACAAAGGAACGTGCGGGGCAGCAAGAATCAACGGCTGCAAGTCGTGAACGCTCCCGCGGTGTGAAACATAACCACTGGCGCCTGCCGTGCTGACTTCTTGCAAAGAAACCTGTCAACTCACACAAAGAAGTGTTCTCAACATGACTTTGCTCATATGCATCTGGCCTGGCGCGCGCCGCCTGAAGCAGGCAAAATGCAGGAGATATCGTCAAGCAACATGTGACTGAAGTTGAACGGCACGCTTGCAAATGCATGGCCTTTGTCCTCTGCAATCCTCTCCAGGCCAACCTGTCGAGAGCTTCAAGATTTGTCTGGGTTATCATTCGTCTCACTCAAACGCAACCAACTGGTCTGTGGAACTACTTGGCACAGCCACTTCGATTACCCTGCCTTCCGTGGTGGCATAAAACCACACAATCGTGCCAAAACTCTCAGGGCATGTCAAAAAGCTGCTACAAAGCTGCTACAAATTGTCTGCTCCCGCACCTTTCTGCGAGACTTCATGAGACTTGGAAGGTCCCAAGCCTCGCTCCTCAGCTTGCAGCTTGCGCGTAAGTCACCAGCAAACTGAGCAAGCTGCTGGGTCTGGGCGCTGCCTCGCAAGGCCAACAGCTCCCAGTTTTTGGGTGAGCTCACATGCATGTCTTCTGAAAGGGGTATTGTACTCAGTAAGTGGGTAATAGCCATGGTGAGATAACCCACAAAAGCCATGGCTATAAGTCTCGGCTCAGTGGGTTCTATCCAGGCTTCCTAACCACTTACTAAGTACCCGATCGCCCCTCTAAGTGCTGAAAGAAAACATGAGTTTGCATTTTTTATTCGGGGCCTTGAACAACTCAACTCACATTTTGACCAGAATTTGACAGAGCTTGTCACGGGACGGGACTGCATGGCACCTTCATGCGCTTCGTCTCCATTGGAAACGGCATCGTCCTGGCCAGGACCAGACATGAGAATTTTGAGAATAAGTTTTGTAGCTGAGTGCTTCTTAGAATAGGAAACCCACAAAAAGGGAGGTTCTTCTTTGGTTTCCCTTTAAACCATCCCAAAAAGGGTACTCTCACAAAAGACAAACCCACAGCCATGGAAGTTTGCCACCATGATGTATAGTCTTGTAAGCTTTTGAGCCCGCATCAACAAGGAGCGAGTGGAACCGTACACATCTAAATGAGGCTTTGAGCCCGCATGTCATGGTCTGCCCCTTAGTCACTGCAGCGAATATGCCGCAGCAGGTATGGGCGAGTCTTTCCAAGGGTCCCTTTTCTGGCATCCTTTCAAAGGAAATCAAAGGGCCCCCCAATGTTGGAGGTTCTCCCATGAGACAAGCTCGTATTCTGCCAAACCTCTCGAACTTGTCTGGTTTCCCATTCTCTTCAACCGCATTGAGCCACTTTGCCGTGCCTCATCGGCATCTTGCAGGATCCAGTTTGTTGGTTCCTCCTCAGCGTCCTTGGCAAACCCAACAGAGACTTACATGGCTGTGGCTCAAAAATATGTACCCAAAATGGCTTGCCCGGTCGGTAAATGGAAACATGGACTAAAACCTGCGGATTACCCAATTCCCGGTGGTGAACATTTTTGACCCATACCCACTTGGACAAAGAAGCAGCCTCATAGATATCCGGATCATCCTCCTCCAAAGCCTGCGAACGCACGGCACGAAATCGCCCTGAAGCCGGTCGCATCATTTCTAGCAGGGATCCGGATGCATTATACACCTGAACATTGCAACTTGTAAGTGGTGGTTTCCCTTTGTTTTGGTGTTGAAAAAGCAACATGATTCAAATGGGCAAAATGGAGATCTTTTAAGGAGCCCTGTCTAAGTTGAGCCAGTTGCGAGAACATCCATGTGGCTGTGGGTCAAACCAATGGGATCCCATTTTGGGGTAGCTGCACCACCCATTTGAGAACCTATTTTAGTGGGGATTGGGATGTTCACTAGGGGTACGGGCTTTTGACCCATGGCCATATAACCGGTGCCCCCAAAGCACTGATGTGTGGAATCGCTGCAAGGTGAAAGAACCTCCGTCAAGACGTAATCTGCCTCGGGCAAATCAGGGTGGCTTTTCTGAAGTTGAATGCCCTGCAGGAGCACACAACAACCAAACCAACAGTCCCTTGTGGCATTCGCCCGCAGACATGCCCTGCCTCGTCCCTGTGCCAGCTGACGTTGCCCAGACCTCGCACGAATTGGCTTCAAAACGGAAGAGGCTGATATGCCAAACGCCTGGGGACCATGAGCAAAGTGAAACGCTCTTCAGGAAAACAGCATATGGTCCACTGTGCACTTGCCTTGTAAACACACTGGACGAAAAGGAACAGCTGCCCTGTCCAAGATGGCATTGCGGGTGCTGGCTGGCATGAGCACATGGTGAACGGACATTTTTTGGCGGATCCTTGCCTGTACAACTCAGATCCAGCTTTCTCTGCTCCACGCCTAAGGCTTGACCAGCTATAAATGGATTGACTGTGTCAAAGCTACACAGCGAATCACAATTCAATGGCTGGTGCTAGGAACTACACAAATTGTCACGAATTCGTCGAAAGCGGAGACTTGTCTGAGCAATCTGACCGGAAGGCATGCTTGGGAAAACTAGGGCTCCAAGCTTCCCCAGCTCTTTCCGTGCTTCCAGTGCACTTGCAAAGGTACCTTCAAGTCACATCCCGCTCGAATCATCTCCGACACAACCAGCTCCCGCACTTCGCTGAGCCGGAGCTCCTCCACCTCCAGGATGAGCTCGTCATGGATCTGCAGCAAGATGCGGCCCGCCATGGTGCAGCGCCCATCATGGGAGCGCAGAAGCTTCAAGCGGCGGTGGATGCCAATCATGGCAGCCTTCATAAGGTCAGCCGCAGAGGCCTGGCAGGCCGTGTTCACCGCCTGCCGCTCCGCATGGGCGCGTTCTGAGGCAGAACCCGAGGCGAGGCCCGGCAAGAAGCGCCGCCGCCCGTGCAGGGTCTCCACAAAGCCTTGCTGCCGTGCTTGATCCGTGCAGGCCTTGATCCAGATGGCAACACCAGCATACTCCTTCCTTGGCTGGAAGTAGGACCCCTGCAAAAACAACAACCCACAACAGCAAAAAATAAAAAGGGGAACTAATTCTGGAGAAGCTTCATGAAGGAGCTTTTGAATTCATTCGCCTGAGATCTAGAGATGCCAAGCTCTGCAGCAAGCCTGGCCACTCCGACACCGTAGATCAGGCTGTAGCAAATACGCTTCGCGCCACTGCGCTCCTCTGCTGACACCTGGCTGGAATCCTTACCCAGCCAGCCAGCAGCAATTTGCTTGAAGACATCCCCACCGTTGCGCAGGATGTTCAGAAGCCTGGGGTCCTCGGAAAAGTGGGCCATGAGCCGAACTTCAATCTGGGAATAGTCCAGGCTGAGCAGGACATACCCGGGCTCTGCAGCGAGAAGCTGCCGAGGATTCACCAGCACCTTGCGGGCATCTTCCTCTGCCACATCTACTGCAGCTGCCAGTCGCCACACCTGGTCAGCAGGATAGGACCAAACCGAATTCCCGTGCCGAACCAGGACTTGCTGCACACTTCGCCGCCAGGATTCCTCCTTGTACACTTCCCAGCCTCGAGAGGCCCAATAGTCCGCCAAGGACACGTCCTCCTCCGAGTTCGCCATCGGCTGATCGCAGGTCCTTTCAGAGACCTCGTGGATCGCCCCTTCTCGCAAGCGCCGTCTCGGGGGCGGCTCAAAGGCCGCCGACACGAAGACCCGCGTCCCGGCCGCCACTTGGGTGCCCTTGCTGAGCTCCTCATGTAACGAAGGCCTGGACACCTCGCGGGGTTGGGAGAGAGAGATAGTGTGGACCATTAATGTTGACCCAGGAGTAATAAACCTGACACATTATTAGGGGGGTGTTCCCTCCGAAAGTGGTCTGAATCTCCACTCAAAGGGGACACCCCCCGATCAAAATCAACCAGAGGTTTATTAATCCGGGATTAACATTCTCCTCATCTCTTCGTCAGGTGCTCAGGGTCTTTATTCCCGTGCTTTGCAACGGGTTACATCTCAGAAATCAACTATAGAATGCTATGTCAAAGATAGAGAGGAGATAGCGACCTAAGAACTGTTAACTTTTAACTCTTGGTTTTTATCCCGTCAATTCGCGAGGCAATTGATAGGTTTGGAAGTGGATAATGATGAAGACAGGAGGAAGAGAAAATGAGGAAGGCCTACCAATTTCCTTCCTTCCCTCTCTTACCATCAATCATCTGTCTATCTTCTCCATCAAGAATTCTCGGGAATTAGATGATAGAAATAGTGGACAAAAAGACTAAGGAAAGCTTCTGGATTTTAATGTAAGTGTTTCTATACCTTTTTCTTTCGTGTCTGGGATTCTTCGTTCCTTGTCATTTCTCTTTCTCCTCCCTCTGTCTTTCCTGTCCACCATTCACCTCTTGATCAGGTCATGGACAGGACAGAGGTCCGGTTCCCTTGCGAAACCACAGTAGCGGTGTACACATGCGGTCTTTTTGGGGACTTTTGGAGGTGCTTCACCCCTTTTTGGGAGGGTCTGTCTTTTTGGGGGTGAAGCTCTAAAGAGAAACCACAGGAAAGCCATTTGTCTCACGGGATTCCCTCAAAACCAATGATCGATACCAACCCTCCAAACAAAATACAAGACGGACCATCCATTTGTTTCAACCCCTTGCCCCGGTTCAGGAGAAACATCGGGGAGGGGGAGAAAACAACGGGGGAGGGGGGGAACAAAACGGGGGGGGGGAGGGGGAAACGAGAAAAAAAAACACAGGGGGGGAACAAAAAACCAAACACAAAAACGGACATTCCGCCTCGCAGATCTCGAAGGCTTTCTCCAGGCACAGCAGCGGAGCAGCGCCCGCGGCGGTGGCCAAGCGCCCCGTGGCAGTGGCGGTCTGAACGAACCTAAGCTGCGGGCACGCGGCGTCCGTCTGTTTTGGCAGGGAGGCCGCCTTTTTTTGAGGAAACCAAGAGGAAACCAAGGGAATCAAGCAAAATCAAGAGAAAAACAAGGGAAAACCAAGAGGAATCCAAGGGAATCCAAGGGAATCCAAGAAGGAATGAAGAGGACACCAAGAGGAAAACCAAGCGTCCAAATGGCGGGTCCAAAATATGGCATGTGGCAATCAAACTCATTCAACTTGAGCGACAAGGGTTTAGACCACCTTGTGAAAGGAAGGACCGGTCGTTTCACAAGGATGTGTGCGATATTCGGGGAACCAATGGCAACAAGTAAAATTCGAGACATGGCCATGGGTCAAAACCCGGACATCCCAGTGAACATCCCAATCCGGGTACACTCCACCGAAAACCCCCCCAAAATGGTACCATTGGTTTTGACCCACAGCCGCATGGCCGCTTTTTTTGAGGGAACCAAGAGGAATCCAAGGGAATCCAAAAAAATCAAGAGGAAACCAAGGCAAAGTCAAGGGAATCAAGAGGAAACCAAGGGAATCAAGCAAAATCAAGAGAAAAACAAGGGACAACTAAGAGGAAACCAAGGGAATCCTCCTGCCCCCCCCCCCCCCCCCCGCCCCCCAAACAAAAAAAAGTGCCAAGTTAAACGCATCATGAGTGTCTCTCTCTTTTCAGACTTCACAAAATGGTGGTTTTCCTTTTGGTTTCCCCTTAAAAGCACCAGCAAAAGGGTACCCTCCAAAAAAGAACACCCTCAGATTTTCTGTGCGATAGGCAGGGAATGAGAACTGGAATGACCCTTATGAACCATCCAACTAGTGGCTTCCATCAAGGGAATCCCGCCACATTCCCTATTGCGACAGCAAAACAAACAAATGGGAATTGATCAACGCGCTGGATGGTTGCGAAATCCATTTCGCACCACCTAAGAAACCATGGAATGATCATTCCCCTGTCAAATGCCAACAAACAATGGCTTCCCATGGTTTCAAAGTGGTGCGAACGGAATTCGTCCTTCCACAGTATTGATCATAATATCCCCAACAATATATTATTTTTTTTATGGTTAGACCCGACCACCACATAATTTAGCCGTTTTAATTCTTCAAATATAGCCGTACCCCAACAACTCAATCGGAATCAACATTCTGTTCCCTCACTTTCCCCGTGGGAAATATCATCCAGTGGCTTTACCCGATGGTCCAACGTAAAGGACCTTTTGATCAACCCCCACATGTCCGTGCGTGTCTCTTTTACCCCCCCCCCCCGCCCCCCCCCGGCAAGAAAAACTGGTCTCATGCGTCATTTGGGTTTCCCTTCAATACCTACCAAAAATGAAAGTGCCCTGAAACAAGAGACTCAAACGCATGGCCTTCTCACAGCCGAAAAGTGTCTCGCTTGGTTCAATGGCTGTCCCGTGTATCCCGCCTTTCACCTGGCACCTGGCTTCCCTGCATCTCCAGGTTGCATCAACGTGCCACGCGTCTGACATCTGCCGAGGCACTCGGATCTGATGCGTTGGCGCGAGGCAAGGCCTGGCCCTGCCAAACCCATGGTCCCCGCGGCGCACATGGGGCACAAGGGCTCCGCGCGCGGAGGCTCCGCCGAGCGCAGGATGTTCTCGATGCGCTTCGCGGCGTGGCTCAGCTGGCGGTGCTCCAGGATCAAGGCCACGGTTTGGTTCGGCAGCAAACGCTTCAGCACGTCCTCAGAGCAACAAGTGATGCAAGACAGCACAGCATGTGGCATGATATTATCCACGTGTGGGGTCTGCTTTAATATTGGCCCCCCCCCAAAACAGTGCCAGCTAGTTGGAGCTTCTCAGTGGAACAAGTTCTGGGTTGGACTTGCCATGCGTCGGGACCAAGATCGGATGCGCTCTTTTCCAGTGTGATGTCGCTCCAGAAACCGAACATTTCAACTTTTGGGGAGGCACTGGACATGGACCGCCACCGATCGTCCGCCCGCCGATTTTTCTTGGTCCTGATGCCTTGGACTTGGGCTCGCTGCTTAACTTAGCATTGCCAAGACTTGATCTCAGATTCCAAGCACGTCATTTAGAATTGCCAATTCCAAAAACAGTGCCACAGACTTAATCTCAGATTTCCAGGTACTTAGTTTAATATTGCCAATTCTAAATCTAGTATTGCCAAGACATAATCTCAGATTCCCAGTACTTAATCTAGACTGGCCAATTCTAAGTTTAGCCAAGACTTAATCTTAAATACACCACTCTTGAAATGTAAAGGCTAAGGCTTCGGAACTTCACATGGACCCCAAAACAGTCAAATGAAAGCGGACATCAGCTTGCTTCTGAGCCGGAACAACCTGCAAAAAGACTAACATCCAGTTGGATCGTGAGCACGCCGCATCTGGCATCTTCAATCTGGCCTGCGGGGACTTGTAGCACAGCCTTCCGTTGGGCTTCCGCCTCAGCTGGACGCCTCGGGGGATGGGAAGGCGCAGATCTTCGAAGAGTGCGCGGCCCACATCCTCGCTGGAGCTCAGCAGCACCTGTCTGCCCACCGCCTTCTTCACATGCTCCTAGTCAAGGACACCCTTCCCACATCGGGTCCCGTATGGTACCAAAACAAAGAGATATGTCTCACTAAATGGGAACAGTTCCCCATGGCAAAGGTCATATGGGGGCCAGAATATTGATCAACCCCCAAATGGTCATTGGCTGTGGCTTTTCAATGTTTGCAGGGAAGGGGGGAAAATCGGATGTCCGCCCGATTCCGTTGCCACACACACACACACCACAAACCACCACGGACTGCCAATCTTGCTGGTTGCTCCTGTATCGCAGACATCTTATACCAGATGTGGCTGTGCGTATGGTTTGGGTCATGACCCTCACAGCCAAATCCTACGTGCTCCATCCAAGCCAAGATCACCGCCGTTGGCATCTCGATGCACCAGAAGCTGCCAAGCAGCTCTTGCCTTTTCAGCCTCAACGAATGCAACGCATCTTGCTTGCCCGCAACGATGTTCAACCAACAAACCAACACGTGCCGCGCCCAAAACTGGATTCTCATTCTTGCCAGATTCTACCCACAGGCCTGTCCCCATTACCCCTAGCAAACTTGGCCAATCAACTGCAGGCATTCTCCTTAAATGGGTCTTCCTTTTTCCGAAGCCTCCGGCCTTTGCAGCAAATCCGCCAGCAAGGGCAGCGCCAAAAAAGCCTCAGGCCACTCCTTCCCCAGCCGCACCCTCAGCACGGGGCTGGAGGCGAGGGCGCCCGAGTTCGTCAGTGCGACTTTGTTGCTCGCCAATGCCACCTGGCACGCCGACGCCAGGTCGGAGATGCTCCTGCGCGACCAAAGCGGAGCTGGAGCGTGTCGCAAAACGAGACTTCGGATCGTCCGTGCAGAATCCCCACCCCCTCCAATCGCCCCCCCCCCCAACCCCAGAAAAAAAAGTTCAACTGTGTCGAAGGGGGGACCCTGTTTTTCCAACCACAAGCCCGCTGTTCAACCTCCTTTCTACCTTCTGGTTTATGGGTCCAACAGGTGTTTGGAAAAAATACAGCTGAACCCCTGAGTCTGAGTGAGGGGAATCCTGCTTTTCCAACCGAGTTTTGCGACCTCCTCCATTCTACCAACACAACTTGCTAAGTCGCCAAGTCACTAAGTGTTGCAACCTCCTCTTACCAAAACCACTTGCCATGCTTTTGCCCAGCGGCATGTTCTGCTTATCATCCGGGTCCAAGAGCCACTGCGCCACCCGAGGCTCTGCCAGGGAGCACTGCAGGTCCATGCCTCGCCGCAAGAAGGCGGCGGCGAGGTCCTTGGCGTTGGAGGTGAGGCACAGGTTCTGCTCCTCCTTGAACCTCAACTAGGCCAGTTGGGGACTTGGGGACCCGGTTTTTCTTCAAACCTGTTTGTTGGACCCAGAAACCAAAAGGCGAAATTCATGGCAAGGCCGGTTGGGTGAAGGATGGGTTGGTCAAAAGGTCCTTTGCATAGGATTCAACTCCCAGGCCAGTTGGGTGAGAAGATAACTCCAAGGTCAGTTGGGGACCCGGTTTTTCCAAAAACCTGTTTGTTGGACCCATAAACCAAAGTCGGAAAAAAAGGATTCTGGTTGGAAAACAGGTTGCCAACCTCAACAAGGCCGGTTGGGTGAAGGATGGGTTGGGGGCAACTACCAAAAAACACAGAAATATGTACCGCTCAAGTATGAAATGGGAACAGTTGCACCTGTTTGTTGGACCCATAAATAACCATAAGGTAAAATAAATGGTCAACAAACAAGTTGGGCTCGAGATTTGGGCAATTCCCGTCATCCCCTCTACCTTTCCATCAAGGGAGTCGCGCCATTTATGGTTTCACGTGGTATCATGTCGACCCCGGATGAATCAACCTGTTGGATTTCTGCCGGGTGTAAAAGTGAAGGTTCGCCTCAGTGCGACACCCGCTGCTAATCAACCAAAGGTTTGTTGAGCCCGGCTCGGAGCCACTCGCGTCCGTCTACAACAAGCGTGTTGCACAGCAAGCATGTTGCACTGCTGATTTTGCAAAGGGCAGTCAAGTGACCAGCTCCAAATGGAGCCCAGGACGCCAAAGTTCCCGGCATCTGGCTTGGGAAGTAGAATGCAAAACGCCTCCATGGGTCCCAAGGTCAAACAAAGGGCATCTTCGCCGTTCTCGCCGGCCACGACAGATGCACCGATCCATTCGGCCTCGGTTTGGGGGTTTGCTTCTTTTCTCTTAGCATCAAACAAATGCTCAGCTTCCCATTTCTCCAATCCTCAGCCCTGTGCGGATGATACCCTGGCGAGGACATGCCTCACCATGGGATCTGCCGTGGTAAGAAGCTGCAGCGGAGGCAAAGGGAGACGTGCTCCTGTTGCATCAATGATGTCTTGCGGTTGCCACGTTGGAGATCCTTCATGTAGCGCAGGACTTGAGAGTTCAATGTGAATCGGAACTGAAAGGTCCCTATTATGTCGCATCCCGAAGCCTCACAAACTAGGGACCTTGCAACGTTCTGCGCCTCCAGAAACAAACCATGCAACTTGCGGGTCCGGAAGCTTAACACCTACAGTAAGGCTCTCGGCATGTTTGAGTTTCCTGCAAACCATTTGTTCGGTTGTGAATGCATCATCTCAGTTGCTGAACATTGACTGCGTAGTATCTTCCAGGCAGCAGCTGCAAACCATTTGCCCACTTTCCAAAACAAATACATTGTCATTTAAATTCCAAATATGAGTCTTCCTGAAGTGGCTGCATGCAAGCAAGCAGGGACAAATAATCACAGCATATTGCGAACCAGAACAATTCTTTCCGCTTTCTTTGTTGGGCCTTAGTGCCGCATGTAGTTTCGCCGCTCTGGTTGCAAAGCCCAGGCGTGGGTCTTGGGAGAAGGGCAATTTTTATGCGTACGTGCATATATATATATATATTCATGTATTGTATACATATATATATATACATATCTTCGTATCTTTGTTGTAGACTATCATACTATGTTCATCTATATGATGCATGCCATGACGTTTATATGTTGCATGACTTGCGCTCAGCTTGGCTCCTGCTGCAAAGGTCGAGGCCAGGAACTTGGCTTCGCTTTGCGCCGCTGCGTGGGAGCTGTCCGAGTGCGAGTCGGCAGTTTGCCCAGGAGAGCCTCCTCACAGCGGACGTGTTCACTTAGACACGGCGAAACCAAACCGAGAAGCATATGGCAGCTGATCAATATTCCTGTTTCCGGAAAACGCCATCTTCGCGAGAAAAGAGTTTCCTTCGCGAATCTTTCGCGACTCCATCGCCACGCCCTTTTGTTTGCAGCGTGCGCTCTGGAGCCATTGTGGCTGCTGCAGTTATGCTTGCAAACACGGTAGCCGCAGTTCACTTGCGTGCAGTACGTAGTGTTAAGTGCAAGCAGTCACCGTCATTCGCCCTTGCCACTTGTGCTTGCCGGCAATGTGCGGAACCTTGCAACAAGCTCCCTGGCCTTTCGCCGGTCTTTCGCGAAACTTGCTCCAAAATAACGTTATTGATTTGCACCATTCCCAACACAGGCAGGGAATCAATAATGCAAGTGTAGGTTCTGCGTATCTCCCTATCTACAAGGGAGCGGGGTCTGCAAATATGTAAGTGCACAGGCATGCCTCCAAGAATCCAACGCGGAATCTTTCGTGAAAAAATAAGTTTCTTTCGCGAACTCCATCGCCGATCTTTCGCGGAGGGATTTAAGCCAAGACGAATGGTCACCGAATGAATAACTCCTTGCAAGGACCTTTTGATCAACCCCCATATGAGTCACAATCAAAACCTAGTACAAAAATGGTGAACCCAGAACCATGTAAAGAATTAAAGGCGGCCGCAACTATTGCCGGCTGGGACTGCCCCTTACTAACCTTCTACCCGGGCATTGATTGTGGCTCATATTGATTTATGCTGTTCTCAACCACAAATGCGCACAAGCAACCTGCAACAACCAATCAATACAGTGAAACAAGCCACTGAAGTCCCAGGCAAAGCTAAGCGATTCTTCGAGCAGACCATCCAACGATTCGTGCGGCGGGTTCCTCCAGACGTAACACCTGATTCGGCCCCCGGAGATCTGCCAGCTTCCTCACTGCGCGGGACGATCGACAGCTAACCGATCGACGGGACGGTGTTGTTGGGTGAACCCCACAAGGAGAACATTTGCCTGCGGCCCGGAACGACCAATTCTGACTGGTTGTCACCAAACAACCTTTTCCCCTAAAAAACATTTGATGACGGCTGGTTGTTAAGAGGTGGTTGTTCCGGGCAGGTGCGTTTACTGCTGCCATAGCATCCACATCTCCAGGACTTAAGCTCTGGCGCCCGACGCGGCGCAGTCCCTCGCTCAGGCGCTCCGATGACAGCGGGGATGTCTCCTGAAACGCTGGACCAAAGAGCGGCCCTCTCGACACGAAATGATACCGAAATTCCGAAATTTGCCTTTCTTGGCGACTCTTGCACAACGCTCAAACACTATGAGCCATCGCCATTTTTGCAACGTGGGCCAAAGTCACCATCGGGCTACTGACAATTCGGAAACAGTATCTCAGGACTGGATGCCAGGATGGCATACCCTATAGCATACGCCCTACCAAATTTGGTGGCTCCTCCGCGGGTGTATCGATGGCTCGGCAGGGAGTTGCGCATCTGCTGAGAGAAGCATCCGGTGTTTGGCCGCCTGCAGTGCTATTGGACGTTCCCGCTCGATATACGCTCGCGCACACCCAAGGTGGAGTTGAACTGCAAGTACGTTGTCTATCGAGATTGACAAGAATCATGAAGCCAAGGCTTCTCACTTGGCTCCATTGCACTTATGAATGCTCTGCTCTTCAAAGCTACGACACAATACATCCCTGCTGACCAAACCACAACAACGCAAAAAGCTCGCTCCGGTGTTATTGTTCAGGCCAGCCAGCTCCTGTAGTCATGCACCCGACTCCCTTGTCCTCAAGGCCTATTGAATATATAATATACAATATCATTGGACATGCAGTTGGGCAGTGAACTTTCAACAACTCGCGGCATGCAGTACCCGACAGTGACAACAGCCTCACGCATGACATGTAGGTGAGTACATTTGTGCGTTGTGCGTGGTATCATCTTGAAGAACGTCGTGTGAAACAGAATCAACACTGAACAATGTACGATGCAACACTTCCCATTGTCAACATTCAAAAAGTGATGCACATCTCGTCCAGCGCCTGGTGAAAGAGCATCTGACAGTTCCTGCGGGAATATGACTGGTTTCCGTGCGCAAGCTTAACTTGACCAAAACATGCATCAACACAGCAACCGAGAACTGTCGTAGCCGTTTCCTGATAGCGCGCCCTCGCTCTCGGTGTCTGGGGAGGTGGGCTCGTCAGTTTGGCAACTTGTTGCATTCCTGGCGACGGCTGCTCCGTAACGGGTGGCAATGTGCGCTTCGCCTGAGCTGCTGGAAAAGCCAGTGGTGATGCCTGCTGCTGCGCTTGCAGCACTCCGGGCGGATAGACCTGCTGCTGCGCTTGTGGCATGCCCTGTGGCGATGCCTGCTGCTGCGCTTGCGGCATTCCGTGTGGATACACCTGCTGCTGCATCTGTGGCATTCCGCGTGGCGACGCCTGCGCTTGTGGCATTCCATGTGGATACACCTGCTGCTGCACCTGTGGCATTCCTTGTGGCGATGCCAGCTGAGCTTGCCGCATTCCGTGTGGATACACCTGCTGCTGCATCTGTGGCATTCCGCGTGGCGACGCCTGCGCTTGCAGCACTCCGGGCGGATAGACCTGCTGCTGCGCTTGTGGCATGCCCTGTGGCGATGCCTGCTGCTGCGCTTGCGGCATTCCGTGTGGATACACCTGCTGCTGCATCTGTGGCATTCCGCGTGGCGACGCCTGCGCTTGTGGCATTCCATGTGGATACACCTGCTGCTGCACCTGTGGCATTCCTTGTGGCGATGCCAGCTGAGCTTGCCGCATTCCGTGTGGATACACCTGCTGCTGCATCTGTGGCATTCCGCGTGGCGACGCCTGCGCTTCTGGCATTCGATGTGGATACACCTGCTGCTGCACCTGTGGCATTCCCTGTGGCGATGCCAGCTGAGCTTGCGGCATTCTGTGTGGATACGCCTGTTGCTGCATCTGTGGCATTCCGTGTGGCGATGCCTGCTGCTGCGCTTGCAGCATGCCGTGCGGATACTGCTGCAGCACTTGTGGCATTCCCAGCTGTGCTTGCTGCTGTTGCCGCTGCTGGACCTGCGCATATTCGCGTAAGCATGCTTGCTGAGAGGGCGGAATTCCTTGTAGCGGTGCCTGCGGCGCACGCTGTTGTGTGGTCTGTGGCAGTGACTGCGACGTCCTTTCCTGCTGCACGACTCCTGAGGGGGCTCCTCGGGAGCGCAAGGATGCGGATGTCGTTGATTGCGCTTGTGCTGCAGCTTGTCTTGGTCGCTTTTGAGGTTGGCCTGCAGGGCCAGCAATTGGAAAGATACTATGACAATCCATGCTTTATTCACCTGGCAGAGTGTAGATACACTGCTGGCCGGGGCACCTGTGGTCAGACCAAGCTCATCCTCGTTGGGCTCTGCCCTCGCTCTTTTGCCTTGCTTCGGGTGTGCTCAACCACCAAACTGGATGGCCAACCGCCGTGTTTGCAAATAGCGAGTGGAATGTTAAGTGCAGAAGGGCACATCTGCAAATGACAGAATGATGCAGCAAAGGCACGCTTTTCCTTGATCAAGGCCTTTGACAGGCCTGGCAAAGAGTAACACACTTTGATATGCTATCAAAGGCAACTGAGGCGTGTGTTCAATTCGCAAGGCTCTAGCACATTGCTTGAACGCCTCGCAATATGACAATATGGCTTGCCAGATTGGCATCATGCTTGGAGTTGATCTCTTTAGGGACCCCTTAAAATGGGTGGTGTCCTTTTGGCGTCCCATTGGCGCCAGCTTACCAGGCGCAAGCTGGACTGAGACTGGAAAATGCTTCTTACCACCAAGAAAGAACCCCAAGGCTCACCTCACATTCAATCAGCATGGGTGTGTCTAACAGGGCACCCGTGCAAAGAATGCTCGGTTTCCTTTCGGCTTCCCTCAAAAAGGTACCCTCAAAGGTGCCCTCAACAGAAATAAGGTAACAAGGTACCCAAGGTACCCTCTGTTAACATTCCAACCAGGTACCCTCACAAGACATCGCTCTCGCCTGCTGCCGCCTCAATCAGGCGCGTGGCATTTTCTTCAGGAAGCGCGGCTGAGGGCACCTGATCATTGCTTTGCTTCGGGACCCATACGGCTTCCATCTACTGTGAAACGGGGGTGTTCTCTTTTGTTAGGGAATCCGCCCCCCCCCCCCCCACAAACAAAAAAAGTGTTCCTTCTTTTGGGGGTGTTCTCTTGTTAGGGAATCCGCCCCCCCCCCCCCACACAAACAAAAAAGGTGATTCTTCTTTTGGTTTCCATAAAAGACCAGCCCCAAAAGGTACCCCTCAGAAAGGCACCCCCAAACTGAAAAGACACACAACACAACTGCTCCAAGATCTTTCTCGCAATAAGAGCCACAGAGCCAAAGATCATGACACTTACCTCATGTCTATTGCCGGCGACTTGCCAACCTGCTGCCGTTGAGGGATCATTCAGCAAGCGTCTGCGGTATTTCCAGAAATTACCAGTTCAACCCTCAGACTGCCTCGCAAACTCTACCAAACTTGCGCGAGGCAGCTGCAGCAATGTCGATACCATGCTTCAGCGCATGTCACAATCTGTGCTAAACATGGCGCGAGCGCTTTTTGGGCGTGCCTATTCTTTCTTGTGTTGACCCCTCTGCAGCAAGTTTCACTTGTGGCTCCAATGGACACTCCGACACTCCGACCTGCTTTCCAAACAGTTGAAGTCCAAACCTGGGCTACTAAATGGGTATGGGTCGAAATTCAATCGCCAGAGAACCACAGGCTTGAGTCATGCTTCCATTTACCAGGATTCCATTTTGGGTACCTACTGTGGATGGCCGAAATCCTGCACCACTTCAAAACCATGGGAAACCATTGTTTGTTGGTATTTACAGGGGTATCGAGTCATTCTGTGGTTTGTCAGGTGATGCGAAATGGATTTCGTCCATCCACAGTATTGTTGCCCGCGCAAATAGGCAAATAGCCTGCCATCCACGGGCAAATAATAGCCATTCCCTGCTTCCGTCTCCACCCCCCAGGGGCCATTCACCGCCCGGGCCGATCGCCGAGGCGTGGCAACGAGGCGCGTGGTGGGGCAGCGTCTTCCGCAGCACCCGCAGCAGCTCCGGGGGCCGCGCACTCGCGACGCTCACGGGGGTGGTGAAGCCCTGCTCGTAGAGGCACCGCGCCACCGAGCAGTCCATGCCTGCGACACGAGCAGTCCATGTATGGGTCAAAATCCCGGTTAGCACCCAGTGAACATCCCAATCCAACCACTAAAATCGGTTCTAAAATGGGTGGTGCATCTACCCCAAAATGGGATCCCAAAACGGTTTTGACCACCACAGCCATTGACACCTCGGGAGAAAACTTCGGGCTTCGGGCTTCGGCTTCGGGCCTCCCTCCCGAAAGAACATGGACCTTTCTGACTGGCCAGAAAAAAAAGTGGATGTGGGTCAAAAGTGCTTTCAAGAACAGGAAGGCCGTGCAACGCGCGAGGCAAAAAACAACCACATGTTGTGGGTGTCTTTTTTGGGACACCCCCACAAATGGTGGGTTTCCTTTTGGTTTCCCTTGAACCAACCTACCACTAAAAAAACAAAACAAACCTATGTCCTGGAATTTGCATGAGCGGCACCAGCTCCATGCGCACCCCCAGCGCCAAGCGCTTCTGGAAGGAGAGGATCAGTGCCTCCAGCGTGTACCACTGGAGTCGATTGCAAAAGACCTGCAGGACATAGGAGAACAAGTGTGACCAAAGATCCGAAGATCGCTTCATACGGCCATGGGTCAAAATCCCGTACCCCAGGTGAACATCCCAATCCCCACTAAAATATGTGAACATCCACAAATGTTCAGACAATCCATGTAGGTACAGCAACAATATGCAAACATTTGACCCATGTTGAGGGTAAATGTGGGGTTTTGTATGGCCGTGGGTCAAACGCCAAATCGTACCCCCAGTAAACATCCCAATCCAACCACAAAATAGACTAAAATGGGGGTGGTGTACCTACCCCAAAATGTGTCCATTGGTTTTGACCCACAGCCAAGTCGACCAAACGTCCGAAGATTGGTTGAGGCATGAAAGTGGTGTGCTGACCTTGTCCCCTGGTCCCACAACTCCGATCTGAATGTTCGTCCTCTCCTTGCGCCAAGAGATCACAATGCAAACAGCCGAGACAAGACATGTCGACAAACATGGAAAAAACGAGCTCTTCGAGCTGTTCTGTCGGTGGGAGCTGTCAGTATAACTTCAAGGTCCTAAGTCCAGCTCCTAATATCCTACGTTCTCCACAAGTCGGCCGAGACGTACCCTGCAAAGCAGGTTGCTTTAAACGGAAACCAAAATGGGTGGCCTTTAAAACCATGGTTGAAACCAGGGGAAACATCCTTCTATTTCGCAACCATCCACAGTATTTTGAGCCATGGCCGCATTGGGCTTGGCATGAAAGACAAAAGTGCATGACCCTAAAAACAAATAGAAACCAAAAGGGAAGCCACCCATTTTGTGCCCCAGCTCCCCTATTTCGACACGTCGCCCAATGAAATCTTCGAAAACTTGCCAAGGCGCGGCCACCGTGTGGGTGAAGGAGGCCGCGGCCTGCTGCAGCTGTTGGAGCTGACCCTTGCTGAGCCCAAACCTCTCCAAGAGCTTCGCCAGAGGCGTCTCGTGCAGCAGCGCCCAGAGCACCAGGCCGCTGTAGAACCTGACACGTTGCCTCCATAGGTGGCCTTTTGGAAAAATAGATAGCCCTGGTAAATGGAATAATCCCCATCTAAACCAGGGCTCTCTATTTTTTTAGCAAACCAACCAAGAAGGACACCTATGGTTGCCTAGAGTATATGGCTGTGGTGGTCGAAAAATAGTCGGTAACCCCAAAATGGGTTGCCCGATCGGTAAATGGAAACGTGGACTGAAACCTGCGGTCCAATTCCTGGTGACGTGATTTTGACCCATACCCATATCACCTGTGAAGTACATCACCCTCTGGTGGTGAAGGAGGCAAACAAGTTGACTGCGAAGGAACCAACAAATACTTCTTCACCCTCGATTTTTGTTCAGCCTCAGTTGGTGGTGAAGGAAGTGAACACTTCTTCACCCTCAAATATATCACCCTTGGAGTTGCCATGACAAGCTACAGTCTGAAAGTCGGCATTCAGAACGAGCAACCCACACATCTTTGGAAGGCCAGGCCTGACCACTCGCATGCCGTCTGCAGACTGCAGAATGCTGTTGGAGAGTCTGCCTTCAGGGTTCCCTATATACCAAAACAGACATCAACCCCTACCAGGGAAACTCTAATTTTGCCAAGCGGATGATGCCTGAAACCCTCCAAAAAGGGGCACGATGGGCGTGTGTTTCTTGGGTTAGTAGTAATTGCCCTTTGCAACTCAGCTTTCGCCTTAAACCAACAGGACACCCACCGGTATTTTGGCCCTTTTTTGAAACACATTTAACTGCGACCCCTGAGCATAGGTGTCCTCGAATAGATGGTCCTGGTAGATGATTAAACCACCAGGTAAATCAGGAATCACCATCATTTTTTCTAGCAAAACAACCCAAAAAGGACATCTAGGCTCACCAACCTTGAAGGGCATCACGTGCAAGCCTGCCCCTTGCCTTGAGTCTGGAGTCATGTGCAACAAGTTGCCTGTCGCTGAGCTGAACCTCTGAGGTGAACCAAACGCCAAACGACCCGCCCGCCCGCCGCCTTGGAACTGCGCTTGGTCCACCAGATCCACGCGCAGCGCGATGCGCTGCGCCACCCGCCGCTCCGCGGAGGATAGGTGGCACAGCACCCGGCGGTAGGTGGCCCAGTCCTCGTCTCGCTTGGTGCAATATGCGGTCAGGGGAATAGGTTGTCTTTGTTTTTGTTCGGGGGGCGACCGTTTTTTGGCCGGTTTTGAAGGGAAAAAATAGGTACCCCAAATGGAACCCTAGAAAGTGGAAACATGGACCAAAACCTGCGGTCCCCTGGTGGTTTAATCTTGACCCATACCCATATGTCCCCACAAAAACATCGCTGAGATGGATCTTCAGAGACTCGCTGCCTGTTCCCAAGATGATCCAAGACAGAAGTCAAGAGAACAACACGCTGTTTGAAAGCCAAGCGTCTACGGAGAGGGGGCTGTCAGGTGTCACCAGATAACACACTTGCAAATCCGTGTCCAAGGATATGCAGCTGCGTGAGCGTTGGAGCTCCTGGAAGAGCACGTGGCCTTGTTGGGGCTCAAGGGCGGAGGCGCAAACCGCCAAGCCCAGCGGCGTCGCCTTGTAGGAGTTGGACCGCTGGTCCAGCCTTGCCATGTCGTGCTCCAGTAACCACTTCATGGCCTGCGCGATCTCGGGGTAACGCTCCGCGGGCGCCGCGGGCGCCAGGCGTTCATCCACGGGGGGCTTCTGGGTCATCAGGAGCGTGCTGGCCATAAAGCGGATCAAATCCTCACCGGCGCCCAGCTGGGGCACCACACACAGCACTTCCAGCAGCAGCCGCTTCACGCCTCGCGCCTCGTTCCGCAAACAGCTGGACACAGCCGGCAGCTCTTGCCGCACGAGGGCCATGACTTGAGACTTCGTGTGGCCGGGGGCGATGATCATGGACTCTCCGATGCTGCCCTGGCCGGCCCTGCCGGCTCGCCCGGCCATTTGCTTGTACTGCGTGGCGTCCAGCAGCTGATTGCCCATGTAGGGCGACTGGAATAACACTCGGCGAGCTGGGAGATTCACACCCGCCGCAAGCGTGGATGTGGCGCAAATCACGTTGATGCTTCCGTCTTTGTAGCCTTTTTCTACAAGACTTCGCTCTTCGCTGGTCAAGCCGCTATGGTGGAAGGCAATCCCTGCTGGCATGGTCTTCACCAAGGTTGCATCAGCGCCGCCTCAGGGTGGGTATCAGTTCGGCACGGTTTGGCACTGCGCTTCCGTGCTTTTAAGCCTTTCCCAGCTCCCAAAGAAAAGAACATGGCAACTCTGAACTAAGGGCCAAAGTTATCTTGTTGCCATGTCCAATGTGGACCAGCTTGAGTCTTGTGACGTCTCGCGCCTATCTGACGTTGTAGTTGTTGAACTAAAAGCTCCCTCTCTGGTGGTCGGCTTTGAGCTGGCAATTTCTGAGCCAGCGACTCAGCTGTGCGCTCACATTTGGCCTGTGGGCACAGGGGTGCTTAATTGCAGGTGCATCTTGCAGGCGGCATTTCACGTTAGCCTCACCAACCTTGAGGGGCAAAAGAGAATTACGTGCAAGCTACAAGTACATGTGTTGTGCCTGCCCCTTGCCTTGAGTCTGGAGTCATTCGAAAAAAGTGGCCTGTCACGGGTTCTCCCAAAGTTTACTACCTTCGCGTCTCAAGTTATGCCGAAGCGGAACCAGCTTCACGAGTCACGACTTCATTAAGCGCCTTGGAGGAGCAAAAGATCAGCACGCTGTGACCTGCTCGCGTCACTTCCCAGGTGGCAGCCAGCAGGTTGTCCTCTTCTGCAAGGCCCTCGAAAGACAGCTCCCGTGCCTGGCTTGGGGCTCGGGCTGAATTTGCCCCTCAGAATCCGCCCACGGGGAGATCCATTTAAACTTTCCGCTCGGATTGCAGTCGCTTGTGCGTAACCGATGACATGCATCTCAGGCAATACTACACTGAAACATGGTGCAGCCAGCTGGACATCCAGCCACCGACAAACAGATGCATTATGGGCGCATGTCAAACGAAGCCTTTGCAACCTGACTCACTCAGATTTCGAGGTACTCGGATCGCTGCGCCTTCAAACCCTGACTAGCAGAAAATCCTTTCTGTGCAAAAGAGGATGCTCGTTGAAATGAACCACTTCTTCTCATTTATAAACGGGCCTCCAATTATAAACGACCCTCCCCGAAAATTGCCAATACTAGTTTCAAACTACTCGATACTAAACCAATACCAAACTCTCTGGAACCAGATGACTGGGCTGTGCTTTGTATTGTGCTTTTGTGCCTTGGGTTTTGGCTGGAATTTCTTTGGGAAGTTTAAGGCTGAACTTGGTGCAATTTTCCGACGGCTGGTGTTTCTGCTACATTTTGAAGCTAAATTTGAAGGTTACCTGAGCGCATTGTCCACACCGCGCCATGCCATTGTTTGAGCATATATGGCTATGAATTTTTTTAGGGGTCTGTAACGCGCGACGCGCCACGAATCTTGTTACGGAGGTCTGTAACGGAGGTCCTTGTTACGCAGGTCTGTAACGGGACAAATATTTCATGACAAGTAGTATCAGTAGCACAATGTAGCGCAGCACAACGAGGTATGTAATGGCTATGTAACGAGGTTTGTAACGAGGCAAAGCAAAGCGCAGGACGCAAAGCGCGCCTCCGCAGCTCCAGCTTGATTGCAGCTACTCAACGCAAGCCAAGCTGCGGCAAAAAGCGGGGTCGCTGGCCCGGGCTGGGGGTTGGGTCTGTAACGAGGTATGTAACGGCTATGTAACGAGGTCTGTAACGAGGCAAAGCGAAGCGCAGTACGCAAAGCGTGCCTCCGCAGTACCAGCTTGCTTGCAGCTATTCAACGCAAGCCCAGCTGTGGCAAAAAGGGGGTCGCTGGCCCGGGCTGGGGTTGGGTCTGTAACGAGGTATGTAACGGCTAAACGATGTCTGTAACGAGGCAAAGCAAAGCGCAGCACGCAAAGCACGCCTCCGCAGCTCTATTCAACGCAAGCCAAGCTGCGGCAAAAAGGGGGTCGCTGGCCCGGGCTGGGGTTGGGTCTGTAACGAGGTATGTAACGGCTATGTAACGAGGTCTGTAACGAGGCAAAGCAAAGTGCAGCACGCAAAGCACGCCTCCGCAGCTCTATTCAACGCAAGCCAAGCTGCGGCCAAAAGCGAGGTCGCCGGCCCGGGCTGGGGTTGGGTCTGCAACGAGGTATGTAACGGCCATGTAACGAGGTCTGTGACAAGGCAAAGCAAAGCACTTGATTGCAGCTACTCAGCGCAAGCCAAGCTGCGGCAAACGACACAGGGCAGTCACGTCACTGGCCCGGTTTGTTCAGCTGAGGTGTGTAATGAGGGCGTGTAACGAGGGTGTGTAACCAGGGTGTGTAACGAGGGGTGTGTAACGAGCCAGCTGGTTTTGTTACAGAGGTCTGTAACGAGGTCTGTAACGAATGTCCGCCGCGGCTCTGTTACAGACCCCTCAAAAAAATTCACTGCCATATTTGTTCAGCAAGTAAAAGGCAAAACTGTAAATCATTTGCCATGAATCTGTAAACGAACTAAGCATGGCACACTTAATGCGCACGCTGCAAAACATGGGTTTTGAAATACAGCTATGTCGCTTTCAAAACAAAACGCCGCGTGTGTCAGAGCTACGTTTGGCGGCTATCGCAGACGATGCAAAAAGCTAAAAACTAGCGCCCACGTGTTTTCCAGAAGGCCTGATTGATTTGTTTGGGCGACGGAAAGGCAGAGCCATTGTTGCCTGCCCCAATGTTGATTGACAAGATCCCCGTGGCCTGCTTGAGTTTAAAGGTGCTTCAATCTGGCCCAGACTTCACTGGGAGGGCCAGAGCCTTCAAACGTGGTGCTTCAACTTGGTGCTTCAAAGTTGGTGAAGGAAAGATGGTGCACAAGCGCCTGTTTAACATGGTACTGCGCGCAAGCGCCATTCATGCCAAGGTGCTGCAAAAGCGCTTTCAAGGCTCTAAGGCAAATTGCTGCAAAAGTGCCACGCGTGAGTGGGTGCTGCAGAAGCGGTACTGCAGAAGTGCCCCAAAAGCGATGTGAAAGCGCGGCGCTGCAAAAGTGCCCCAAAAAAGGTGCTGCATAAACGCGAGTGCACGGAGCCCTTGACGGAACCTCATTGGGTGGCGGCGGGCAGTGGGCAAGAGGGTGCGCATTTTGCTGTTCAGGGTGGGACGGGGTACATGTGCGTAACCTTTTTCATTTGGGACGCGGGGCTTGTTCAGCACAACCCGCCCCGCAATATCAGTTGACCCCGGCTTGGCACTCAAAAATCACAGGTGGGGAATTGTCGTTCGCTGGCTCAATAATCATGTTTGACAAGGTTTAAGCGGCGCTTGCTCAGCACCAGCTACCCTGCCCAAGCTTAATTAGCTTAATTGTTGTTTTTGTATCGTGGCTGTTCCCAGGCAAATTCCGTGCGCCTAAGGAAAGTAACCTTGGGAACCCACCTGCCAGCGCCGTTTGGCTCGCCTGCCGAGCTCCGCACGCTGAGCCGCGTGTGTTGACTTGCAGTTATGCCTTTGGCCTTAAATTGCAAAAAAATCCGGCCCAAAGGCCCCAACAAGGCAGAAGGGAATACCAAACTGCAGGCTGCAGCCCAACTGCTGGCCAAATGGCTTCAAATTACCAAAATTTCAAGCCTAAAGGCCCCAGAAAGACAAAAGGCAGAAGGGAACATCAAACTGCAAGAGCTGCAGCCCAACTGCTGGCCAGCCCAAAGCCCCTGCGAAGCAGAAGGGAGCACCAAACTGAAAGAACTTTAGCACAGCTGCTGGCCAAATGGTCTCAAAATGTTTTTCAGGCCCAAAAGCCCCAGCGAAGCAGAAGGAAGCCCCAAACTGAAAGAACTTCAGCTGAACTGCTGGCCAAATGGCCCCAGCAAGGCAGAGGGGAACATCAAACTGCAGGAGCTGCAGTCCATCTGCTGGCCAAATGGCTTCAAATTACCCAAATGTTCAAGCCTGAAGGCCCCAGCAAGACAAAAGGCAAGGGAGCATCAAACTGCAAGAACGCCCAACTGCTGGCCAAGCGGCCTCAAAATACCAAATTTTCAGGCCCAAAAGCCTCAGCAAACCAGAAGGGAGCGCCAAACTGAAAGAACTTTCGCCCAGCTGCTGGCCAACTGGCCTCGAAATGCCAAATTTTCAAAGGCCACAGCAATGCAGAAGGGAGCCGCGCGCGCAATTCAGGGTTAGGCGCGCACGAGTCAGGGTTAAGCGCGCACGATTCAGGCCCACGCGCGCACGTTTTTTGGGAGCAAAAAAGGCACAAGAAAATAGAAGGCACAAAAAAAACCCACACGATTTTTGGCTGACCCCTGTTGAGGGAGGCGGGGTATTTACCCCGCCCGGCTCAGCAGCCCCACGCGCGCGGGGTTGTTGAGAGGCAAGGGGTAAACCTCCGTGAGGCTGTTGAGCCGACAGGGCCAAAACCAGCCTCTCAACAACCCCGCGCGCGCGGGGCTGTTGAGCTGGGCGGGGTAAATACCCCGCCTTCCTCAACAGGGGTCTAGATTGAGGGAACCTTTCAAAAACAATTGGCCGGAGTATAAGCCAAACAGCGTGCGCGCGTGACCTTGTATCGCGCGCGCCCGGCCCTGTATCGTGCGCGCCCGGCCCTGTGCCACGCGCGCGCACGCGTTGTACAGATCACATGCATGCGCGCTCAACACCCCCACGCGCGCACGTTGCACAAACCACAGGAGCGCGCGCGAAACACAGCCAGGCTGAAGTTCTTTCAGCTTGGTGCTCCCTTCTGCCTCGCTGCGGCTTTTGGGCCTGAACATTTAGCATTTCGAGACCATTTGGCCAACAGCTGGGCTAAAGTTCTTTCAGTTTGGTGCTCCCTTCTGCTTCGCTGGGGCTTTTTGGGCCTGAAAAGTTGTTATTTTGAGGCCATTTGGCCAGCAGTTGGGCTGCAGCTCCTGCAGTTTGATGTTCCTTTCTGCCTTGCTGCGGCCTTTGAAGTTGAAAAGTTGCAACTTTAAGGCTATTCGGCCAGCAGCTTGAGGCCTTTGGGCCTGAAAATTTGGCAATTTCAGGCTATTTTGCCAGCTGTTAGGCTTTGGTGTTCCCTTCTGCCTTGTTGGGGCCTTTGGGCCCAAGGTTACTTTCCTTAGGCGCACGGAATTTGCCTGGGAACAGCCACGATACAAAAACAACAATTAAGCCACTTAAGCTTGGGCAGGGTAGTTGGTGCTGAGCAAGCGCCGCTTAAACCTTGTCAAACATAATTATTGCGCCAGTGAACGGCCATTCCCTATCTGTGATTTTGAGCTTGGGGAGTTCTAGGGTGCCAAGCCGGGGTCAACTGATATTGTGGGGCGGGTTGTGCTGAACAAGCCCCGCGTCCCAAATGAAAAAGGTTATGCGCATGTACCCCGTCCCATCCTGAACAGCAAAATGCGCACCCTCTTGCCCACCGCCCGCCGCCACCCAATGAGGTTCCGGGCTGGACAACGTCAAGGGCTCCGTGCAATCGTGCTTACGCAGCACCGTTTTTGGCGTCTGCGCAGCGATTTTGCAGCGCCGTTTTTGGGGCACTTTTGCAGTACCGCGCTTTAACACCGCTTTTGCAGCGCCGTTTCTGGGGAGCTTTTGCAGCACCTCATCATCTGAACAGCGCTTTTACAGCGCCGTTTTTGGGGCACTTTTTTCAATACCTCATCTTAGCAGCGCTTTTGCAGCACCTCATCATCTGAACAGCGCTTTTGCAGCACCGTTTTTGGGCCACTTTTTTCAGTACCTCATCATCTGAACAGCGCTTTTGCAGCGCCGTTTCACCGCTTCTGCAGCACCCAGTCACGCATTGCACTTTTGCGGCAATTTGCCTTAGAGCCTTGAAAGCTTTTTTGCAGCACCTTGGCAGGAATGGCGCTTGCGCAGTACCATGTTAAGCAGGCGCTTGTGCGCCATCTTTCCTTCACCACCTTTGAAGCACCAAGTTGAAGCACCACGTTTGAAGGCTCTGGCCCTCCCACACTGACTTTCCCGATTTTACGGTTCGCCTTGCCCCCCTCCTCCCAGTGAAGTCTGGGCCAAATTGAAGCGCCTTTAAACTCAAGCAGGCCACGGGGATCTTGTCAATCAACATTGGGGCAGGCAACAATGGCTCTGCCTTTCCGTCGCCCAAACAAATCAAGCAGGCCTTCTGGAAAACACGTGGGCGCTAGTTTTTAGCTTTTTGCGGCGTTTCGTTTTGAAAGCGATATAGCTGTATGTCAAAACCCCTGTTTTGCAGCATGCGCATTTTGTGTGTCATGTTTAGCTCGTTTACAGATTCATGGAACATCATGGAACATGATTCATGGCTTTGCGGCTTTTACTTGCTGAACAAATGTGGTCCATGGCGCGGTGTGGGCACTGCGCTCGGATAACCTTCAGTTTTAGCATTAAAAAGCCAACAGAAACACCAGCCATCGGAAAATTGCACCAAGTTCAGCCTCAAAGTTCCCAAAGAAATTACTCCAGAACCAACAGCCAAAACCCCAGGCACAAAAGCACAATTCAAAGCACAGCCCAGATGAACTCAGCCAAACTCCCCAAATGTGCTTATTAGGGGCCAGCAAAGGGCTGGTGAGAGGTTTTCATTTGGGTGGTTGGGGTGTTTTTTTTGACTAGCCCTGGTTTTTGGCTAACCCTGGTTCCAGGCACTGGCACTATGGGCAAAGTTTTACTCTGCGTCTTTGGCTCTTTCCTTTGCGACGCACTGGCACGTTCCCGGTCTCGTTGACCAGTTTGGGCGCGCAACCAACACACTCGGAGCTGGGGCGAAGCCGGAGCTGGACGCTCGAGGCAGCATATTTCCGAGGCGTGGAGTCTTTGCGCGGGCTTCCTTCCGTGGTTTGAGTCGGCGCTGGCACGTTCCAAGTATTGATGACCAGTTTGGACGCGCAACCAACACACTCGCTCCGCTACCACTGGCTAGCGCCAGGTCGTGGCGCAGTCACCACACTCGCTCCGCTACTATGGGCAAAGTTTTACTCTGCGTCTTTGGCTCTTTCCTTTGCGACGCACTGGCACGTTCCAGGTCTCGTTGACCAGTTTGGGCGCGCAACCAACACACTCGCTCCGCTGCCACGGACACGCGGCAGGTCTTGGCGCGGGGCGCTGGGGCGAAGCCGGAGCTGGGCGCTCGAGGCAGCATATTTCCGAGGCCTGGAGTATTTGCGCGGGCTTCCTTCCGCGGATTGAGTCGGTTGTTCTTAGACTGCGCTTGGCATGCTTCCACGACTTTGCTGAGGCTGCCCGTTCCGAGCATTTTTCTTCTCGCACTTTGCCATGAATCTGCAACTGTCGGCTCAGACGTTAGCCTTGGGCACGTAGAGGCCTGACGCGCGATGTGTTCTTAGATCAGGCATGAACTTCTGTCAAGCTTTCGGGGAAGCAACGCTTCTTTCTTGAACCCATGGTTGCAGCGCAAAACTATCATCCAAGTTTGAGCTGGGGTCGTGACCGGCCCTGGAAGCGCAGCATGTTCCGACCTGGCGCACGCTGCGTTGAGAAAGTCATCACTTGACGCCGCATGTTCTAGCCTCGTCTATGGTTCCCCGCCTTCGTTTCAACGCACTGTCGGAATCTGCGGAGCATGTCCCGACCTGGCGCGCGTGCGTCTCTGAGCAAATCCCTTGTGGCCGCACGCCTTAGCCTCGTCTACGTTTCGGCGGTTGCGCCTCAGTGCACAGCCGCGGTCTCTTGTGAGCTTCTACCTGGTTAACACTGAGCGCATGTCTGTCTCCAGCAGCATGGCGTCCTTGGACCTGGACCTAGCATGTAAGCGTAAAGGCTCTTGAGGCAGGCCTATGGTGAAACCACGGCCGCCCACAATCAAAAGCTGCGAGCTTGGCGAGCGCACTTCAGCGCCGTGCTGTTTGTGGTGCCGAGCAGCGAAGCAGCGCCGGCATACCAGCTAGGCTTTGAACTTCTGCGAGACTTGCCACTTTCGGAGCGTTCCACTTTAGGCCCAGCTGTACGGCAAGTGCATGCTGACTGGCGGTGTCGCGTAAAATTGGACGAGCCTTGACCGTGGCCCTGGTTTTGCTCGGAACAAGCTGCAGCTCTCGCTCTTTCCTTTGCTAGGCACTGGCACGCTCCAACTCTTGTTAACCAATTTCTAAACACAACCAACACACTCACTCCGCTACCACCAGGTCGTGATGCAGCCACCAAACTCGTTCCGCTACTGTGAGCACACTTTACTCTGCAGCTTTGGCTCTTTCCTTTGCTAGGCACTGGCACACTCCAGGTTTTGTTGACCCGTTTGGGCGCGCAGCTAGCACATTGGCACCGCTAAGGTTGCTGCAATAACAGTTGCAACTAGAGAATGTTGAATGCTATAACGTCCCATACAACGCAAGGGGCGGTGCACCTCTCGACACTTTTTCCTGACCCCTGTCGCCTCTTGCTGTTCCCTCAAACACTCGTTCTTGACCCCATTACTTCCATCTGACCCCTAAGAAGCTTGTTCTTCACCCCAGGTCCTTTTTCGGGCGCGGATTTATTTTGGGACTTTTTCTTTTTTTTTGGATTTTTTTAGTTTTTCGTTCGGGCCAGTAAAATGTCGTATTTTACAGCATTTTCTCGCGAAATTGCCGCATTTTACACTAGCTCTTCAACATCCCCAGCATCGTTTTCAACATCCCCCGCATGTCCGACCAACATCCCTAGCATCACCAACAAATTGTGGGTAACAAAATCCAAAAATGTAGCTGGCGAGTTGACGGGGTCAAAAGAATAATGCTTCAACCAGGAGGGCATTTCAATCCCAGCAAAAAAACAAATAAACAAACAATTTAAACAAAAAACAGAGCAGGGGGTTTGGGGGGGGCGGCAGCCCCCCCCATAATGGTTGCAGTAGTGATGATTCGAATAGGGGTGCAATTAAATCCCTGCAATAAGTCTAAAAAGTAGCGGGGGGGTTGGGGGGGGCGGCAGCCCCCCCCATGATGTTCGAAGAATTGATGATTCAACTAGGGGTGCAATTAATTAATTCTCTGTAGAAAATCTAAAACGTAGCGGGGGGGTTGGGGGGGGGGGCAGCCCCCCAGCCAACCAACCAACCAACCAACCAACCAACCCAACCAACCCAACCAACCCACCAACCAACCAACCAACCAACCAACCCAACCAACCCAACCAACCAACCAACCAACCAAACAACCAACCAACCAAGCCAACTAGCCGACCAGCCCCCAACCAGCCGACCAGCCGACCAGCCCAGCCAACCAACCAACCAACCAGCCAGCCAGCCAGCCAGCCAGCCAGCCAACCAACCAACCCACCCACCCAACCAACCCAACCAACCCACCAACCAACCCAACCAACCAACCCAACCAACCAACCCAACCCACCAACCAACCAACCAACCAGGGTTGGGGCCAACCGGGGTTGGGGCCAACCAGGGCTAAGCAAAAAAAACACACGACCCCATTTGGGTCTCCCTCCAAAACCACCTTCTGGGCTGGGCAGCCTGATAGGCTGCCGTAGCTTCACACTTTGCTTCTTTCAGCCACGCCTGCGACCCATCCGTGTTAAGCAGTTGGCGGCCGCTCAACACATATTCGTGAAGTGGCACTGGACGATAAGTGGTCTGATAGAGGATCGCACTCAACCTCAAGCCAACATGGGCTTGATCACATGGTGAACCTAGATGAAAGGAGGACGTGAGATGACACAATCGGGAGCTACGTGTAACAAGGAGGAATTCATCAACACACTTCATGCTTCATGCCATTTAAATGCAAATGTACAGCACTTGGTGGGATCAAAGCAAGACATGGTCTTCCTAGCAAAAATCTGCTGGCTGCTTAGGATCCATGATGACCTGAGATCCTTCGTGGCAACCTACACAGTGGGAGCAGCGCCCCAGATCCAGTCATGCATATGTTTAGCGAATCCTTCGAGGTGACGCATAGTGGTCCCTCACCATGATGCAGTTTCCAAAAGGTTGTAAAACCCCTTTTTGCAATTGATGACTGTTTTGCAGAGCCAAGCAGCCATCGTGCGATGTCCTCCACGTTGGGCAAGGTGGCGCTCAAACCAACCACCTTGCATGTAGAAACTTGGGCTTGCTTTGGCAATGGTACAATCCTTCGAAAGTGCTCGATGTCTCAACATGAGGACGCCTGCTTTGCTTCGTCTCACATGAGCCCGCTCAAGTCTGCGCTTCACGTAGAGGACTTGGACAATTAGCGTGTCCGGCTTTTTGCAGGATTTCTACTGTTTGGCTCATGATCCTTCATGCAGCATGCCCCTCTAACATGAATCACAACCGGAGCAACCATTTGGGGGGGAGGGGGCGCCATGATTTGGAAACACCCCGGAAGCACGTGAGTTTGCGGAAATAACGCAAACGACAGGTCCGCGAACACACAGGCTCTGCAAAGCACTGCAAAACTTCAGCAATGCCTCCAGCGTTGTAGCTAGAGCTTCCAAAAGCAGTTGGAAAAAGATGTGCAGGGGCAGTGGATGCAAGAAGGTGAGGAGGAGCTTCTGAGAGCCCTGGTGTTAGGTACAGCCAAGGAGCTGAGTGCAAAAACAAGAAGCCGCTAGAAGCCCGGGTGGGCTGCGTGTCCCTCACCTCCTCTTCAATAAATGCGGGCTGTCCTATATTCCTTTGCCCAGGATCGGGTCCTTGCACCGCGCTTGCGCGGCGCTTGCGCAAGTGATGCGCGCGCACAGTGTCGCAGAAACTAGGTTTCGTTGACCTCGGTTTGCGAAGCTTTCGTGTGGATTGCGCGCAAGCTTTTCTAAGCAGTGTGTTTGTCGTTCACACAGCAACCCACAAAGGCTCTTCCCGCTGAGGTCGCTCCCAGCAATTCTAGGCCAGCAACATACTTGACCAACAGAAAGGACAGCAGGCTCTGCCACACAACTTGGACACAGCCTGAAAGAAGGAAAGTGCGTGTTGCATTGCTTAAGCCGCGCCGCTTGACAGCAAATGGCTAGATGTCTTGCTGGGGCTTCTCGCGCTTGCGCGCAACTTGCGCGCGGCTTGCGCGGATTTCGTCGTGTCAGCTGCTGATTGTTCAAGTCATGACCGCAGAAGCTTTGGCTTCGTTTGGCGTCTGATTGAAAAAAGCCGCACCTTTGCAAACAAGCTTGTGACCTACACATGACTCAAGCAACATTTGAAAAGCACAAGTACAGTAAAAAGATATCACCTCCTTTCATAAAGCTAGGCAAACCCTTAGGAACTGTAACCTTGCGCGTCCCTTGGGCCGCACTTGCGCGCTCCTTGCGCGCACAGCTTTTGACAACTTTTACTTCTCCCCGTTCGGCGATAATTAAAACCGAAGACTGAGATTTTAGGACGGCCCTCAAATGTGCGCACATTGCATGGCCTGCAGTAAATGCTGCAAGACGAGCTCGGACGTGCGTACAGATTCTTGGAAGCGGAGTGAGAGATAAACGGCTGGGTTCAACTGCAGAAGGAAAGGAACAGAACCGAAGCCATGCCAACAACATGGTGATGCTGTTCGATGTCTTTCCCCCGCTCGGTTGCTTGCTTGATGCCGAGAAAGACCAATGGTGAATCGACGGCTTTATCCGAACTAGCCAGCAAATAACGCTTTAGAGCCCTTGAGTCCCCCACCTAAAGTCTTTGAGTCAGATGAAACAACTAAGGTATCCGCTGCTCATTGCTTGACCGCGAGCAAATTGAGAACCGAGTGTCAACAGGCCAAAAGACCATCCATCGGCCACGCCTGGATGTCAGGAGCCAGGAATAGGACCTGCAACTCTATCATCCTATCATCTCATCTGCGCAACAAATGAAAGCTTGCCTGGGAAAGATCAACAAGCCAAAGGACTGAACCTTGAAAGATCATAGTCTCAGTAAGGGCACCACAGGAGACCACTTTTAGATTCTTCGCACCGACTACATTCCCGTTCAAGAAAACCGCATCTCCCGCCTTGCTCACAAAGACCTCCAGCAAATATCCTCTGGAACTGTCCCCCACCAAATGAAGCTCATCAATGACCAAGGTGCCAACCATTGAAAGCTGACCTGGCGCAGAGTGCGTACCTATGGAAGCTGCGGTTTGCCCTGTTTCTGAGCTTTATGAAAATATTTGTTTAATTCTGCTGGACTGAGACTGCCTCCTTTTGGCCAATGCAAAGCTTCCGCTTTGTGACCCACATTGCTCGGTTGCTTTCTGCTCCCGTGCTAAAAGATTAACTTTCAGTGTTCAATGCAAAACCCATTAGTGGCGAAAAGTTAAAGTCCTAACATCCACAAAGATTGGACCCTCTTTCATATGTTTGCCCAAACCGCGCCTTCTTCCACCAGGTAGTTGATCAACGTGTTGGCCTTTTCAATGGTGCACACGGCGATGTCGAAGGGCTCCTCTGGAACTTTGCATCAACTTCCACGGACGAAACACAAGAACCACTCACTCGTTGACATAAGAAGCAACTTGTAATAGCTGGGTCCATTTGCAAACAGTCAGTCAGCTTCCGAAGTGCTGACCCAAACACTGAGTCGACATTCACTGACCCACACACTCAGTCCGCATTCACCTCTAACACTGCGATCGCTCAGCAAAGCTCCTTGATGCCTGTGGGGCTCCCGCCAAAAAACGCCTTGATCAAGGCTCCAGTAGATTTGCACAGGCTTTGCAAAAAGTTGGCCTTCTCAGTCACCACGCTTACCTGAGTTCAGCTGGTCAATCGGTGACTCAGGTGGACTCTTAACTGCATTGCTCAAAGAAACATTCGGCGGCGAAGGCGGCTGAAACTATCAGTCACTCAAACCACCTCTCAGACGCTTTCTGGGTAAAAGTCGGCTGTCTCTCTTCCCCTTCCTGCGTGTTGTGCGATAAGGACATTGCCTCAATCTTAGCCGGATCGACCCCTGCCAGCACTCTTTTTGAATCCAAGGAGCATAGGGCAGAACGAAAATCGCCCGCTTCTTCAGCTTGAAGAGCCGCTGTAGCATGAGGATCTCGCTCACCATGGTCTTCCCGCCACTGGTGGGAGCGCAGTACACCAAATTCCGGCCTTCCTGCAGCGAGGAATAGCCCACTTCCAATCAGCCACAACAATCGCCCCATCCCTCTTTCTCTTTCTCTTTCTCATTCTATTTCTCTGTCTCGTGCCCTTCTCTCCAGTGTTCGAAGCGCCAATGTCCTGCACGCCAGCAGTTGACAAACATTCGGACTGCCAGCCATACAAGCTCTTGATTCCGCGCTTCTGGTATGACTCCACAATGGCCTCGTGCGATTCTCAAACGCTTTGCATGCCGCAACTCCGGGTGTCAAACAAATCCCAGCTGCCCTGAAACATATTAATTAACAGTCCGGATTCATTCGGGCTTCATTCGAGTATGGGGTACGATATGACAAACCGATGACCTACGTTTAAGGGTGCGTTTGGTTGAGGGTTGCTTCGGGGTGGCTGTTGAGTTGGTGTATGCTGGGTTCAGGGTGGTCTTCTTTTATTGCCAAGGATGCGAAGCGATTTGCGGTGAGTTTTGGATAGACCTAGGGTCTCCAATCCAAGCCATCCTGCAACCACTCCAGGCCGCTTCAAGTCCAAACCTCAAACAACATAACTCTACGTCAACAGGGATCCTTAGATTATACACCTGAGCATTGCCTTGTAAATGGTGGTTTCCCCTTATTTTGGTGGAAAAAGCCATGTTTCAAATGGGCAAAATGTATCTTTTACGGAGCCCTGGTCAACTATCAATCCTCAAACCTTAACCTTAAGCCCATATCAAATGAAGAGGCCATCTAAACCCACTAAAATTGCCCCACGCCAACCCGGACATAGTTTTGGTTGAAGGTTGGTCGAGGGCGGGTTTAAGGATGTACACAGGGCTTACGCTTGGCAGGGTGGACAGCTGGATATCCAAAGCCCAGATGCCAACAACACAAACGAGCCGAAACACAGATCCCATAAAACGAAGCATCGCAAAGTCGCAAAACATGGCGCCCTTCCCAAGAGGAACGGCCAGAAGGAGCTCTTTTGGCTCGGTTGGCCCTCCCTCGCCTTGGGAAGATCCAGATGTTGCAGCTCTGCCATGCCATGGTGCAGGGCTCTTGGGCCAGTTGCTCCGGCTGAACCCAACGCGACAACGACCCCATGGCACCTTTGACCAGACTGGCCAACTTGCGAGGCTTCTAGTGGCGGCCAATGGGGGCCATGTGATTTTGATGTTTGGATTGATGGCCACCGAATTCATTGGGAGGAGTAAGCCCCGCGCGGTTGGACATGGGCCTCTCCCTGGAAATGCCCTTGCCTATCTGACAGACTCCGAGGGCCTTCAAGCCTCTCGGGCCAGTGCAGCATTCCAGCTCCCCGCACAAGTCGGCAATCTGCTTCGAGATGGGACTCAGCGGATCCTGGCAACACGCAAATTGCGTCTTGGAATTCTGACGCAAGCTGAACTCCAAGAGGAATTGTGTGATGTTCGGAGCCACTCAATTTTATCTGAAAGGCTCGAAGTCGAACCGACCTCGCCGTCGTGCAGCTGTGGCCAGTATTCTGTCACCTGTGGCTTCAGGGCAATTCCAGTCCGTAGCTAGGCATTGTCAAAACCCTTGCGTTTTGGGTCAGACAATGCCGACTTCACGGCCCTCCCCTCGATTCCATCAAATCTCGTGGCTCAATGCAGCTCTTGAAACCAACCATTGAATCCTAGGCCAAGCCTACAACACAAGCGCCGGGATAGGGCCAGAAGAGCCTAACTCCAAAGCCAAAGAGGCCTCCAAATTTCCCCCAACAACTATTTCATAGTCAAAAAGGAACAAAAACAACCAGGATGCTAATAAAGCATTGCAAGCTGCGGTCTTGAGAACAAACATGTTGCTCAAACATAGGGCCCTGTGGATGAAAAAGTAGACTCAGACCTGCCGTTGTATGGAGATGAACAGCCTTCGATCACTTTCCTCTATCGCTTTCTTGCTTTCTTGCTGTGTTGCTTTCTTGTTGCTATCCTCAATCATTGCAAAAACCAAGGTCGGGACGTGATACCCAGGGCTGAGCACGACGCACTCCTCCTCGATAGAGACACGACGCTCTGTGACCATCTTCTTAGCGGTGATCACGCTGTCTTTCAATAGGCTTGCTTGGGAGCGAACAGTTGCACAAGTTTGTCGAATCGTGAAGTTTGCATTGAACAGAATGCCAGTCCTGTGCGAGAAGCTGGTCCAGTATCGCGGTTGGAGATGCCATTGTCTCATGAAACTGCACGCCAGGGTCAAACACTGATTCACACAGTCAGACTGCCTCATAAGATCACTTCACAGTGCTTGAGCGGCAGCAAACCGAGCCTCATCGTCGGAGGAAAGATCCACCTGTCAGTAAATTGCTGACAGGTGCGCATCAGTACGAACCCTCCAACCTCTCCATCGTCGTCCGACATGGCTGATGGGCAAAAAGCTTACTATTAATTGATTAATTGAGACAGCAGCATTGGTTCACTGCCCTCCTATCCGTCTTTGATACAAACAAGTTTTGTTGTCAAGGTAGCTGACGCGATGTCAACAAATTGCCACACAGACACGATTCGAGCCTACTGTTTCGTGAACAGTCTTGACAGCGCACATGCAAGTGGATTCACATTCTCTGTCAGGCTCCAAATGGGCATATTTGTTGAAGGGTTGTTGGCACTGTTGACTCAGCAACATGACATGGCTGTGGTTCAAACACATGTCGTGTGCTGGCACCTTGGTAAATGGAACCAAAGACTAACCTGCGTGCCCTAGCCCTTTATCCACTCCGCGGTCTCAATTCTTTTGGTGCGGCCGATTTCTCCTCTCGAAAGACCTGCCACGGCCAGAGCGCTTTTAGCGACTTTGATGCATCGGTCTGATGCAACTGAGGAATTAACTCTGCTGCACATGTTGACTACATGCGGCAGCCAACTAGGTGCTCGTTAGCAACCAACCCCGTCATCGCTCGCCCTTTCCGCGCGTTAAAAGGCTCGGGGGTTGAGATCCGCATGCAAAGCTGCAACACTTTGCCAGTAACACTGATCATAAGAATAGATGGAGATCAATGGAGGCCAATCTGCCCGGATCACGGCACAGCCCGTACTGGAAAATGCTTCTAGCTGCAGGTTGGCATCTCTCGGCTCAGGTCGCTATCCTGGCTGGCACCCACAAACTCTCCAGTAACTCCCACACAAACCCCGCTCCTGATGGCAGCCCAAGCCTCCGCATCCGCAGGTAAACCTCAAAGCGAAATGAGCCGAAGGAGGATACATGAACCCTCAAAGGCGTACCAGTCATACCGTTTTTGTGCATTTTATGCAGCCTTGAACAATCAAAACAGTTCACTGAAAAGACCTCATTTGGCCATGGGTCACAACCTATGCCTCCATTTTGGGGCGGATGAACAGCCATGTACCACCTATTTTGATGTTCACCAGGGGTACCGCATTTTGACCCACAGCCATTTGAAAAGGCCCGAATGGTCATTTAAGAAACCCACTGCAGTTTCTCTTTGGGCCAGCCACTCGCAACTCAGCTAGCTGCATCCTGGGCTGCTGCCCTCTGCTTGCTGTCAAAGTGAAAGCACTCTTCCACCTGGCAAGAATGAGTTCATCTACGTTGTCTTTGTTTTGGCTTTCCTTCAACACGACGCCACTGTCCTTGCTGCCGAATCCTGGCCCTGTGACAAAAATAGAGCCAGCTGGACGATGGGACGAACGCCTGAAGGCAGATGATTGGGGATGTAGGGCAGCTGCTTGTCAATAAGCACCTCGCTTGTGAAGAATGGCAATCAACAGTGCATGATCAACTATCAGCTCTGCAGGATCGGCCCGCAAATGTTTGCTGTCAGGAAAAGCTAAAGGTAACTCAATGTTATATTGGCTTGTGTTCCCTTCTTTTGATGCACCAATGCAATGTTTCCATCTTTTAGAAAAGCCACTCCTGAACTTTGCAGCGGGCTTCTGCACACATCTTTGCCGCAACACTTGTGTCGAGTGTCTTGTGATTGCATGGTGCCAGTTCATCCGCTTGCTGGCTCTGCCAATGGTTGGACAAACAAACAAGCGGGGATATGGAGGGAGCTGGGATATGGGGGGATTCCCTTGGCGCCATTTCCCATATCAAACCTGTCAAGTGCATCAAACGGGGGAATCCTCAACCGTATCCAACTGGTTCTTCCTGTATCCCTGCTAGTTGGTTTCCCCGAAATGGAACTGTGCAGGTCTCCCTCGTGCCTTGGCGACGATTTGCTGGATGTTCTGGCAGTCATCATAAGGCAAAGGCCCGCCAAAGCACTCCACGAGAATGCAGCCTGCCGGCGCGAAATATCCAAGGACCTTTGGACCAAAAAGGGTGTGGGTCAAAATTTAGCAGCTGGGGATACGCAGGTTTTGCCTACCTTTCCATTTACCCAGGTTCCATTTTGGACCCCACACACAAAAGGGAAAGCCAAAGGGATAAAAAAAGAAGCCGCATTCGGCAAACTGCCCACTTTTCGGATCCAGCCCAGCTAGCTCCTGCCCGACTTGCACACGCATGTGCACGTTGGTCTGTTCACCCACACATCTTTGCAGTCAAACACACTACACGAAAGGAAATGATGCTGCATCAGCGATTCGCAACATGCACCAATTTCAGGCTGCAGCCATCTCGTGCGAGAAAAAACCTGGCCATCTTCGACTTTTCGACCCGTGTCTCATCCGAAAGCTGAACCTTCCTCTTTCAGAAGCTGGGCTTCCCGACCAAGAGCCCAAGTATCGACCTGTGCATTGAAGCGTGCAGCAGGTTTGTCAGATAGCCGGAATTACATGCGGACCCGGCAAGAGAGAAAAAGATACGTGCTCACGCACGAGCCACGACATCCCAGGATGAAAAAACCAATCAAAGACTTAGCCTGATTTTTTTGCCCTGCTCAGCAAATGAACATGGCGATGACCAATCACAACTAAAGTAAAGACACCCTCGAAAACTCATGTGCAGCTCTTGTACACATGTGAGATGAGGTGAGCAACTTGATCCAAATTCAACAGTAATTATATCTAGTACATAGAGATTTAAATCTAAGCAAACCTGAAGAGGGCACTCACCACAGCTTGATAGCACCATACTAGGGCTTGCATAGGGATGCCTAGCATATTTACTCAATCCCATTGTTCTCAATGTACCGTTTAACCCTTGAATCTTCCCAGTCCAATTTGCCTTTGCGAGACATGCCTCAAAAAGTGCATTTACGGTACTTGGCCAACAACTCATACTTACTTGCTCTTTCCCAATGAAACACAACTGTCTCAACAAACATCATGCGCGTACCTCTGGCATCCATGACCGCCTTAAAACAAAAGTATCAAACAACTCTCAACAACTAACTAAGGGTTGCACAACTAACAACAATGGGTTGCACAACTAACAGTAGTGCATTGCCGTCCCGCTGAATCGGAGCCCGCCTTCTCAGTGATCTTGCCCTTACAGTCATAGCACTCAGGCCTCGACTTGTGGACAAGTTGGGAGCACCACGGGATATTGGTCATGTCCACCGGTTTAGGATAGTTCTATGGCACAGGCCCTTCTGGCATCCCCTTTCTTGTCATGTCACTGGCTTCCCTTCTTGGCTTAGCTTCCTTGATTCAGACATGCTTGAAGAGTGGCCGTTTGAACAACTTCACCAGCATACATCTAGAATGTGGGGTTGGCTCAAAAGGTCCCGTACATGGGATGACCATTGGATGATAATTCCCTATAGGACAAGCTCCCCGTGGTCATGGCCGGAGGCCGAAGGGAAAATTTTCATCAACCCCCAGGAATCTTTGAGCCCGCCAAATCGCGATGGGGATTATTAGGATTGTTCCCACCGATTCTGAGGCACCGAGCGCCATATACCGGGGCGAGCCACCGTTGCCTCCCTCCTTCAGGGTGATGTGCGTCTTCTCCATGGACCTCAGGCAAGTACCCCCGGTCATTTCTCAATTCACCAGTTCCCTCATTCAGGCAACATCAGTGTAACATCAAATCTTTAATATTGGGATCTTGTGCAAAGCAAGCACATGCGGGCACGCTTTGCCACTTGAGCAGAAACATACTTCTTGTCTGCAGACTTTGGGGGGATGCAGCAAAACCGATACTAGGGGTGCGACTGGGTCAAACCAAAGTCACAAATCTTGGCGTTGTAGATGCGATCTAAGACAATGTTGAGCCTGAGGACAGGTTGCCAGTGGCCATGAAACATTGCAATACATCCTCTGTGACATGTGCAAATCCCCAGTCTAGATCGATTCAAACAAATAACACACACGCACCCACAGACACACTTTGTCTTCCTTCTGCAACAAAGGAGGCAAATCAGGCAATCGCTCTCTGATGGCTCGAATAAACAAGTTAAAGCCTCATGTAGAGGCGGGACCGCCAGCCACCGCGCGCCATGGAGGAAAGAATCCGCCAGCCATTCCGTGAGGACCGCACGACTTCAGATCCCTGTGAACTACGGGAGGCTGATGACCATGTAGAAAATCCACCCCCTCGCACACCTGAAGCTCACTGGCTCTCACTTGCGCGAGCCAACGGCCATGGCCTGCAGTGCCATCTTGGACTGGGTGCTCAGTGTAAGCGGCGTCCTGGCCTCATGCGCCGAGTGCAGAAAGTCTGAGGTCTTTCTAGGGGTTGATCCTCCATTCTTTTCAACCATCGTTCTTTTCAAAAAGTAGCTGTTTCGCTGGGTGTTTGATGGTTTCCTGAAAAGAAGGATCCCTGGAAAGAATGGAAATGAAAGGTACCCCGAGAGTCTTAGGGTCTTCAGATGCTCGGTGGAGGCTGTGTACTGACATCATGATAATCCACTTTCCGCCTTGTGCAGCAAGTGGTGCAGAGAACCGCCAGCCATGAACCTTGGGCGGCTGGACACATGACGCATGTCTTCAGCAAGCCGTGCCAAAACGCAACCCGACCTGCCAACAAAGACTAACAAACGACCGCTTGCATGAAAAAAGGGGAGAAAAAAAAGGGGGAAAAACGTCGGCATCACACATTGCGAGGCTCTGCAATCAGCTCCTTGGTGCATTTCAGACCCAAGCATACAAAGGAGGCGCAAATTGAAACCTCCATTCGACTTGAGAATGGCCGCCGTTAGCTTTTTCATGCTAGATTTACAGGCACAGCCTAACGCCATTTGGCGAGAGGAAGACCGCTCCGCAAAGCTGGGAAATTCGCACTGGCGACCATGCAAATGTACAAGCCAGGCTATGACTTTCGTGGCTGTACGCCAATATGAACGTCTCAGTGCTTGAGCCCTCTCACGGTGTTTGAATCATCGAAAACAGTACTTGAACCATCTCACAGTGTTTGAACAATATTCTCTTGAGAGCAGCTTTGCAAAGCTAAAGGCTGAAAACCTGCAGCTCCTCATGATCGGACTCATCCAAGCAGTGCATGCAGGATGGACAACTCCGAGTGAGGCTCCGAGAAAGCCACTCGTCGATGCAGAAGGCATGGTACTCACAGGGCCCATGAATGCCGAAGGAACAATTCGACCATGGAGCTTTTACACACCTCAAGGTCCAAGGTGACTTTATTTATTTATTTGTAGTGTCTGTCAATGTCAATTTGTATTTATTGCCAATATGATCTATACATGTTTCTTTCTTTCATGGTGACCTTGAATGTCAGCTGCAGCCAAGAATGGGCACCATTCTCAACGCAGCTGGTTGAGGCCCTCTCAAACACAACACACGCTACTCAAGCGAAACCGAATGACACCGGACCTGATCTTAGCCCAGTCCTTATGCAAGCAAGGCAGCACTCGAAGCACCTCATTCTCCCGAAAGTCTTCTTGGCAAATGGTACACTCCTGCGCAATGCAGTTCGGAGCGATTACCCAACGCCTGCAAGCACACCTGACTGGTCGGTCCTTGTCACTTTCTGCCATCGTTTTCCGAAAGCAGATTGTGACCATCCTGCTAAGCATCAGTATGCCGCAGGCAGCACATAGCAACCAACGTGGCTACGTGTGCGCGCCACAAATTTCGTCGGAACCGTTCCGAGTCAACCACACCCGTCACCAAACCAAAGCCAACACCACATCCAAGCTGCTTGCGCCTTTCGACGTGGTTCGGCACCACATGTTCGCCTCTGCCTCACACACGCAGAGTGAGGTTGCTGCCGATGTTGTTGCTGCCGTTGTTGTTGCTGCAGTGGTTCTTCTTGTTGTTGTTGTTGTTGTTGTTGTTGTTGTTGTTGTTGTTGTTGTTGTTGTTGTTGTTGTTGTTGTTGTTGTTGTTGTTGTTGTTGTCCTTGTTCTTGCCGTTGTTGTTGTTCTTCTTGTTCTTGTCGTTGTCATTGTTGTTGTTGTTCTTGTTCTTGTCGTTGTTGTTGCGGTGGTTGTTGTGGTTGTTCTGGTTGTTGGTTGTTGGTTGTTTGTTGTTTGTTGGTTGTTGTTGCTTTTGTGTGCTTGTTGACTTATTTGTTTGTTGACTTATTTGTTTGATTGTTTGTTTGTGCGTTGGCTTGTTGTTGTTGTCGTCGTTGTTGTCGTTGTTTGTTGTTGTTGTCGTCGTTGTTTGTTGGTGCTTGTTGTGGCTGTTGTTCGCTTGCTGTTGTTGTTGTTGTTGTTGTTGTTGTTGTTGTTGTTGTTGTCGTCGTCGTCGTCGTCGTCGTCGTCGTTGTGGTTACGGTTGTGGTTGTTGCGGTTGTTACGGTTGTTGTTAGTTGTTGGTTGTTGGCTGTTGGTCGTTGTCGTTGTTGTGGCTTTTGTTGTTTGTTGTTGTTTTTGTTTGTTTGTTGGCTTATTTGCTTGATTGTTTGTTGGTTTGTTGTTGCTGTTGTTGTTGTCGTTGCTGTTGTCGTGGTTGTTGTCGTTGTTGTCCTTGTTTGTTGTTGTTGTTGTTGTTGTTGTTGTTGTTGTTGTTGTTGTTGTTGTTGTTGTTGTTGTTGTTGTTGTTGTTGTTGTTGTTGTTGTTGTTGTCGTTGTCGTTGTCGTCGTTTGTCGTTGTTGTTGTTGCTGGTTGTTGCTTGTGTTCGCTTGTTGTTGTCGTCGTCTCGTCGTCGTCGTCGTAGTGGTGGTTGCGGTTGTGGTCGCGGTTGCGGTTGCGGTTGTGGTCGTTGTGGTTGTGGTTGTGGTTGTTGTTGTTGCTGTTGCTGTTGCCGCGCGCGCGCGCGCGCGCCCAAGCGCGTCCGTTCAGCGCTTTGTCCACGCCTGCCTGGTGATAAGAGCGCCCGCTGAAGCGCGTCCGCCCAGCTCTGCATTTAGGCGAATGATACTTGCACCCGCCCACACGGCCGCTCAGAACTGTACGCACGCCAGGCGATAAGCACACCCGCTTAGTTGCGTCCAGCTCTGTGTCCGCTGCCAAAGGACAAGCACGCCCGCTGATGCGGCCGGCCGCTTAGAGCTGTATCCATGCTGCCCGGCATATGATACGCACACCCGCTTAAGTGCACCCGCTCAGCTCTGTGTCCGCGCCTGCCACATGAGCACACCTGCTCAACTGCGTCCGCTCAGCGCTGTATTGATGCCAGCCAAATGATAAGCACACCCGCTCAAGTGCGCCCGCTCAGCACAGTATAGTGATAAGCACCCGTGCTCGAGTGCGTTTGCTCAGCTCTCTGTGTCCACGCCTACCAATTGATAAGCCCGGACAATATGTTCAATCCGATGACTGGCTGCTGAGGTAAGTTTTAAGAAACAAGAGATTGCAATTGAACCTCAAAACGAACATGGGCCTGCATCTGACTGCGCAGTCGGCCTTTCTAGTGAAGCTGAGACTCAGTTTCTGGGCACAGTAAGCTTTGCCTGCCAGTGGGATTCCCTTTCAGATTACCGTATGTCTGGGCCTTTCTTCTTCGGCTACAACGGCTTTTGGAAAGGGCACACCTGCTGAAAGATGTCGTACGCCCACGGCTTCGCACATCCGCACTGCTCCTCGCCTATTGTCCTACCAGTAAGCTGAGGCATCCGCCGTCACGCATCTGATAAGGCGTTCGGCCAAAGTTGTTCTTCTGATGGGGATTGGCGCCCCATTTCCTTCGCACACCGAGCCAAACAACAGAAATCGCTGATGGAGCATCCGTGCAACCTCACAGCCGTCAAAGTGATCTACCTCAGACGCTCTCCCTCTCTCTCTCTCTCATGCCTTAGTCTGAATGCCAAGAATCAAAAGCAGCTGGGCAGACTCGGCGCGGTCAAGATCGACCGCAAAGTGCAAAGGCGTGCTGCCTCAAAGCCGGTTCAAACACCCATGGTCAGCACTATGAAAGCACAGAAACTCGTCTCTGCTTACCTGCCTTGATCATTCGTGACATTGGGGTTGACTCCTCAGCCACGCGAAACCGATTGCAGGCGGTTTCGCATTCACAAAACATATCAATGGCAGACATGTGCGAAATCGTGTATGGGACAGGTTGCATCCAGAATCCAGCCTGGGTTCCTCGTCTCATTGCCGTCGAGCTTCGCGTCTCCAGCAACATCTTGAGAATGTTGATGTTTCCGCGAAGTGCTGCCACATGCAATGGCGACCTCTGTCTGCTCCAACGAATGATGGTGCAAGCTTGGCGTGCTCCCCTAGTGAGGCTGGGTGTTGCTACCACTCTTGGAAGTCTGCTCAGGAAAGCTCAAGGATCCAGCACAAAAATCCCCATCTCACAGCAAACCCATCTTCAAAATCAGTGCATGTTGCCTTAAGTCTATGGGCTGAGCATGCCCCTCTGTGGTGGAAGAGTCAAACCAACCCTTATCACAAGAAACATGCTGTAAAACAAGATGCATTTGCTTAGCTTTGCAGGATCGCTCACCCTGCTGTCCCTCGCACTGTCTCGCTCAAAAGGAGTGGTTGCCATTTAAGCCCAAAGCGGGGCCACGCGCAGATCCTCGCCCTCCCCATCCTCGCCACTCCCCACAGCAGAGATGATGGCCATCTGGGATGGCCTCCAAAACAAAAGCCCCAACTAAATCACCAACATATTCACCACCTCAATACCCAACTGGATCGCAAACAAAATCACCAACATGTTCACCAGCGTTTCGAGCTGGCGTGCTGCGTCCTCAGGCAAGGATCGGAGGGGGAAGAATTGAAATGTTGAAATATGCGATATGATCCCTCGGGTGTCACAGGGAAAAAGCACGATCCATTCCCAGCTTGCAATTCGATTCGCAACGAATCCCAAGCTTTCAAGAAAACGGTTCGGGTTCGGCAGCGCAAAGATTCCTCTGGGTTCACTACAGAACTTCGTGTAGGGAAAGGTGGGTTTGTGTTCTTGTAAGGGTACCTTTTTTGGGGTCGCTATCAAAGCCTACTTCCACACGCACAGACACACAAATGCAATTTCCTGCTCTATGCGATCTAAGTGCAAGGCATACCCGGCCAGAGCAGCTCGTGGACGTGCTTGCAGCTGATCCACCTGCGTACGGCCTTCTCATCCTCCTTCCGCACCAAAGCCTTCAACGAGACCTGCGCAGGCACGCAGGCAAGCAGGCGGGAGGGGTCACAAACAGGTGCTCGAAAAGGAATCCGTCCCATGGGGTGCTCTAAAATGATCTGCTTTCCCTGAATGCCAACCAGAAGGCAGAAGGGGGTCCACCCCTTGAGAAACACTCAAACCGTCCCCAAACTTCGCGAGGTTCGAAGTTCAGCTTTCCTTTCCTGTTTTGTTCTCAGAAAATGTTTGTTGCGTCTCTTGGCACTGTCCTTCATTTCTCAAAAGGGGCAAGCAGGCAGTGACTCTATCTATGGAAGGGGCCCTGATTTGGGCATCGGCCTGCACGAGCTCGTAGTCCGACATGGCGTCGAAATCTTCGGGCTCTTCGAGCGCCTGCGGCTCCGTGTCCAGCTCCACCACGTCGGAAACCCGATCCGAGACCTGCCGCGCGCGAAGAGCTTTTCAGCCGCTCCCTGAAGTGCTAAGAGAAACTGAGAGCATATGGCAAAAATGCCAGCGCGGGGCCGAAATTATAGGCCAGAACACGGCCGTTAGCAAGATCTTGCTTGCCATAAAGCTAGAGTGCAGGGTGCTTCAGCCCAACTCACCCGTGGACTGAGCTGTGCGCCACACTGTGCCGCTTCAGGTCGGGTACCTCTGAAAGACTCACACGTCACGTGGGAAATCAGGTCAAACAAACGTCCATGTGTTCTCTTCTCTTCCGAGACTCAGGTTTTGCGAAAACAAATATCAGGGTATGACAAGTAGCCAAACAAACTATCGACACTGGCAGATTCCTGACCTTATCATGAAGAGGATGTGCGTAATACATCCCGAGCCCTCTCTTCCGGGCAAATCTCAGGCGAGGTGCTGGAGGCATCTCATCTATGGATGGAGTGTGCCGCTCTGTGATCTGGCGGGAACACACAAGCAAAGGGCCATGGCTGGTTATAGTGGATTCTTACTATATATGTCTGTGGGTCAAAACCCGTACCTAAGATGGGTGGTGCACCTACCCCAAGTTGTACCATTGGCTTTGACCCACAGCCATATTTGAAACGCCAGCTTGATGTGACAGTCTTGCCGAGGGGGAAGGCCATTGAAACCTGTGAGCTATTGTTGCGCACGCCAGTATCGCAATTGGGGACCGCATGATTCTAGGAATGCACACATCTGGATGGAAACGTGGGAGCCAACTCAGTTGAAATTAAATACTTACCGCTGTTTGTTGCTCAACTTTTGTCCCCTATCGTTTTCCGGGGCCCTGTGTTGTCGAAAGAACCTTCAATTTGTAAGTGTTGCAAGAACAAGCTAGGAGGGTAGAGAAGGGAGGGAGAAGAAACGAGGAAGAGAAAGAAGGGAAGAAGGAATAGGAAGGGAGGAGGGAAGAAGGGAGGAAGGGAGAAGGGGGAAGGGAGATGCTGCGCCTCCCTGCCCTGCGAAACGTTGACTCATTTGATTGGCCAGCGCGGGTCCTACTCCAATTCCCAAATTGCGGACGGCCTAGCGCCTGTGTCAAGGAGAATGTTCGGAGATGGGAAGGCGCAGCGCCTATAGGGTAAGCGATGGCCTGGCCACATGTTTGTGCTTTCCGGGTATCGGTCAGGGGTCAGACCACCCTCCAAAAACTGGAGAATTCTGCCCAGCGTCCCTAGGCAATGTGTGCGAGAACTAGCTACACATTGCGTACGTTCGCCTCTCGCAGCCAGCGCTGCTGTCAGGCGACTTGGTAGTTGGCTTTTCTGTTCAACACTTGCGCCGGCCGAAATCCTTGGCCGCAATGCGCAGTGGGACGCCAACAACGAGGGTAACCACACTGGATTTTGAACGACGGGCGGGGGGGGGGGGGAACCAAAGGCTGGCAGCCATGCCAGGAGTTCACTCCACCATGCATGCCCCTGCGCCCCCAAAGCAAACGTAGCCTGTCGAACCCGACGGCCTTCTGAAATATTGGAGCCGTATCTCATTCCAGCGTGTTGCTTCTAAAGATATGTGTCCAACTCCGTGCACAAACAAAACCGTGCATCTTCAAACAAATATCGCTCTTTGGTGAGTCCCCCATTGTTTGACGTAAGATTTTTGCATTTCCACAAAATTCTAAAAAAAAAAAACATGCACTAAACAACACACTTTGTTGTTGCAAAATAAACAACTACTAAACTCATCAGCGGCCAGTTTTGACGGTGCCTCAATCTGCGGTGCCTCTCCGTGGCATGTGCCGAGTGAGTCATGTCCGGCCTGACCCGACGGCTCTGCCGGAAGCCCGTCCAAAGGAACCTGCTCCCCTTCCAGCATCCTGAAGCAATGGCCGGCATTGGCTCCTTTTTCGTTTCGTTCGCAGAGTTGGTTTGGTGTTAGTTTTTAAATTCAAGGCACTAACAGTGAACTCATCGGGAATCTGAAAACGGACAGCCCATACTTGATGTAATTTGCTTTGGTACATGGGTTTGTTTGTCAAAATACGGGCGAACCCCCCCCCATAATGCATGCTTTCCTTCAGATTTCCCTTCGAAACCAACAAGGGGTTCCCTAAAACACACACACACACACACACATGCTGTCTAAGGGCCTTGAAGGGCGCCCCAACCACCAGTAGATGAGGCTCACGAAGACACAAGTTTCAGATCGCTGATGCGCTCATAGCTTTCATGCTACAGACCGGAGCTACCACGGGTTGAACGGCATGCGAAGCACGGTGCCCCAGCCCCAGCTCCAGCTTTGCCGATGCCTACGCGCCTCTGAGCCTTCTCAGGGAAGCGCGGAACGATCAGCCGACTCACAGGTACAAAGGTTTGGCTCGCCATGTCCATGTTCTAATCTACAACCATCTAGAAGCCTTTTAAGACCTGCGAAAGTAATTGGAACTTTGGACCAACCGTGGCTTGCTCGAGGCCTATCTGTCTTGACCCTCAGCCCAGAAGTCCTCCGGATCAGCTGCTTGCCCTCAGCTATCTCTGGCGCATCCCAGTCATTTGCGATGGACATATCCTGCACAAAGCTGCTCAAACTAGGCATTACAATTTCACGCTGAAGTAACAAATTCCCACGCAAGCGGATGAAGTCGCATGAGCCAGGTGCAAGTCTTACAAACCGCCATTGACTCTACAGCCGCAGGCATTAAATGTGGACATCCCTGGCTTCATTGGGCGGCCGTACTGTGGATGGACGAAATCCTGCACCTCTTTGAACCCTTGGGAGACCATTGCTGTTGGGGAATCATCATTCCAGGGTTTCTTGGGTGGTGCGACATGGATTTCACAACCACAGCAGGATTCCATTTCCATGCGTTCCACTGCTCTCGAATCTCGTGCCTTGGGGGACCTTCCAAAGCAATTCCGGATCTCCGGAGAAGCGCGCGCCTACGCAAAGAGTTCACTCATCAGTTGTTTCGCACAAGCTGCTCCGCACAGACTGTGGCACCTGCAGGAGGCTCTGCACCACCCGCGCCCGGCCAAGATCTACCGCAAGATGCCTAGGGCGATGCTCTGAGTCGCCTTCAAGAAATGCATTGCCTGGCACTCCTAACACAAATCAAACGGCAAGGTACAATGGAGTGTTGCCCTGGTCATCCACGATGTTAGGGCGCACCTGCGACATGCAACCGTCAAATAAAGCATGGTAGCAATGCAAACAAAACAGAGTTGTCGCATTCAAAATGTGGATCCAACACCCGCTGAAGGCTGGTGATGCTTTCAGGCTCCGCAACTGCAGGAAGCATGGTGCAAATGAGGCGGTACTTCTGTTCGAGTCATCTTCGCATAGCATAGATGATCAATCACAACACACTACTAAAGAAGCTTCTTCCCACAATGTGCGCCTCCTCCTGCAAAAAGCGCTCCACGAGCGACACATACCCTCGCAGCGCCGCCCGATGAATGGCCGACTTCGCATTTCTGCCCTGAGGATGGGTCGCAATGAAAGCCGCATTCAACACACAAGGGCTGCTCTCAGTCAAGAATCACATCAACCAAAGAATCGACCAAGCTGAATGGCACACACACAAAAAAAGAAAAAGAAAGAAAAAACACGACATGAGCTTTGCCCGAGTCCTGCTTCTATTGGCGGCCGTTGGTGGCCTTCCGCAAAACCTTGTGCGTGCTTCGTCGAAACCTGCTTACGATGTTTCCGCGCGTCCTTGCCATCGCTCGTTCAGGCAAACCACTTGTGCGCCACTTACGCAGCACGGGATTCAAGCGGCGCACAAAGTGTTTGTCTTCAGCAGCTCCGACTCGCAAATTGCAATTTTGCAGTCAGTGACCACACACAATACTCTTCAGCCGCTGCCGCTCGAACATCGACCTCTTTTTAGTACTGTACGCGAAGCTCTACCTCAGGAAAAACAAAACTGACTTTTTATTACCACCGCCATACTCTTTCGCAGCTCCAGCTCGAACACCACAACTACGTTTGTGCGACGAGCTTCTGCTAGGCTGCCTCAGAGCTTCGGCATTGTGGTTGCCCGGGTTTGCGACAACATGCCCGACTCACAAGACAGTGGCAGCAGCGTTGAATGGGCTTGCCCGTCTTGCATGACAAGGGCACGAGGGTGCAAAAACCTTGAAGATCGCAATCCTTTCAAAGCTTTTGTTTCCAGCCAAAACGTTTGTGATAGCTTCCGCAGCCATGTTTTCTTCATGACACAAGAGCCTTGCCGAACTGAAAGGACTTTGGGCGCTAACAAGACCCAAAACGCGGCCATCAACCGAGGACTCCGGCCTCGTGCTCGCAGGTGGTAATTTCATTCAGCAACGCCGCCTGGACTTCGATCTGTTTATGGCAAGCGACGGTTCTTCCACGAGGGGAACCGTCGTCACAAAACCCGTCTCATGGCTTTCTCCCTATGGCTGTCGAATTTCAACCGCTTGGAACAAACACTTACTTGCCAAAAGACCGACATCCTAGGGGCAAGTTTGGTTTGCCAGTCCAATGGACTTTCAAGACCGCACCTTGCCATGCTCTGCACGGATCTTCGCTAGGCAGCGGTTGACTCCTTCCAGATCATTGTCGCCAACCAGCTGCAAGAGCGATGCCATGCCACTTCATCCCCATCTGTCTTTGGAGGTGCATCCTCCAAGGCAAAGACGCCGACACTGCATGTATTGCAAGCTATTCCATGCTGCCTCTCACAATTGCGTCTGCCATGTGTTGAATGGAAGGCTGCAGCAGTTTGTGTGTGTGTGTGAAGCGCTTTCATGTTCATGGTTTTCTGCCACTGTAGTTGGCTATAAGCCCGGCCGAAATGGCTCCCAGGTGTTACCGCAGTGCTCCGTGTATGATCATCCCATTCTTGCGCCATGGAGGATTGCAATGGCGCGCCATGACCAGAGGAATCTCATCGCCTCGGAACCCTGAGCTCTGCACTCTGTCACGATGCAAAGGTTGGGAGGCTGTAAGCACCTAGCAAGCGAGCTAACTGAGACGCATCCAAGCAGCCAGAACGCACATCTGGACATGTCCTACGCCTGCAACCCGAGGTTTTGGGTGTTTTTTCCCGGGTGATATATACCCCGTCAACATGGGTCAAATGGCTGTGGGTCAAAAATAGGTACCCAAACTGGAACCCTGTAAATGGAAGCATGGACTGAAACCTGCGGTCCCCTAGTGGTTTAATTTTGACCCACGCCCAAATGTTGGTATACACTACTCTTACCTACATGGCTGGGACTTACCTGAGCCAGCCACGCTCCGATGAAGGCCACGAGGCGAGGGTGGCTCAAGCCTCGGGCACCGCGGCTTTGGCCGACTTTGGCCTCTGACCCCCGGCCTGGTCAACCTCCTGACCCGAACGGCCTCTTACACCAAGTCAGGACCCCACTTCAACCACTGGCCAGCAATTTTGAGAGAAAGTGCTGTGGCGACTCGAGCACTCGGTGGTAGGAGAAAGCTCGGATTCCGTGCTCTCCGATCCTTTCCCCGGCTGAAAAAGCCGAGTGATGCATTTTGCCAGCTGCCGGAGTGGCTCGCAGCGAAAAAAGAGCCTTGGGTTGGCTGCCTGGTTTGCTGGCTGGCTGCTTGCTTGGATGCTTCATTAGCTTGATGGATTGATGGGATGGTTGAGGTTGGTTGAGATTGGCAGCGTTGGGATGTCTTGGGGGTTTGGTTTAGGGTTGAACTTGGGCAGGCTCCAAGGCTGTCGTCGGGTTGGTGTGTGTGTGTATGTGTGTCAGGTTTTGGGCTGTTAAAAACTAGTGCCATGTGTCTTGTAAGCTGCCTTTGGAGGCATTTCTGTCCAAATTTTGGGCTCGGTGCTCGTTCCTTTGCCATCTCCGGCACACACACACACACACACACTGATTCCAGCCTCCTTCTCTGTAGTCGAATTATTTATTAAGTTTTGTGTCGGCTTCGGCTATAGGCCGTCGGCCGTCTTTGGTGGCCAAGGTAATTTCCTTCCAAAAAGGGGTTGTCCTTGGACAGGCTTTTGAGATCTTTTGATTGATCACTAGGGGCTTCCTTGTTTCACGTCCATCCAGAGTGATCTTTAAGCTACGATGTGAGGTTGTACACCCAAAACAGGGCGTCTCAGAAACCAAGGATTCAACTGGCGCTGGAATTCACCTAAGGGACCCCATTCCCGCAGTCCGGACGAGAACTCCATGTTGAATTCATCCTATGAGACTATGGGCAGGATGAAAGAAGCACACGGCAACCAATTCCATGCAGATTCTGCTCGGGGGAATGGATGACACGGCGCATGCCCCACAAATCAAAACAGGTTTCGCGCCAAAAAATGAGCTGCGACAGTTTCTGTCGATGTTGCATGCCCATAGAGCTGCTTGCTCAGGACCCCAACAAGCCATGCTGACCCCAAGCACATGTTTAAGGATTGGGACTCCAGCATAAAACTAGATGATTTTGCCTGGTTGGTGGGAAACAAAAGGGGAAAACACCCAAAAAAGTAAAACCAAAAAAAGACCCCAAAAAGTCAGAAACAAATCAAAAAGGGGAGCCACTCCTGGGAGAAAAAAAAGCACGGCAAAAGTCACACGCAACCACCGGCGCCAAGGCGCTGCGCAGGGCAGCCACCTCCTTCTCCAGCTCCTCGAGCTGCAGCGGCGAGATGTTGCCTGCGGCAAAAAATCCAGGCGAGGCTTGGGCGACGGCAGCGCTGCACGTCGGTGGCCAATGAGTTACCTCAAAGGGGGGCACAAAATGCCATTCTGATGGTTTTTTGTTGGTAGTGTTTTGGGGGGAGTGCCGTTGGTCTTAGATTTGTCGCCAAGCTACCATCTCAGGGAGCCAGTGTGTTTTTCCACGTGTTTTTCGATGTGCTATGGCCAGCTGGCGGCCTCCATCTTCGCAGAAGAGCTTTTTGATCGCGACCTGACAAAGTGGCCCTTGGGCCCAATGATTTAAATTCTCGCTTCTCGGCCACTGGACACATCCGCCAGTGAGTTGAGCAGGGGCCCGGATGTGCTCAGAAGCTCGAAAATTTTCGGCATGCGTGCACGAACTGAAAACACTTTCAAGCTAAAGCGCCAGCAAAAGGCACCTTGCAAAGCCAGAGAACAGAACAGTGCAGCCGTCCTTCCCCACAGCCCCGGCGCTTTCAAAAAAACAACCCTACTTGAAGCGGCAAAGTTTGAATAGAGCAAGCTCAACAAAGTGTCCCAACAAGCGAGACAATGCTCAAGCAACACATCGGGCTAGCCGCTGTGGGCCACCATTTGGCTGTGGGTCAAAAGCAACGGGATCCCATTTTGGGGGTTTTCGGTGCACCACCCATTTTAGAACCGATTTAATTAGTGGTTGGATTCGGATCTTCACTGGAACCTAACCGATTTGGCTTTTGAAAAGCCCATGCCCATGGTTCTGTGTGTTTCTTCATTTTTTGCCTTGGTTTCCCTTTTGACATGCAACAGACCCATGGCAACAGACCCATGGCCAAATTTCCGTGTTCCAGCTGAGCCAAGCGGACGGTGAGTCCGTGACCGGTGACCCCCCTTCGCCTCACGAGCGCCCAGGTAGCCCCGGTACACGGCTCCGAACCCGCCGGAGCCGAGGCAATCCTTCTGCGTGAGCCTGGGAGCTCGGCCGCTGCGGTTCAACTCGTCGTTTTTTTTTTTTTTTTTGTTTTTGTTTTTTTTGTTTCGCAAACTCAAACACGAAGAAGCAAACAAGAAGCTAAGTTGGGATGGCTAAGTGAGCCTTGGGTTTGATGCGAACTTTGTTGGGTTTGATGCGAACTTTGTTGGGTTTGATGCGATCTTTGTTGGGTTTGATGAAACTTGTTTGGACGTCGTGGCAGTTGACAGGATGTAAGTCAATCAATGTGCTTGCAAGGCCTAGGCGCAACCTCGCCCCGGCAGTTTCCAGTGCAGAGGGCAGGGCACAAGTCGATATTCTGCTTTCAATAAACCTGAGTATGAATTATAGATGAATGATCTCGCCCAATGTCTCATAAACCTCCCAACTCCTTGCCTAGCCCAATTCAGGCCTCATGCTCGCAAATGTCCCAACTCCTTGCCTAGCCCAATTCAGGCCTCATGCTCGCAAATGGCTTAGCCGAGGGGCTGGTTAAAGTCGATGATTTCATGCTTGTCCAGCATGAGCTTGCCTGGCAAACAAATCTCCACAAGGTGTTCACGTTGCCAAGGCCAAATGGTGGCACCACATGTAAAAAGGGATCAAGCCTGGCAAAACAAACCAAGCCTTGATTTCAATGAACATAAATTACAAAGTGAAGTTTTCTTTCTCGGCCCGTCTCCCTCCTTCTTAAAGGAAACAAGCAACATGGAACAGTCCAGCCTTCTTCCTTGGGCTTGCCAGCCGCCTTCGTCTCTGCCTTGACTTCAGGCGTTGTCCTGGTCGCTCGCTCCCCTGCGACTCACACTTCATGGGCTGCTTTAATGGTTGCCCGAAGGTCTGGAGCATCAAATTTCAAGCTGCAAGGTGTCTACATGCAAACCAGTCGCTTCATCTCAAACTTCAGCAAACTGTAACTACCAACATCCGTACCTGTACGCAACATCAACGCAAGCTGATCACAAGCATGTATTGCTAGCACAGCTGTAACCGCAAATTCATTGCCAGCCAGGTCACACACATATTACCGCAAGCAAATATTGCTTGTAGCTCTCCGGAAAGCTTTATTCTACACATCGAAGTATGCGTCATGTCCTGTGTAAGTTCATGCAACATCCCTAAAACCTGGACCATGGTTGTGCAAAGCAACCCTTTCTATGATACCAAGTGGGTCATCCATACCTCACTGTACTGTCACTTCCATGGGGATTCCCTTGGTATCACGCAAAGTTGCCCTGAAGCTTGAAGCCGTCCACCTCACATCAACCCAGCTCCAATCATCCCCATGAACATTGCCATGAATCTAGGGGTACCTTCCCCATTCTTTCCAGGGATACTTCTTTTCAGGAAACCATCAAAAACCGAGGGGGAAACAGCCGGTTTTGGGAAAGAACAATGGTTGAAAAGAATGGAAAAGGAATCAACCCCTAGAATGAAACCATCAGGCCCCTCCCCCGGTCCATTGCCGGCGTTCTGGAGCTGGAGGTGCTGCGACCTGAGCAATCCGTGCCGCTGGAATAACCCGCTGGAGTTTCCCTACCGGAAAAGCTTCAGTGGTGAATGGCCTAAGCTCTTGGCTGGAATTAGGACCCCAGCAAAAAACTCTGCTTCTTGCCTGGTGGAAAACACAGGGGACCCTAAAAATGCAAAAAAAAGCTAATTCTGGGGAAGAGTTGGCTCATTTTTTTGGGAAGACCTCCAATCACTCCTAGCTTGAATTGGGCGGAGACAACTGTGCTGCAGATCGTCGGGCACTAAGGAAGTTGATTGGTGCAAAACCGCGCCTGTTGCACAACAGTGCATGGAAGCAAATGCTGTGTACACAAAACGCGAGATCACACAAAACAACATTCTCCGTCAGAGTCTTGGCACGGAAAGTCAATTTCTGCTGACAGCGCAGGAAGCCCCTGAGGCAACCTTCCGTCTTACAATGATATTGTACAGGCTTGTCTCAAAATGGAGGAACCCACCAAAATGGGTGGTTTCCTTTTAATTTCCCTTCAACACCCAACCAACAAAGGTACCCACAAAACAGACAGATCCAACTCATGCTGCATGCACAAAACACTGAGAACATTGTCTTCTCTTAGCGCAATGAAACACCAAAGAGAATGGTTTGTGTACCAATGGCATGTAAACTTCATTGCGAACTTCTGTCCGTTTCCAGAATGTGCCTTATTCCAACCGCTGCCCCCGCGGCTCGTACCACGAACTATGTGAGGTCTTGGATGCTTGCAATGCCCTCAGCCCTCGCCAGGTCTGGAAGCCGGTTTCCGGGCTCCAAACCCAGGCTCTTCGCTCGGCCTGCAAGGCACATTCGCGCCGCAGGCGCGGCCGGACTGATGGACTGATGGACCTCCCATCCAGAGGGCTCTTCAAAACAGCTGCAAGCTCATGGTATCGCAGGAGTTATCGAGGAGGGGTTAGTCAGCTAGGGGGTACTTAGACATACCATGACAAGCTGAAGCTGCCAAAGCAAAACAGCGCTGAGAGAAGGTGCCAGCACAAAACAGCGAGCCTGGCCATCGGCAGCCGAGGGCCTGTGACTGCAAAACACATTGGGCGTCGACTTGGCACTCGGCCCGTGGCTTGTTTCAAGAGCTCAAGCGGTAAGATTTGAAGTCTTGTCCCAGCACGTCCAAACATCCACATGCTCGCATAACATTCACTGTGCATCTGCAAACACAACATGTGTCTCCAATGCAAAGAGCAAAGCTGAGGCGAGGACTCACCATTCTTGCGCTCAGGAGAGCCTGCCAGAAAACGTCTCACTGCCTGTTCGTAAGCACCAACCCTGGCAAGCACTGGTTTGCCTTGGTTTCACGTCGAATTTCAGTGACCCCAAATGAGTGCTAACACATCGGTTCCAGGATGCTGCACGCATGGCTGTGGGTGGGGTAGGTGCACAACCCATTTTGGCCTATTTTAGTGGTTGGATTGGGATGTTCACTGGGGGGACGATTTGGATTTTGACCCATGGCCACATGAATGTCCTTTGGTGTAAGCTGGATCCCGTTTATAAGAACCCGTTTTCGATCCCCTGATCTAACTCTTATCCTCACTGGCCTTGGCCCCAGCCATGCACCAACTGTGCGCTGACCAGGCCTGTTGCATAGCCGCCCAGCTTTCCTAACGCTCTCAAAAACCAGGCGAGCCAGGCCGCGTCGCGTCTTATCCTCTAGAGTCCAAATGATGGTTTCGCCTCCCCTGGATTCCAAAATTCTTGTCATGTGATGTCAATGTCCAGCCATCTTGTCAGGTCAGCATGGTATATCGATGGCTTCTCGTCCAGCCATCGGCGAAAAGGGGCGAAAAGGGGCTTTTTTGGTACGCCCCCAAAACTCCGCACGGGCTCCTTGAGCCGGATCTCGAAGCCCCATCTCCAGCTCCTGCGCGCAACGCCACGCGCTTAGCCCACACATCCAGCGAAAAAATATATGGCACAAGCACGTCAGTTTCAAGCACATTTCGCATCATGCCTAAACAAATTAAGCAGAGAAGGAGCATGCCACAGCTTTTCCATCTTCCATCATACCTACGAGTTCAAGCCCAGGTGAAGGAGCATGCCCTCACAGTTTCAACGGAGCATCATTTTTCCAACGACTTCGACACCCCAGAGCGTCTCCTTAGCCATGAGCTCCACCAGCTGCCAGGCCTGCGGCTATGTCCAATGCCAAAGGCACAACACGACTCTGTGCACGCTAAGAGATGTGGGGCACTGTGGCATTGCAGGCTGCTACTTGGCATGATGGGTTGCTCTCGGGTGATGCGGACGAGTCTTGACTCTTAAGAGTGGAAGGCATCGCGCGGCACAATCTCACTTTGTTTCAATGATTTCGGAAAATGCCAGACTTGAAGTTCCCATGTTGCGCAAGTAGAGCGCCTGGGCCACTGTCACATCCAAGTCGGGTACTGACCGGAGTTTGCCCACCAAACCTTCGCACTCGCCTTAGGGCCGCAACCCGACAGCTGCATTTCAAGAGAGCGGGCTCAAGAACATAGCCGGCTGTTTCTGGTTCTAACAATCTATCGTTGCATCGGCGTCTTGAGAGAAGTATGTCTGTAAAGTCAAATTGAATAGCCGTGCTGGCAAAAGAGGCCGATATGGGCGATGGGGCTGTGCATGTGACTCGACTCTAACTAAATCTACTCAAAAGAAGCGCGTGCTTGTCACCGCGTTCTGTGCCAACCGTCTATCCATACAAACATACATGTTGTAAAATCTAGGGAGTACATCTTCAATCAAAAGCAAATGCGTTTTCTCAATCATAGCATTGAATAATGACATGACAAAGTACGTATTCCCTTTTGTACTGTCATCTCAGCAGATCTCAGCATATCTCAGCCAAGTCCAAGACGTGTCATGATTCGCTGTCGTATCGTTATCTTTACGCCACTCCTTGCGTGTGCCTTGCAGGGCCCATGCGTGCGCCTTCTGCAACACATGGGCTTCATTTGCAAACCTTACGCCTGCAACACCACCTGCCATACTTCATTGGAAAGGCGGCTGGATATGAACAAGCTGACTGATTGTCCAGAAGCCTAACTGCAATGCTTATGCACATGCTCCACCAACATCTGCCTATGCCACCTTGCGCCAGAGGTTTTGCTTGCGCCACAGGTCCAGATGACACAGATACACACGAAGGTTGTAGACGCTTGCCTCTAGCCTCTAGCATTATCCTGCATTTTGCAAATCTGTCTTCCCACCTGAGCGACTCTAAACCTGCCATGAATCACTCTTGGTTGGGATGTGAAGGGGGCTTTTAGAGCTGCTCACCTGGAAAGCTTGGGAAGTGAAGGTTTCTTTTTTTAGAGCTCACCTGGAAGGCTTGGCACTCCTCACCGATGCCAAGTCACCCTTCACGATGCTGTCTTTCGCGGAGGCGCAGAGGCTTTCGAAGTTCCTGGCGGAAGTCACGCACTGAGCCAGGAGTGTCTGCACGGCGACCAGCGACCAAACGACTTAGTCACCCACCCCAAAATACACAAACACGCGACTTGCAAGCGCAGGGCGACCAATATTCTTCGCAAGAGCTAAAAGCGCCAGAAGAAAAAAACAAAAAGGGTCTCTCATGTGCCAAAAAGGGTCTCGCTAAGTGCTCAATGAGATGCTGCACGAGCCAATTCTTCTGTCGCTGGGGTCCTGTGGCTCTTGCGCGCTTCTGCCAGTTGATAGAGCGCGCCATCCATGTCCTGCGCAGTCCATAGGGGCCGTCTCCGGGTGTAGGTTCCAACAAAAAACCTTGGGCCCAACGGCCTGAAGCTTTCAGTTTGCCCAGAAATTTTATTGCCAGTTTGTATCACACCGCCTCCAGCCCCAAACTGTGGGACCCGACACGCACAGTTTAAACCTGAAACACTGATCAAGTGCTCCCAAGGCAGTCACCTGCTTCCCCATCAGGGCCAGGGCCATGTAAATGCGAGCTGATCCTTTGACGGAACCTCACTCGCGAATGCTCAGAGACTCAGTGCACCTCCTGTATTCCATCATGCTCATTGATAAGCCGAACCCAATCTTGCGCACTCCTTAAATACCCAGCCAACCTTTCCGGACGAGGTCCTCTTGACAAGTGCCCATGGCTGAACATCCACGTGGGAGAACAATGGGGTCGGCAGTCATCCCAACCCACGTTCTTTGCCACATTGTACTATGTCTCTCTACGGGTTGATTCCCCATTCTTTTCAACCATAGTTCTTTCAAAGATTAGCTGTTTCCCTGGGTGTTCGATGATTTCCTGAAAAGAATAATTCTCGGAAAGAATGGGGAAAGTACCCCTAGAATGTCAACATCACTGCTGATTTATGACACTTCCGCTAATTGCTCAAATAACGCCCGGCAAACCCAATGTCATGCAGCATGTGCTCGACATGTGCTTTGTTCCAAGATTGGGTCAAACTACTAACATAATGTTCTGAAACCCGCCAACCCAGCAGGTTGAAACACGCAAACACAAAAGCACGCACACATCTCAGAAAAGCAACAAGCTCAACAACTCTCCAGCACCATAAGCACACGCACAACAAACGCACACACATTGCGCATACACATATATATATATATATATATATTAACCCACTAATACCACAACTATGCATACACACAAACATACACAAACACAAACACTGTAACGAATGGACAACCCCACCGAAACACGCAGCCACAAAACATGGCCGCACAACTCAAGACAAATATAGCCACACACCTAGACACAAACACATGCATACAAAGAACAGCGCACACACGTCCAAGAAGAGCCACAACAAAAAATACGCACACGCCACCCGCACACCCACGCACGCACGCACGCACGCACGCACCCACACACACACACCCACACACACACACACACAAACACACAAACACACAAACACACAAACACACAAACACACAAACACACAAACACACAAACACACAAACACACAAACACACAAACACACACACACACACAAACACACACACAACACACAAACACACAACACACAAACACACAAACACACAAACACACAAACACACAAACACACAAACACACAAACACACAAACACACAAACACACAAACACACAAACACACAAACACACAAACACACAAACACACAAACACACAAACACACAAACACACAAACACACAAACACACAAACACACAAACACAAACACACAAACACACAAACACACAAACACACAAACACACAAACACACAAACACACAAACACACAAACACACAAACACACAAACACACAAACACAACACACAACACACACACACACACACACACACACACACACACACACACACACACACACACACACACACACACACACACACACACACACACACACACACACACGCAGCCCTACACATTCGGCCCTCCGGGCGTCGTACGCGCAAGGGCCACGGTGCCGCAGCGCTGTTGCAGCGCGCGCTGGAAGAGGAGGATCGCCTGAGGCACTGAGGCGACATGCAAGGAACGCAATGAATGAGTTGAAGCGTTAGGGACATGGGGTTCTTTGGTTCAAATGGCTGTGGGTCAAAACCAATGGTACCATTTTGGGGTAGGTTCACCACCCATTTTAGAACCTTTTTAGTGGGGATTGGGATGTTCACTGAGGGTACGGGGTTTTGAGTCTCGTCTCTGCCACAGAGATCCATGGATTGCCGGGTTTCGGCAGATCAGCAGTGCCTGACCTTGGCACACCTCCTTCAAGCGCAAGAAGATCAGCCTTGCCTCTTGCAGGTCATTGCAGATCAACTTGCAGTAGCCGAGGCGCAGAAGCGCCAAAGCCTCTGTGCAACCGTGTCGAATCAGGTGGCTATTGGCTTGGCCTAAGCTGACCTCCAAGGTTTATATTACATTGTTCAAAACAACAACTCTATTTGCAAGTGTTTTCCTGAATGCTTGTTGCTTCTTTTTGTCGTGCATTGGTCACCCCTTTCTTCTCAACCCTTCTCTGCCAGCATGTGGAATTTATGTCCCTTCGCTTTCGTCAATATGGCAATACTCCGTCCACTGGCGCATTGCCCGAAGTTCCGTACCTCGTACCAGACTCGGCTTTTGTGATCTGCTATCGTGTGGCGAAGCAATGTCTGATACCGCCCGCAAACCTAGGTTTCCGGCGTGATTCTTCTCAATGGCAAGCGCTCGTCTGAAGAATGCTTCTGCCTACAGCCAAGCCAGCCAAGCCACTCGCAGTGAGAGAGTCAAATCCCAGCATCTAGCAACACGGCAGTTTGCCATTTAAAATGTATATTCCACATTTTATGTGTATTCCACATTGCTGTTGATACTGACCCTTACGCGACCATTTTCATCAATTGCGAGCCTGATCCAGCTCCTTTGGCTTCGGCTCCTTCGTCTGACTCAGCTGCATGTGAATCAGGCCCTGCGTGATAAGCGAAGACACCTGAGCAGTTTCGCACTGGCAATCCAAGGCACCTGTTGATCGTTCAACGACGCCTTTTTTTTGGGGCTAATGTCAAAGAACGCATGCAATGACGCCCTTTTTTTTGGGCGGGTGTCAAAGAAAGCATGGCCAAGCTGAAAGCAGCCGGGAAGGGAATTCGTGCAGGCGCATCGCCCGGCCCCTTTGGCAGACTGGGGCCCGCAGCATGCAAAGGGTCTTGCTTCAGCGCCAAGGCCAACCTGGGAGACGCGCAAGGGTCCAATTCATTCCAATGTGCTCAAGGAAGCCCGGGCAAAAAAAACAAGGCCCATGGTCCATGCGTCAAAACCCCTTACCCCCAGTGAACATCCCAATCCCCGCTAAAAAGGTTCTAAAATGCGTGTGGCACCTATCCCAAAATGGCACCATTGGTTTTGAACCATGGCCACAATGTGGCTCCATGTACCTGCAAGGCGTCATGCGTTGTTTGACTGCGCCTAGCCGATGCGCCCTAGTTCGTTGCTGCAAATAGGGCTCTGCGCACACACTTAGCATTCACACTATGCATAGCTCATAGTTTGCGCGATAAATTTAATTTTGCCATGCTGAGCTCCGCCACTCTGCAGAGGCGTTGGTGTACTCGCCCTTGCGCTCATAAGCCTGTGCTTCCCATAACAAAAGAGCTGGCTGAAAGCAGCGAGATGTCTGGCCGAAAAAAAATTGGCATGCTTGCCTGCGAGTGTCGTCCTCCGGAAACGGAGAGGCACCTCAACCTTCCACGAAATCGAGCCGAGCGAGAGCCGTCGCCTGGGCAAGCCAGTCATGAATCTCCACCTTGAGGTTGTCGCTGTCTGCGGCACCCAAGTGCTGAAACGCCTTAGCGCAAAAGCCAGACATGGGGCTGTTTCTCTGTGCCTTTTTGGCGTCCCATCCATTTGCCGTAAGGTAGCTTCAGTACATTTGCATCCTATTGGCATCACCATTTCTGGCTTGGCGAGCGCCCACATCCTGAACACAAAACCGAATGTGACCTCATTCCAGGTGGATGTATAGTACCAAGGCATTGTCACTGCTGAAGTTGATTGCTTCTTTCTAAATAGGCTGACTAATTACGAATCAACATTGTACTTTTGTTGGCGGCCAACCAGCTCTCTGTTCCCTTCTGAGTTGCCGGCACGCTTCAAGGTGGCAATGGAGGAGTCGTAGTCCGCCATCCGATTCTTGACCAAAGCGAGGATGAACAGAAAGTGCGGATGATTCCTCGCCAAGGGAATTGTCGCACATAGATATTAAAGCCAGGCAATGCTCTTAACAGCAGCACGTCGTTGGCTACGTGCCAGCTCTGACTGTGCATCAATGAATCAAGACTGGGCAAGGCCCCGAGGACCCAGCGGCTTCAAGGCAAGTCCACATCGAGCTTGCTTTTCTGCCTCTCCGCTTGCTCAGTCAAGCGCCAAATGTGAGCTGTGCCAGTTCTGCAGATCAAATCATCGAGGCCACGCAACATTAAGAATACCAGCCAGTTCCGCACCACAGCTATGCTTGGCTCGAATGAACATCCCTTTGCAGCCCAATTGTCTGGCTGCCGTTGCCAATTCTGGACTTGGCTAACTAACTGATCAAAGGTATGATCGGTTGTGAAATGCCACGCGCGCGCAAGTGACCTCCTCATATTCATCCAAGGAGACGTGTGACTTGGCCAGCAAATACCTGCAAGCCACCGAGCGTTAGCCGTACTTATTCCAGTGTTTCACCGCTCTTTGCCTTGATGGCTGACATGTACAATCGACAGAATCTAACAATGATATCTAAGGCTTGACACATGTTACGCAGCAAGTTTGTCGGGATAATAAAAGCTAGAATCTAGCTAGAAGTCATCATGAGAGGACTACATGTTCAATCTCTACATTTCGCAACATAGTGCAACCAACAAGATCAATGTAGCCAGCCATACCTCCGCGTGCATGGCCCTCCTAGGGGCCCAGCAAAGCTCCGGTCTTGTAATCCACCGCGCAGTTGGTGTCCACCAGCCTACCAGGCGCTCGAGAGGCGTGCCGTGTGCAACATAGGCTCGTCGTATACACGTGAGGGGGTTGTGAAAACGGTTGCCTTTTCTGGTACCCCAGCAAGTAACATGGAAGGGGGTGATTTTAAAGGGGGGGGGGGTGATTTTAAAAGGGGGTATTACCCCAAAAAGTCGCGCAAAGTCGCTTGCACAAACGGGGCGTCTGAGAGTCTGAGACTTACTGCACCATGGCCTGGAGAGGTAGAACTGGCACTCTGCATGCCTATGCTGGCGATAAAGGATATCACCTCAGCTGAAATGTGGCCATGGGTTAAAAGCCAAATCGCACCCCCAGTGAACATCCCAATCCAACCACTAAAATAGGCTCTAAAATGGGTGGTGCACCTACCCCAACATGGGATGCCCATTGGTTTTGACCCACAGCTGTGTCCCCAGCAGCATGTTCTTCAGACTTGTTTTGTGCGGCTTCTCACTTCAGCCCAAATCAAAACCACGTGCTGGTTGCTGCCGGTTTAGCCTGAGCATGGGCCTTGAGCCCATGGCAGCCCATGCACACCGTGTAGCATGTGCAAGTCTCTCGCCTTCAATGGACTTCAGTTCACAGTTCAGAGCCCTGACAAACATTGCCACAGCTAAGATCAAAAGCTGAGCGCGGAGCCCAGGTAGTACAAAGGGCCCTCTGCTGAAGCGTTCACCTCATGGTTTGCAGTTGGTCTCTTGCCAAAGACAAACAGTGCAGTGCAATCAAGCCTGCCCCGAGCCAGGTATGACTTCAAGGAACAGCGCTCACTGGATTGAACTATTGAGGCATTCTAGCATCAATCAACCGTTTCTTGCTGGTGGTCATGATCGTAGCTGCAATAATTTGCCATCATGAACACAGCGTTGCTCTAGGCTTCGAGCACCACTCATTTCAATAGTACTTAGGAAGAAATGGTAAGAACATCAAATGTCCAACTAGTCAAGGTGGCAGAACGCGGCGAATCGTCTCGACTGCTTGCTCTCTTAGGCTGGAAGCTTTCACTCCTTGGGAACCAACTTGGGGAGCTTCCCTAGCTCAGGCTGACCCGGTCTGATGGCTCTGATGTCACGACAACCACGTCTCACATCCAGGGCACCTTCAGGCACTGCTGGTAGAGCTGTATCGCCTTGCAAAAGGCTTTGCTGGGGAGGGGGGGAGGAAAGGGGTGGAGCGCTCCTTCTCATAGGTACCAGTATGGGGCTGATCAGTGGCGAGACCAAAGTCAAAGTCATGGGTCAAAAGCCAAATCGCACCCCCAGTGAACATCCCAATCCAACCACTAAAATAGGCTCTAAAATGGGTGGTGCACCTACCCCAAAATGGGATCCCATTAGTTTTGACCCACAGCCATTTTCACCGGCTTCCGCGCCCTGAACTCACCCCCAACTAAGCTTTTAACTGGCACACACGCATGCCAAATGATAAGCGCACCCTTAAGCACACCAGCATCGCACACACACACACACACCACAAATCAGGCCAAATACATGACATGATAGTTTTGCCCGGATGAGAATACCTTGCATTTGCATGATCTTACGTGCATATATTTTGAACACGGGTAGCTTGAACTCATGCTTTCCATATCCTGCAACAACCTAGGCCCTCTTCGTGTTTCCCTTCTCTTCAATGCTTCGTGCCAGCTACTCCCAGGCAGCACGTGCAATCCACACTATCATGCACATGTCACAGGGACGCTACTGAGCTGGGAGATCAAGAGATTCTGTGATCTTCAAAGCTCTGAAACTTAAGTGGAGCTGATTCCTTTGCTCTGGATGCTGGATGCCTGCGCTCCACCCGCAGGCCATGCCTGATCCAGGTTGTTGGCCTTTCGGTTGCAGTAGGCGGCACCTTCCAAAGCCTCGCGACAGGGCCGCCCCCATCGACATACGGCAGGCCCCCCCCCCCCCCCCCGAACCAAAAAACCACACGAGCTTGGCTTTTTGGGGTCTCTGATGTATGCACTGGCAGCTGGCTTTTTGGGCTCAAGGACGCGAAGGCTACGCTACAGGCGACTTGCACGGAAGGCTGCTTGCAAACGGGAGAGACACACACGAGGGCTTATGTGACCGGGGTGCTGGGGTTTCTCTTGGTTTCCCTGCAAAACCATCCAATAAGGGTTCCCCTATTTTGCAACATACCCACATGTTGATAGCAATACCTTTCGAAAGGCTTCGCTTCATGTCATTTCCGCTGCCAAAGTACTCACCCATGAACTCGCTCAACTGCTCGTTGCCTTTGGTCGTTTTCGCCAAACCGAAAATGTAGATCCTCCATTTCGACCGTGGATGACCGACACCTTCCAGTGAACTGCTTTGCGTCAGTGGCTGCCACCAACCCAGGATCAGCTGCACCAGCCGCCCAAAAGTAGTTTGTCCAACACAATTGCGCCTTCCCCAATGGAAAACAAACGCCCTGTCTGTGACCATGACCAACTTCGCGCCAAACATGTTTTGCATGCTTCCGCCCACCGAATCATTGAAATATGGTCAAGCGGCGCAACATGTCACGCGCATCGATCACTGGGTACACCCTGCACTCCCTCTCCGGCCTCCAGGTTTGATGGGTTCAGCTGTGTCACCTGAGCATGTTCAATCCCATCGCGAGGTCCTTTGCAGGCCATGGATTGGAGTTGAGCTTGAACTTCAGGGCCGGTTCAGTACGAAAGCACGGACCTTTCTCGTTGGAAGATCCGCGATATGGCCATGGGTCAAAAGCCAAATCGCACCCCCAGTCAACATCCCAATCCAACCACTAAAATAGGTTCTAAAATGGGTGGTGCACCTACCCCAAAATGGTACCATTGGTTTTGACCCACAGCCATATTTCGAAATTGCACATGACTTTGCAGCCGCCGGTTTCTTTTCGTTGCCAAGCATGGGGTGTCAAATATGGGGACGCCCATGTTGGGAGGGCTTTCCTTTTGGTTTCCCTTGATAGCTCCCAACAGGCTACAGGACTCACAAGTCTCAGTCGCCGGGTCTTCCGCCTGCTCGTAGTATCGACGGGCTTCTTCCAGGTTGCCTTCTCGCGAACCCTCCTGCACAAAGCGAGGCGCCGATTCACCAGGCTGAACAATTGGTTGACAGGTACTGTGCACCTCTGATTGATAACTAGGGCCTTCACAAACATGTTCGATTGTTTTCAATTGTTTAGTGTTCGACGTGACCCGTTTTGGAGTAGTGCATTAAGTCTAGCAATGCTACTTTTGAATTGTTTTGCAATACGGCCAGGTTCCAGGAAGTCTGTCAATTCTCGTTTTGAATTGGATTTGTATCGCGGTCTAAAATCGCAGAAGCTTGGCAATACTACTTTTGAATTGGTTGTGTATTGCAGTCAAATTCTAAGAAGCTCGGCAGTACTCTTCAAAGTATACAGTTGACCTGTTTTTGCAACTAATCAATAGCTATAAATCTATGCTTTGGCTTCTTTAGTGCAAATGACTTTGTTGTGATGTTGGCAAGCTTTTTGAATCGGCTTCACATAAGGAGAACATCATGAAACTTCAAAAACACATGGGACAAAAATCCTTACTTTTCTCTAGGCGTCTCGGCGTATGTGCTTTGTCAGTTTTGGAGTTTGCTTAGCTTCATTCAGTTCTATTTCATGAATCGTGGGTGGACATTATTCAGGGGCTGCGTTTCCATACCAAGGCCCAAGACCCGTCTTCACGCTGCACTGGGCACGGCCCCTACGATCTCCGGCATCCCCCACACGCTGCAGCTGTTTGACTTGATCGGCTTTCCTGTCTGCAGCACTGGGCCAACTTCAGCAGCGCAGTGGCATTGGTGGGCTCTTGCTTGATAGCCTCGCGCCATGCCATCACCGTCATGCCGTAACTAGCTAGCTCTCTCATTCGTTGCCACTGCACCGAATGAAAGAATCAGGGCTTTGGTCACCGCCATGTTACACCTTGCCAAAAAGGACTCAGAACCCTGGCATTTCCAGGCGAAAAAAGGATGCGGGGCTTTCGCTCGGAACATCGTTGACGCGCCTGAGTCAATTGCTCCTTAGCTTCTCGTAGCCGGTCTTCCGACAGAAGCAAGGATGCATACCTCCCAGCTTCCCGGTTCATCAGCACTCAAAACTTTCAAGTGTCAGATTCGGTTGCATCGAATTGATTATAATTGGCAATGACTGAACCCTTCAAGCAGCTGAAGGAAGCAACTTGCCTAAAATGGCCGAGGTTCCCAGGCGCTTCCAACTGTCCATATCTGAACCCAACCTCTTGGGAGTGTCGCTTCTACATAAGCCTTCACGCGAAAGAAGCCGCCCGAGAGGTTTTTGTTTTGTCTGACCGGCAAAGTGCATTGATGGCCCGGAACCTTCCGCCGGGTCACATGGTCTGGCTCGCAGGAGTTGAAGCCTTTAGCTGCACCTAGCAATTTGCAGCTGTCATGAGCCCAGGTATCTGGAAGCATCGGCGTAGGAAGCGTTGGAGGAAGCGAAGAGGCCAAGTAGCCTGGAACTAATCCACACCCACACGACAAGGTCCCAAAAGCACGGCGCTTGAGATGGACATCCAAACTCGGACAAACCCTGGATACAATGGATGAGCTTACCTCAGGGTTGCAGCATCTAAGTTCCTTGCGCGTGCATTTGAAGGGTGTCCCCAGATCCCCAGCAACCTGCACCTCAAGCCCCTTGACAAACAGACTGAGAAGCAGAACCCGAGAACCCAAATTCATGAGCTTAGTCCACTTGCACAGTCACCGCGCTTGACATTGGGTCTGCGGCCAGACGTCGGTAGCACTGGTGCTGCCCCTTGTTGTCTTTCAGCTGCTCGCACACTCCCAAAAGCTTCATCCACATCTGGCACAAAGGCACACATTGGTGCAAATGAGCGAACATACACTCACACATTAAAAAGGCACCAAACGCACATCTATTAATGTCTTCACATAAGATGTCCCTCTAACTGGTCAGCTTGTTTTTGAGTTTGCACAAGCTTTTGTACCGGCGCCCATCTGGAAAAAACAAATACGGTACAGTGGCTGTTTGGTCACAATTACTTCCAGCGCACACATTCAAACAAAATAAATGATGATTCATGATGGGTTGTCATGTTCGATTCATCTGCAGTGTGTTTGTTCAAGCTTGCTCATTGAGCTTTTCCTGCTTAGCTTAGCTGCTTAAGCGCACATATGCCATGCCTACGCGGGGCTAGCTGAGCATGAGCTCGCCTGTGCCTTGCCAACGCGCGCTGATAAACGAGACTGGCACTTGCAAAACTGCCTACGCCTCTGCAGCCCTGTGGCCCTCAGCCTCGGGACAACCGACTCATAATCAAACCCCGGTATCAAAATGTTCTACCCAGAACCATGTTAAGAACTGAAAAGGCGGCCGCACCCATGTATGGCTGGGATTCTTCCTGACCACCCTCCAATTGCCCGGGCTGTGACTGTGACTCAACTGGGCCTTGAGCCTACGCTTGGCCTACGGTGCGCGAAGCCTATGTCAAGCCGCGTGCGACACCCTGCAAAGTGTGATTTCGCTGATTGTCTTGTCAAAAGAGCCAGCCTTGCAAGCTGTACATGCCACAAACGCTTGCTGAGCTGCTGGGGTCCCAAATCTTGCGTCTAAACATTTGGCGGAGCCTCCGCGGATCCATCAACTTGAGGAGGGGGTGAACGAAAGCTTGCAACTGTTGTATGAGACGGGTCGGAAACACAATAGATTCCATAGGTGGCTTGTGCACCCAAGAGAGGCGCCCTAAAGTTCCTCAGGAGGCAACACCCAATATGCAAACCAAATGCCCTGGAAATGTGTTTCTGGGTCCAAGTCAATTCTTGAGGGGGGGAGGAGTGGACTCCAGGATGGATTCGAGCCCGGGAAGGGGGGGGTTTAAATAATTGTTTCTTGCAATCTTTTTGGCTCAAACCTTGATACAATCAATATTTCGGCATGTCAGCCCCTTACCTTGCTTACGCAAGGAGAAACTTCAGCTAGCTAAAGCTAGCTTTTGTGAAAACCCAGCAATGGACAACTTGCGCAGTCTCCACCCACCAGGATGCCTACGCCACCAACGATTGAGTAAGTTACAGTAACTGCCTTTCTGTAGCCTTTCATCCTTCAAACACTCCTCATCTCCAGCAGGAGAAAGAACGAGGCCGCTTGCCCGAACTGCTTGCTGCCTGCTGGCCCTGTTTGTCATCGTGGAACATATCATGCAAGCCCGACTCCGATGCACAACTCAAATATCTCCAGCCTCAGCATCTTCTGGCAAATCACGCACGGCACCCTCGAGGGTCTGTTGAGCATCCTGGTGGAAAGTGCAAAACTTAAACCTGGGAGCTAGGGCTCGAAAAACGCCGTGGTTCAGAATAAAACATGTGGTCAGCCATCCGCTCTGCACTCCAATTCGCACGCCTGCGTTTGCCGGGAACTAAAAAACATGAAGTCAAATAGAACGTCGCAGCCGTGTTGCCGTGAAAAACAGTCAGGTGCATTTCCGAACTCTGGGGAGATGCGCTGAAGTTGACGATGCTACACCCACTTCTCCGTGCATGACGCAAAGGTCACCCAAAACAGCGCGGACTTCGAACATGCGCAGCTTCACATTTGCTTGATAGGTGCTCAAGCTCTTCTGTTGCTGAGGCTTGGACATGCGTGTCAGATGTTGAATGAGCAAGCAAACCTTTGGACATCTTGCATGCCTTTCCGGTGCTGCTCGCAAGGACTTGCAGCACAACGCTTCGGTGAAATGCCGCAGTGTCAGCTCCTCTGCTTCGTCTTTGCTAGAACCCACTTTGTTTTGAGGAGGACGCGCACCAAGCGCACCGAAGGCGGAGGGGTTCCAGCATTATTTCAACATGTGCCCCATTCCAGAACTATCAGTCGCACTCAAAGACGGTCTTGCTCATATCCATCACGTTGCATCCCGTCTGCCAATCTTGGCAATGGAACCAACAACTCGTCCCTTTGATGATTTCCATCCAAAGGAATACCAGCCTTTTGCCAAGTGGAGCATTGCACTGCTTTTTGTGTGATTCCACAGAGTTCACAGGATACATTCCAGAAAGCCCGCACTTCTAGGCTTGATCCCCCCTTCTTTTCAACCATCGTTTTCAACAACCAAACCACCGTTTTTCGCTTTTGTTTTCTGGGGAAAATCTGGCAGGTCTTCTAGAAAGAACCCCTGGAAATGGAAGGTCGCCTCCAAAACCCACAGAAAGGAGCATGCCAGACCCAACTTTCCCAAGCCTTCCAGGCGCTGATGGAACACTGCACTGTCGCCATCTGGGCGGAGAGCGGGGCGGTATCCTGCTTTTGGTGTGGAGAAGGTGCTGCTTGTAACCAGCCAAAAAGAAAAGACCTCTGACTTTCAAAACGAGTTGGACATGGGACAAATCATGAATCCGTGCGACCTATGAGCCACTTTCAAAACGAGTTCGAGGAGACATGAGGACAAAAAAACATGAACTATCCGTGCGCAGGACAGACTGGAGTCTCAGAGTAGTGCCTGGAAAATGAAAATGTTCTCGCAATTGTTTTTGATGCATTCCCCGGGTTTTGCTGGATCCCATGACTGGAGACATTAATACTGTGGCTCAACTTGGCCAAGATGCGGCAACTATCAAATGCATGTTTTTGCAGGGAACTCCTTGTTGGTTGGTTTGGGAGGTCAAACAAACAAGTAAACCAACCATTTTGGGGGTCTCCATAGTCTCTAATTTTGAGACACCCCAAAAGCATCTCCAACATGACACGGCATTTTTGCAGCCTCCAGTGGCTCCGAACCGCACTGCCTGCATGTAGATGCCACGAGCATCGACAGTGGTTGGTCTGCACCTGGGTTCTCACTGCATGTCAATGAAAGCTGCTTTGCCCGCGTTGGAGAACCTGCCGGTGCAAAGGGCAATACATTATCAGTAAATCTTGCTTGATGGTGAGCCCTGAATATTACCCAACAAAAGCTGCTTGGAATGTACGAAGCACATTGCCGCGCTTGAGAAGCTTCGCCGTGTTCTGTGGTCGAGGCTGCAAAGCGGAGCGGTAGTAGTGGAGTGCCTGCGCTCTTCCACAACTGCAGTGAGACCCGTCTCTGGCATGCTGGGTCATGGAACATTTTACTCTACGGAAAGGTTGCGGCCAGCTCATGTGAGAAAACATCGACATTGGCACCTGGGATCCCGTGGTCGCGCTATTTGTCAAGCCATGTCAAGGGTCGCTTTAGGCCAGGCTCACTGATTTGTGATTTCAAGCGGCCTGGCTGGCTCCACCAGGACCCCTGTCTGCATGCAGATGTGCCAAACCTCAGATCCGCAGGATTCTGCAGCCAGTTGGTGGCTTGCTACTGATTTGGCCTGGAAAGTGCTGAGTTCACAACCTGCTTCATGAGATCAACACTTCTCATTTTGCCACCCCTTTTGAGGAACACTGAGCTATGGAAAAATGCGATCACTATTTTATCCAAAGCCTTTCGCCAAAGGCTCCACTTGTTCCTGCGGAAATAAGTACACTCGTTACAAGCAGGATCGAAGAATCTCGGCACATGCTGTGCTACCAGCCGTCAACAGTCGCTGCCAACGCCTCCAAAATACTGTAAGCGTCGCACTTAGCGTGCACTCGTAGTCCCCAGGGCGAACATCAAGGACTCTTTTGTAGTACAAGATGGCATCCTGGCAGTGCGTCAGAGCCCGCTTCTGTCGGGGGGCCGTCTGAGCAAACCTACGATTTCACGCCTCAACATTCAATATACAATGTTGACAAGGAAAGGGGAGAGAATCAGAACAGACTGCATTAAACTGACTGACCTGATAGACTCCACTTCAGAATGGACGGAATGCATCCAGCTGAGCGCAACTGCAGGCCTGGTCTCGGCCAGCCTTGCGATACAAAGATGCCTTGGAAGATGCCAGCAAACGGTCGAATATGCGCCCATTTAGTCGCGGGTCGCGGGTCAGTGAGCCCCCCAAGTCCCTCACAACCGTAGACTGCTCTATTTCTTGACTGGACCACTTCCTTTGAGCAAACGATGTCGGACACCTCCAAGAAAGGAAAAACACCAGAAGCTTCAGCCGAGTCACAATCAAAGCCCGGTATGGTCGATCCCCAGAATGTAAAGAATTACCTTCCAGGCGGATCTCCGCACCCGTTGATGGCTGGGATTCTCCCTTCCAACTTCGCAGGCTTTTGACTGTGGCTCAGGCGCCAGGCTTCCGGAAAAGAAAAACAAGCCTTGGGCGCCCAGATCTCAGCACCTCACCAAAGCGATCATGGACGGCACGTCCAAGGCATTCGGCTGCATCGCTGCGGCCTGCGCGGAAGGCGCGGAAGATCCCCAAGGCTGCGAGCCCAGCGATTTGGCCATGGCTCAAATCCAAATCGCACCCCCAGCAAACATCCCTATCCCCCACTAAAATAGGTCCTGAAATGGGTGGTGAGTTCACCGAAAACCCCCAAAATAAGATCCCACCATTTGGGTATGGTTTAAAATTAAAGAGCTGGGGTGACGCGGGTTTTGGCCTTTGGTTCCATTTACCAAGGTGCCATTTTGGTACGACTTTTTTGAGCCGCACCCACTTCCATGCGTTGCTAACGGACCCCACAGCCACAGGTTCTATTTGGCACACACCTTTTGTTGGCCCCCTGACTCGGATTTGGTGAGCAACAGGTACTCAAGATTACTCAAGTGTAGCAACCCCGATCAGTCAAGTGGTTTGGGTGTAGAGGGACCAGCAAACCGCTTGCTCATGGAAAACGCGACACCACGTGACAATATTTTGCTCTGAGAAGGTCTCGCGAGCAACGAGACCGCTGGCATGCATAGGCGCAATGGCTCCAATCGAGAAAGAAACTGTCCAGCCAATTGCCCAGTCCTGGCCTGTTCCAAAGCTCGAGAGGCCTCATCAGCCCTGCAAGCAAGGCTACGGCGTCCCAGTCTGCTGGTAACTCTGTGAAACCTACTGGCCTTGACAAAGAAAGGCACACTGATGCAGCAGAAGGCTCGAAATGCCGCGGCTTCCGGAAACTGCAAGATATTCGGATGTGGCTCAAGTTAATGTACCAAATGGCACCTTGGTAAATGGAACCAAAGACTAAAACCTGCGTAACCCCAGCGCTTCAATTTTGAGCCACCCATTCAACGAAACCAGCGCAACCGGTTGGTTGACCGCGCCTTCCCAGCTTCAGGCTGGCATGGCCCAGGCAAAGCTGCGCTGCCACGTCAGGCGACAGCTTCACTGCCTGGCAGGCACACCGATTGGCACAGCTTGATTTGCTTTCAGCTGTGGCTCAGGGCAATCCACTGTAAGGCACCTTGTTCACTTTTTTGCTAATGTTGACCCAGGATTAATAAACTTTCTCACCCTCCAAACCTTTTTTTTCAACCCTTCCCTGTTTTTTCAACCCTTCCCTGTTTTTTCAACCCTTCATCCTTTCTGTTTAACCCTCCCCCCGTTTTTTTTTAACCCTCCCCCCTTCTTTTTTAACCCTCCCCCCTTTCTTTCTGACCCTCCACCTCTTCCTTTTAACCCTCCATTTCTTTTTTGCCAACCCTGTGGCCGAAGTTTGCGGCAACTGCACTAAGCAACGGTCCAGGGTTGGGTTGGTTTAGGAGCGGCTTTGGATTTAGGGTTTGTTTAGGGTGCGTTCGGGCGGGGGGGTAGGTGGGTTTAGGGTTGGTTTCGGATGGGAAGGGTGGATTTAAGGGTTTAGAGGCGGGGTAGGGTTTGTTGAGCAAGTTTGTGGTCGGTTTAAGTTTAAGGTTGGTTTCGAGCAGGTCTGTGCTGGGTATATGGTGGGTTTAAAGTTGGATGAGGGTGGTTTTGGGCTTGGAGAATGGGTCTACAGCGGGTTTAGGATGGATTTAGGGTTGGTTCAGGCGGGGTTAGAATGGGTTTAGGGTGAGGTCAGGCTTGGGATTAATGTTGGATTTACATGGGGGTGGGATTAGGGCGTGTGTCGAAAGGCTTCAGGGTGGATTTAGGGTGGATTTAGCGTTGGCTTAGAATCTGTTTGAGGTGGGTTTGGGGTCGGCTTCGGGTGTAGAGTTGGACTAGGTAGACTTAGAGCAGGATTTCGGTGGGTTTGTGTTTGGTTTAGGTGGTCTGGAGTAGGTCTGTGGTGGCTGTAGGGTTGGCTTAGGGAGGGCGGGGTTTGGGGTTGGTTTAGGCTTGGATGTGGATTGGTTTTGCGGCTGGCCTAGGGTTGGCTTCACTGGATTTAGGGTTGGGCCAAGCTCAGCTTAGTCTCAGGGTGCGCTTAGAGTTGGATCAGGGTGGGTGCATGGTTGGACAGGGTGGGCTTATGGTTGGTTTAAGGTTGCTTTGGAGTGGCTCAGGGTTGGTTAGGGTTGGTGTCGGGCTAGGTTGGTTTTGAGTTTAGTGTGGGTTTAGCGTTGTTAGGGTGGGGATTTAGGGTTGTTTTTGGGTGAGTTTAGGGTGGGTGCAAGGTTGGTTTAGGGTTGGTTTTCGCTGGGCTTGAGTTTAAGGTTGGTTTTCGGGGTGGTTCGTGATTGGTTAAAGCTGGGTTTAGAGTGGGTTTGGGATTGGGTTAGGATTGGCTTAGGGTCGTTTTCGGGTTGAGGGTTGGTTTTGGGTCGGTGGGTCTGTTCAGGGTTGGTTTAGGTTGGGCTTAGGGTTGCATTAAGGCTAGATTAGGGTGGGATTGGGGTTTAAGCGGGTTTAGGGTGGGTTTATTGTTGGCTTAGGCTAAGCTTAAGGTGTGGGGTGGGATTATGGTTGGATCAAGGTTCGGGCGGGTTTAGAGTTCGTGTAGGGTGGGTTTAGGGTGGGTGCAGGACTGGCTTGTTGGTTTAGGGTTGGTTTAGTTTGTTGATTTAGGGTTGGTTTAGGATTGGTTAGGGGTGGGTTATGTATGCTTTAGGGTGGTTTCGAGTGGGTCTGTGGTGCTTGCGGTGGGTTTAGGGTTGGACAAAAGACGTTTCTGGCTTGCTTGGGGTTTAGGGGGTGTTGTGTAGGGTGGGTTTGGGGTGGGTTTGGGGTGGGTTTGGGCGTGTTTGGCTGGTTTGAGATGGATTTAGAGATACTGAGGGTTCGCAAGGTTTGGCTTAGGGCGGGCCTAGGGTTGGTTTGGGTTGGGTTGGGTGCGGGGCAGGCTTAGGTTGTTTTAGGTTTAGGGTGAGAAAAACAAGGTTGCGGGGTGAAACAAGCAAGCTCGCGGGTGGAAAAAACAAGGCGGAGGGTGAAAAAAACAAGGCAAAGGGTGAAAAAAACAAGGTGAGGGGTTGAAAAGAAAGGATTTCTCAGGGTTGGAGAAGCAAGGTTCCCGCCGACGGTTCCCAAGCAGGGTTTGAGGGTTGAAAAAAAAGGAAGGGTTAAAAAAACAAGTTCGGAGGGTGAAAAAAAAGGGAGCCCTTAATAAACTCGTCCCATTATTTGGGGGTGTCCCCACTAAAAGGGGACACCCCCCGATCAAAATCAACCAGGGGTTCTGCTTAATCCGGGGTTAACATTATCAACTTCCGACCTCGCGGCATGCCTGAAAAAAGAACAGCCGCTCCCGCCTGCGCCGCTAGGCGGTAGGCTTCCTGGGCATCATCTGCCTATGGCGGGTGGGCAGTTCTGCCTGTTCCCAAGCTGAGTCACAATCAAAACCCGGCATCGCAATGGTCGATCCCCAGAACCATGCTTCAAGAATTAAGAAGGCGGCCGCAACTATTTCTGGCTGGGACTGTCCCTTACTAAGCTTCATCTACCAGGGTTTTTATTGTGGCTCAGCTGTAACGAGCAAGATTGCAGCATTGCGGTGTCGGCATTGAAACCAATTGCATGGATGCTACTTTTGAGATGTTGGGGTCCATCGTGTTCACGGTTTTGCGTACAGGATGTACAATTCCACCAACCGTTGAGCGGCCTGACATCAACTAAAGCAAAGATAGCCGCATTCGAGTAGGAGTTTTCAATTGCAAGTGCTTTGGCCCTGGTAAATCATTCAGTGTATGGAATTTGCCGAGACCCTCACCTTGGCGTTGAACATCGCATGAAAGACCAAAAGAACCTGGAAACATGCACAGAAAGGTAGCAACCGCAGTACCGCAGTAGCTAGTGGCCTCCAAAGCAAGCTCGGCCAGCCGGACATGCCCCTCAGCACTGCCCGGATTGCTGGACACAACCTGGCAAAAAGACAGGAACGCGTGAACACTTTGCTCACGCAGGAATCAAGCGCCAGGGAGGTGTCCGCAAGGGCTGGGTTGTTGATCTTGGGATCGCACCAGCCCCCCCCCCCCAAAAAAAAATGCGCCCCCCAAAAAGGAACCTGTGGTGACGTCGCTATAATATGCCCAGAAGGATCCATGGTCAAGGCAAACCACCTTTCATGAAGCCCAACAAATCGAATGATATGCCAAGGGAAACGTTCCTGTCAGCAAAAGCAAAGCAGCATCATGGTGGCATCTTTTGGAGGCAACACGGGCATCCACCATCAATGAGTTTCCGGTGTCCGCCCACCCCTTCTTCCCAAAAGGAGAGGCACCTGGGGGGAACATGTACACATTTATCATCCAAAATCCCCATGACTGCACGCCTTATACCCCCAACCTGTCTAGCTCTATTTAGCGCTATTGTTTTATTCAGCTTTGCCACACACACACACATGCATGCAGCGGTGGGGATGCCGGGGATGTTGCCCGTTCAGCTTTATCTAGCTTTTAGATTTTTTCTTTAGCTGCATTTAGCTTTCTTGTAGCTAGGTTCTGACATTGGGACTTGCGCTGGCCGCTTTCGGGGCCAGCCTTACCCGAGCCATTCTTTGCGCGCGCCCCACACGCCCGTAACGCGCGCGCGCGCGCTCGCCGCGCGCACACTCTCGCATGAATGCACGCACGCACGCACGCACGCACACACGCACGCACGCAAACACGCATCCGTCCATCCATCCATCCATCCATCCATCCATCCATCCATCCATCCATCCATCCATCCATCCATCCATCCATCCATCCATGAGATGCGAGGCCGGCGCGCGCAGCGCTGAAACTTCGCCCAGCGTACAGCTTAGTAAAGGCACCGTAAAAGCGTGATGTTCCATCTTCATTCAGGTTTCAATGTCTGCCTTCTTAACTCACTCCCGGTTGGACGCTCTGCAGGAACAAGAAGAACATTCGCATTCTTGACCTTGCTTGAGGCTAATTAATTACGCCCTGTTTAGGCCATCTTCTGGGTTCCCCGATTGTGACGCCTGTGTGGTCCTTTGAGCATCGCTGTGCCATGACGTGCCTGCTCGTAGATCTTGGTTGCCTGGCGTGGTGCGCTTGGCGGGTTCTGTTTAGGTTTTCATGGCTACGTATGCACGTAGATCTAAATGGCTGTGGCTCAAAGAAATGTACCAAAATGGGCACCAAAAGGTTTCTTGGAACCAAAGACTCAAACCTGCGGTTTGCCCGTTTGCCCGTTTGCCCGTTTGCCCGTTTGCCCGTTTGCCCGTTTGCCCGTTTGCCCGTTTGCTGCTTCATTTTGAGCCACAAGTCATCCACAGTCATCAGTCAGCCGCATTGACCTTCAGGGAATTCCGTGCCTGCGCCTTGCCCTCCTTCCGCTGCAAGACCCTTGCCAGGCCCAGCATGGCTGTCTCGTCTCCGGCCTGGCGGAAGTGACGGAACCGGGGCAAGGGGAAATCCGCCTGGGGCCTGGGAAGAGGGGAGCGGGGTTGTGAATCCAAGGTGCCCTTTATGCTCCAAGGGCGCCAAGGCTTCCACTTGCTTCATGTGTTTTGCGGCTGAGCCGTCCAAAGTGGATCTTTGACACTCCCCTTGGCAAAGAGTTTGCTCCTTCTTGAACCAAAAAACGCCGGCGTTCAGCACAATCACTGTGACGTCCATGCTTGGGCGCAAGGAGCTAGCCCTAACATCGGGAGTCATGAAACTCCAGGTCCGGTGCTGCACATGCCTCCAGAAACGCTGCAGAATACGCAAACAAACAATCATAGACATGTTCGATAAACCTGTACCAACAAAGCCACCACTTCTCCAGTGACACCAAGCCATGCTCTCCTTGGAGCTGAGCGCCGCAGAGTAGTGCTTCTCCGCGGCCGAGAGGTTCCGCTCACCCTGGGGCGGAAAAAACAACTGGTAAGAAGCGATCCGGGATGACACGGAAAGCGAAACATGGATGGACCGACGGCGAATCCACGCGAAGAATAACATAATGATTGAATTCAAGCACTCGCACGTGCGCACACGAGCGCACACACACACAAACACACGCACACACGCACACACACCGACACCGCACGCCGAATGTGCACGAAGAACGCATATTGCACACATCACGCGCCAACGCACAATACACACATCACACACCCACACTCTCCATGCACAACAAGTACGACATGCATGGGCAAATACAAAACGCGCAGCGCACACAATGCCCAACAAAAGCACTCACACACACAACAAGCGCAAACCCGCATGTGCAGACATGACGCGTGCCAAAAGCAATCTTTTGTTCACTTCATTAAGTATTAAGTGTGAAGCTCCCCTTCATTGTTTGTCTGTGTTCTCTTGTTTATGTCTGTGTTTTCGTGTGTGCGCGTGCGCGTCTATGTGTGTTCTCTGCGCATGCGTGCGTGTGTTACTTGGCATGTGTAGATGGTTGTGTGCGTATATCTGTGTGTGATTGTGTGACGCATGTGTGTGTGCGGCTGTGGCTCTGGCTCTGGGTGTGGGTGTGGGTGTGTGTGTGTGTGGTGGTGTATGTGTGTATGTGTGTCTGTGTGTATGTATGTATGTATGTATGTATGTATGTATGTATGTATGTATGTATGTATGTATGTATGTATGTATGTATGTATGTATGTATGTATGTATGTATGTATGTGTGTGTGTGTGTGTGTGTGTGTGTGTGTGTGTGTGTGTGTGTGTGTGTGTGTGTGTGTGTGTGTGTGTGTGTGTGTGTGTGTGTGTGTGTGTGTGTGTGTGTGTGTGTGTGTGTGTGTGTGTATGTGTGTGTGTGTGTGTGTGTGTGTGTGTGTGTGTGTGTGTGTGTGTGTGTGTGTGTGTGTGTGTGTATGCGTGTGTATGTGTGTATGTGTGTGTATGTGTGTGTGTGTTGTGTGTGTGTGTGTATGTGTGTGTGTGTGTGTGTATGTGTGTATGTGTGTGTGTGTGTGGGTGTGTGTGTGGGTGTGGGTGTGGGTGTGTGCGTGCGTGCGTGCGTGCGTGCGTGCGTGCGTGCGTGCGTGCGTGCGTGCGTGCGTGCGTGCGTGCGTGCGTGCGTGCGTGCGTGCGTGCGTGCGTGGGTGCGTGCGTGGGTGGGTGGGTGGGTGGGTGGGTGGGTGGGTGGGTGGGTGGGTGGGTGGGTGGGTGGGTGGGTGGGTGGGTGGGTGGGTGGGTGGGTGGGTGTGTCTGCGTCTGTGTGCGAGTGTGTCCGTGTGGGAAAAGGTAGGCGCTCTAGTGGTGAAAGTTACGCGTTGTTGCGGGTCTTTAAGCTTCTGCATCGAGAATGGACGAATAGCTTTACAGAGCAACCGCTGACCTGATAACCGGAGGGCTTTCTGCGGGGCTTCCGCGAAGTTGAGGCTGCTGCACGATAGTGCAATTTGCGTCGTTTCTGTTCCATGCTAACCGCTGAACCTGGCTATGCTCACTCAGCCTCACCCTTTTGTGGTTCTTGAAGATGAGTTTCTGAGTTTCCCTAGGCCTGCTGCGGAGCTTCCGCAGAGGAAACTGCTTGAACAACTTCCGCGGGGCTTCCGCACTTGCGCTTTGCCACATGTTGTTCCGGGAAACGTCACCATCCCTGGCGAAACACGACCGTCTTTGAAGTGAGGAATTAGAACTCACAGGCATTTGCTCCACCAGCCAGTGTTGAGCCACATTTGGCCCCTCCCATGACAATGAAACCCTCAGTGTAAACACTGCAATTAAGCTTCTGACAACCCCAACCGGCACCAAGTGGGCCAGAACAAATATGAATGCACTTCAATTTCTTGCCGGACTCTCCCCATAAAGTTGCGTGACACTTGCAACATTTCGCATCAGCCCTGCTTTCCACCCGATGGTCTGCCCAGGTCAGTCTCCGCCTCCGCCACCTTTCCGAGGTACGCATGTAGCTCGTAGCCAAGTGTAAAGCCAGCTGCCTGCCGAAACTTGAGCTCAACTCGGGCATGATGTTAACCCCGGATTAAGCAGAACCCCTGGTTGATTAATAGGGGGGTGTCCCCTTTTGGTGGGGATTCAGACCACTTTTGGAGGGAACACCCCCCTAATAATGGAGTTGATTAATCCTGGGTCAACATTATGATCCACTTGCCACTGAACACAAGTCGCCCCCAGAAACTCTTTGCGCAGGAAAAAACAAAACCTGGAAGTGGCAGGGCCACGGGCCGACTTTGGTTGAAACACCTCGCCGGCCTCATTGCCATACTCCATGGCTTGACGTGCGTACCTGCTTGAAGCACAGAGCGTGACGATTGCCACCATCCGCCAAACCATCAATCAACGAGTTGACTTAGGTCACTTGGATTTGTCAAACGGATCCGTCCACTCAAATTGGATCTTAGGACATGGGGTGTGCAAGATCTAGGCTCACTCTCGGATCTCGCCGGCTTCTCCATCGGTTGACCTTGTGGCATATGCGCTGTGGCCACAAGGAAAATTGTAAGTCTCGAGACATATCTCTTCAATGATGATATGTTTCGTGTGCCACCATCGCATCAAAGCTCCCCAAACAGGAACCCGTAAATATGATCATCTAGAACCATTCACAAGCTGGACCCAGCTTAAGTTATAGATGTGTCGCAACGAATACAACCACAAGGAACCGATCATTGATACAACGTGCATACAATATCACTCGGCGGATTCCCCAAGAATCCTCGAGTCTGTTGCCTTGCTCCATGATGCTCATTGAAGCAACATACACACGGGCATCTCTTCGCATCTCCTCTGAGCATGTTTGCTTGTTTTGAAGGAGTTCTCTCATACCTGGTGGTGGGAGGTCATGAGCAGCCAAGACGTGCTCCTGGATGATGTTTTAAAGTAAGGATTCAACCAGCTTAAGCTGGCTTTCTAGGTTGGTTGTTTCGGATCAAGTGAGAATGAGGGAGGAAGAGAGAGAGCGACAGAGAGGGAGAGAGAGAGAGAGAGAGCGCGAGAGAGAGGGAGGGTCCCAAAACAAGAATGGAAGAGTGGTCGGTAAAGTCGCTAGTGTAGTATTGGCTTCAAATTGGGCTGTTCCAGTTTAGTTCTTTGGAAATCCTTTTGTATCGACTAGGGGGGACCTCTATTTCTAGGGGGAATGGATTGAGACTTCTACGGGCACTCAGCAGAGCATGGCAACTCCAGCAGCTCGCCCTTCGGGCACTCCGGGCGCCAGGCAGCAAAGCTCGCGCAGCGCAGCGCAGTGCCACAGCCTCAAGACACCGGAGAGAGGAGCGGACTCAGGGTTCCACTTGACTACCCCAAGTTACACTGAAACCCAGGGGTTTCTCTTTGGGAATGAGTCACCCCTCCTGGGCTTAAGTCCACCCTGAGATAGTCAAAAAGTCGAACCCTGGGTGGACGATCTCTTGCTATGAGACGACTTAGTGGCCCTGAGCCCCTGAGCCGAGCTCCATTCACTTCACCGGGAAAGACATACAACTCTGTTGTTGGCGCCTTGAACACCGTATCAAGTCAGTAACTCAGTGCCCTGAGGCCGGCGACATCTTCAGGCTTTCGTCGAAGAGTCGCTTTGGCACTACTCAACACCTGTGCCACTCTATCTCTCCCTCTCTCTCTCTCTCTCCCTGCCTCTCCTGCTCTCTCTCTCTCTCTCTCTCCCTGCCTCTCCTGCTCTCTTTCTACAATGCCGCCCAGCTTGGTTGAGCAGGAGCAAAAGGCAACAACTTCTAGTCGTACGTGCTTTGTGCAAACTGCAAGACCTGTCTTTTTCGGGATATCACCGTTCATGCTCAAATTCGTGACACTATAATCCAGGACATTCAATATGTGTGGTTGTGCATTTTGTTTGAACGATTCATTGTTGAATGTTGTTTATTGCAATCACACACACACACAAACACACAAACACACAAACACACAAACACACAAACACACAAACACACAAACACACAAACACACAAACACACATCACAAACACACAAACACACAAACACACACAAACACACAAACAAACACACAAACAAACACACAAACAACCACACAAACAAACAACCACACAAACAAACAACCACACAAACAAACAAACACACAAACAACACAAACACACAACACACACACACACACACACACACACACACACACACACACACACACACACACACACACACACACACACACACACACACACACACACACACACACACACACACACACACACACACACACACACACACACACACACACACACACACACACACACACACACACACACACACACACAACACACACACACACACACACACACACACACACACACACACACACACACACACACACACACACACACACACACACACACACACACACACACACACACACACACACACACACACACACACACACACACACAAACACGCCGTAACATAGGGCCGCAACGTGACATGCCCCAGCTGCCAGCACCCAGCCTCTCTCCACTGCTGCTCTGCTGAGCCGCTAGCTAAGCCTCTCTGCTTTTGGCGCCCGCAAACACCCGCATTTTGCCCAATGCCTTCCTGCTTTTGGCTGAAAAAACAACCTGCAGGCCTCGGGGGCTGTAGTTGGAGGCAGCGCAACTCACAGCGTGAGCTGGCAACCACACATGGAATTTGGGTTGTTTCTGCCTGAAACTGCCTGAAATCCAAACCCGTTGCGACGTCCCCTGTTAAGAGCCAAGCTGCAAAAACGGCTTCAGCAACTTTTCCCGTTCAGTGGGCAATATCACGCTTTTAGCGGTTTTCCCCAATGGTCATCCCATACAAAGGACCCTTTTGATCAACCCCCATCCACAAATTTGCAAAACCCATGCCCTGCCTGCGCCGGCACGCTCGGCACGACGCAGCAGGCGCTCCAGGTCCTCCTCTCCTGGCCCAAACTGTTGTCGAAAGCATCATCTTAAAAAACTTGATATGCATTCTTCAGATCATGATGATGATGATGATGATGATGATGATGATGATGATGATGACAATGACGATGATGATGACGATGACGACGATGATGACGATGACGACGATGACGATGTTGATGTTGACAATGACGATGAGGATAAGGACCAGGAGATGATGATGATGATGATGAGGATGATGTTGATGATGACGATGAGGATGATGAGGATGATGATGACGATGATGATGACGATGACGATGACTATGACGATGAGGATGATGATGATAATGATGACGACGATGATGGATGATGATGCATGCTGATGCTTATGCTGATGCTTATGCTGATGCTGATGCTGCTGCTGATGATGATGATGACGATGACGATAACGCTGACGATAACGATGACGACGATGATGATGATGAGGATGACGATGCTGATGACGACGATGATGATGATGAGGATGACGATGCTGATGATGACGATGATGATGATGATGATGATGATGATGATGATGATGACCACGATGTGTTTTCTTTCTTTCTTTAAAGATGATGATGATGATGCTGCTGATGATGATGAGGAGGAGGAGGAGGAGGACGATGGAGATGAAGTTGAAAATCGATGAGGATGACGACGATGGCAATGATGATGATGATGACGAGGACGATGGTCATGGTGGTGGTGGTGGTGGCCCAGCTATCCAGCCACCCACCCGCCAGACACACACACACACACACCCACCTGATTGGGTGGCAGTTGGGAGTTTCTGGGGGTTGGTTAAGTGAGTTTTGGTCTCGTTTCGGATCAGTTTCCTCAAAACCACCAAAACTCGTCCAAAACCAACCCAAACCCTCTTCAAAGTCAACCCCAAAACCCGCCCAACAGCAGCCTGGATGTCAGCCCTTCGCTTCGCCTAAATCAACCCCAAACCACCCCAAGACCCACCCTCATGAAGATCTAAGCCAGCCAAAAGCCTCCCCGAGCCTCCCTAACTTAAACCAGCCCCCAGCAACTCCTAACTGCCAACCAATCAGAGCCAATAGACGGCCCCAAGGCCAAGTGAGGCTGGTGATGCCGGGGATGCGGCCAGCCAGCCAGCCAGCCAGCCCACCAACCAACCAACCAGGGGACCAGCCCTAGTAAAAAAACCGGATCCCCACACACATACACACACACACACAAACAAAAAAACGCACGCACCGGCACAGGCCAAAGCACATGTAGGCACAAGAGCGCAAGCGCGCACACACACAAGCAAACAAACAAACAAACAAACAAACAAACAAACAAGCAAGCAAGCAAGCAAGCAAGCAAGCCAAGCAAGCAAGCAAGCAAGCAAGCAAGCAAGCAAGCAAGCAAGCAAGCAAGCAAGCAAGCAAAAAAGAAAGTAAGAAAGAAAGCAAACAAACATGCCATGACATGGCTGGCTTGCATACTTACACCCACAGAAGAACTCACACACTCACATTGATGGTTGGAACTAAGTTGGAACCATCGTCAAATACAGAAGCAAACATTCTGTCTCAAATAACAAGAAACACCGTGATACCTCTGATGATATCATTGTTGAGCATCAACTTACATGATGCGTCTGCCAGCCTCCGAACCCCAAGCCCCTTTCCTATTTGATGCCACTAGCAGCGCAGTCTGAAACAGTTCTGGCCCAAACTTCGGGGACCCTAACCATAAAGGCCCCCCCAAAAGTTTTGTCCCTGAGGAGGGGGAGGTTTACTAGGGAGAAGGATTATAGGTTGACAAACTGATGCCCCCTCCTGGGACCCCAGGCATTACAAGGGACACCGGCGACCGATACGAAGGCTTCAGCTACACCTGCTGGGACGCCCTTGCAGGTGCAAGATGCGCCGGGCGGTTGCGAACGTGTGTCGAGCCCAGGCAGTTGCTGTCGTCAGGAGTTGACGTGACATTTGTCAACTGCAATTCACATGAAAGCGCCTTGATCATACATGCGCCTCTGGCATAGTTTGCGGTTCATTGTTTTTCTGAACATGATTGAACCATCTCTAACAAACAGGTGCCGCAGGCACTGTGCACCCGGCAAGCGCACCATCCCAACCCACCCCAACCAAAAGATGTCCGCGCAGCCTGGATTGGTGGCAGTGTCATTGGTCCTGCAAGCAGTGACTGATTGCAACAAAAGCCTTCGACTTGCCGCCCATTCACTTCACGAAACGGAAGCGTGCCGCCAAAGCACGCCAATGCATCCGGCACTGGCAGTTTTTAACGTGTCCGCCATGCTCACACGTGTCCACAACTCTCGCTGAGTTGTCCTAAACCCTGCCACCGCGTCCATCGAAGGCCCGTAAGCAACCAGCAGTTCTTGCACCGCAACAAAGTCAACATAAATCAAACCAAGGTACTTGGTGAATTCAGCGAACTGTGGCACCGGACCCGAGTTTTGCATCCAGGTTCAGCACCTATCTTCCACGCCAGTTGATGCGGGTACAGGCGTGGCGTGAAACTGGGACTGGCGCAGCCCCATGCGCCAGTTCCCAAGCTCTTGGCATTCCCCATGTGAAGCGATCATGCTACCTGTTGGCACAGGGGTCCCATGATGTGACACCAGGCGCTCATCGAAAAGCTGGCGGGTTGCTGTACAGATTGTTGGCATAGTGGCTGCCTGAGGTGCGTGGAACTCGAGGTGCGACGCCCCAGTTCTTGAGTGAGTCACAAAATCAACTGAACACTCGGCCGAGTCACAATCAAACCCCGGTATTCAAATGCTGCCCAGAAAAAAAAAGGACAACCAAATAACCCAGCCGGATTTCCGCACCCATTTGGCCATGGGTCAAAATCCCGTACCCCCAGTGAACATCCCAATCCCCACTAAAATAGGTCCTAAATGGGTGGTGACCTACCCCAAAATGGGATCCCATTGGTTTTGACCCACAGCCATTTGAGTCACAATCAAAACCTGGTACAAAAATGGCTGAACCAGAACCATGTAAAGAACTAAGAAGGCGGCCGCAACTATTTCCGGCTGGGACTGCCCCTTACCTTCATCTACCCGAATCGGTTTTGATTGTGGCTCATTTGGCCACCAGGAATCGGACAGGTTTTAGTCCATGTTTCCATTTACCAGCAGAACCCATTTTGGGGTTACCGTCTTTTTGACCACAGCCATTGGCCGGGAGTGTCCCGCATGGGTTTTGAGCCAGGCGCCGCAGGCGCCGCCCGGCGGGGGCCCAGTGGAAGCCGCTGAGCCCGCAAAGTTGCCTCGCGCGAGCCGGGGGCGGGCGACGAAGCTATGGCTCCATTTGGCTAGTGTCAAAAATCGGGTAACCCCCAACATGGCTTGCCCTGGCAAGTGGAAACATTCACCAAGACCTGTGGTCCCCTGGTGATTTAAGTTTGACCCACACCCAGTTTGGGGCGGATGAACACCCATGTTAGGTGGTATGACGTTCACCAGGGGTACAGGGTTTTGACCCACAGTGGGCGTGATCTTCGTGGGAGTTGGTACCCCTGTTCGGCTTCGGGCTTGGGGAAACCAACAGGAAACCTTGGGCAAGCCGTTTTTGGGGGGTCCCCGAAAAAAGAAAGCAAAGCACCACGAGTTGGCTATGGCTCAAAAAACCGGTAAATGGAAACATGGACCAAAACCTGCGGTCTGCCCCCCTGTTTAATTTTGAGCCACACCCAGTTCCGAAGCACGAACCCTGACCTCTCAGCACCCCCGTTGAATAAAAAACGAGCCTTGGAAAGGAGAGGTGGCCGCAGCTTGAGGTGCGCCTGGGAAAAGTCAACGCTCCAAGCTGCTCGCCGTGTGAATTTGTGCAGTCAAAAGCCGCCCCACTACCATAGGTGTCCTTTTGGGGGAAATAGATGGCCCTGGTAGATGATTGAACCACCAGGTAAACCAGCCCCTTCTATTGTTTAAGCAACACAACCAAAAAGGACACCTATGCGCCCCACTACGCTTGATGCAAATCGCCTGGAACTCCGCCGTAGCCCATCTGCATTGGCTGCTGCTGATGCATGGGTGGCTGTTGCTGTTGCATCGCTTGCTGCTGATGCATGGCCTGCTGCTGCATCGTCGGCTGCTGGTGCAGTTGCTGCTGCTGATGCATTGGTGGCTGTTGCTGTTGCATCGCTTGCTGCTGATGCATGGCCTGCTGCTGCATCTGCTGCTGTTGTTGCTGCTGATGCATTGGCGACTGCTGCTGCTGCATCGGCGGCTGTTGCTGCTGCATCGGCGGCTGTTGCTGCTGCTGGTATTGCTGATGAAACTGCTGCTGGGGCATCTGCTGTTGAAACTGCTGCTGAGGCATCTGCTGGAACTGCTGTGGCGCGTTCTGAAATTGCGGCGCTTGCCGAAGCTGCTGGGGCATGCTCTGCTGAGGCTGGGCCTGCATCTGGCTCATCTGTCCAGGACCTGCAGGATGCAACGGACCACAAGCAAACGCATCTTCCTTCCACCAAAGCTGCCATCAAAAAAATGGCATATTGATCAGTCATGACCAAGTGTCTATTCAAAACACCAACCTTGCACGGAGCCTGTGCTCTTCCGTTCTATTCATAGAACACGTGCCCCGCCTGGGAACCTTGCTGCAGGTGCCTGGCCCGAAAGCTTCATCTGTTTCAACGTCTGAGCCAAACAGTTCACTGAGAACCGCTGAAAGAAAAGCCTATGAGCCCAGGAAGAGTAGAAAAGTAGGCCCCGACATGGCGTCAGCATCTCTGGATACCTTCGCTGACTGTACCCTGCCTGCGTCGAAGCTGCCGGTTGAGTAGCTCTTCCTGTCATGCAGCGGCCCAGCACGCTTGTTGCGTCTGAAATGCATATTTCGTGTTTTCACAAACGCCGCCAATTTCTGGCTGCAAACGAATTCGACAGGACATGCCTGTCTTGAAGCCTCCCAACACGTGTCCTGCACCGGGCGGCGGCTTGACAAGCTTCCCCGTGAGGCTGAGGTGGACGTGCACCACCTGTTCTGGAAAGCACAGGGAAGCGCAGGCTTGTGCGCATGATTCAAGGGTGAGCCGAAATCAGAAAATGCACGGCTTGTCCGCCAGCCTCAATGGCATGGTATGCAATCTCGTTGGCATCCTCGATCTTTGCGGCGCGGTGGGCGGTGATCCTATCCTGCAAGCAGCACATCACAAGCAAAAGCTAAAGCACAACCACAAAAAGATTGGCTATGTCGGCCGACAATCCGAGCACGGCTTCCTCATCCAAACCAACTAACAATGTCCACAAGTAGCGGATTTTCAAGTAACGGTGTCGCGGTGGTTTTGGCCACGGTCACAAGCATATCAACGTTCTGGCCTCTCCCTCCCACTGTCTCAGGTGCCCGAATAAACCTCGTGCGGTCAATTCGGACATGCTGCGTCAAACCTGAATGCGGATGCAGTCAAGCAACGGATGTAATCACCTGCTTGAAAGTCTGGACCGTTGGATACCTCATGGACAACAAAGCAAGCCATCAGGAACTTCTTGGGCGTCGTTTTGGAGGGTACCCCCCTTTTTGCTGGATTGTAAAGAGAAACCAAAAGAGGAAACAGCTACCATTTTGGGGCAGGCATGTGTCTCAGAAAATATCCGAGAAAGGCTTCTCACCTCTTTGGTTGGCTTGCAATGCCGGGCTTCGTTGGCCAGCCATCAATCCAGCAATTTGCCCAGCCACCAAATAAAGGGTAGCTGAAATTATGATTCTCCTTCCCAAACACGTGAAGCCATCTGAAGCCCAACCACACAACGACAAAGGTCCAAACGGTTCAATGCCACATCGAAAATCTGACTCAAACACATCTGTAGCCACATTCAACGCGGCGACCGTTGAAAGACACGAAGGCTGACACCAACTTCGGCGTCAAACGCTTAAAGCAATCAGCGAGTTGCAGAGCTGGTGTCCGCATACATGTGGCAGTCAATCTTCCCAGTTCCATCCTCAGCGATTTCGGGTAAGTGTAGTCACAGTCTCCGACTGTATTGGGACAAGAAACGCCACGCAGCATGAAAAGCAAAACACAAAAATCGGTGAAACTCACCTTGAAATGAGCTTATGATCTTGGATGTAGCTTCCATACAAGTAGACCCTCAAAAGGCGTCGCCGCGCAATCCTACGGCCACAGCGCAGGCTTCCTGAGTCCGACACGTTCAGCGAAATGTTCATGCCCATCTGCTGCATCTGAATACCATCCACCTGGGCAATGACAAACCATTTGCATAGGGGGCCTACGTGGTCTACATAATTAAAACAAATCAATCTAATCATCCATCAATGGCGCGTGATGAGGATGGGGATGATCAGGATGAGGATAAGGATAAGGATAAGGATGAGGATAGGAGAGGAGGAGAAGGAAAAGGAGGAACTGGGGTGCACTCGCCTCGGCCCTTCCGCAGCCAAAATCCCTTCTCCAGCGGCCTCCAGTCCGCCTGAAGCAAGCCTGGAAGGCCCAGGGCGGCAAATCCCTTCGAGAAAAGAGATCTTGCCCCTAAAGCCAGTCATCTAGAAAGTGATCAAATCCCCTCGCAGAAACCATCAAATCACCCCTAGAAGCCGGTCCCCAACCCTCTGGAATCCGGTCGAATTCCCAGTCTCAAAGCCGGCCCAACTCCGGCCAACATCCCTTTAAAACCGGTCAAATTCCCTTCCAGAAACCTATCCAATCCCCCGTAAAAAGCCGTAGAAGCCGAGCAACCTGTCAAATCGATTTAAATCGCCTCTTCAACAGGTCCAACTCCAGCCAAATCCTTCCAGAAACCGGCAAAATTCTCAGTCAAGCTCACCTTTGCTTGGCCCAAGCTCACTGCCGTTCTGTAGCTCTCTGCAGCTCTCGTTCTCGCCCTGAAGCCATGTGGAAACACACAGACATGCACCCAGCCTCTATCTTGGAAACGCACACACAAGACTTCAAGGCAAACTAAAGCACGGTGTATACCTCAAAGCCAGCCAAAAGCGGACTGGCCGGGGCGGGCAACGCGAAGCGTTTACAATTTTTGGATGCCGAGGATGAGGATGAGGATAAGGATGAGACGAGGATGGGGATGAGGATAACAAGCATGATGAGGATGAGATGAGGATGGGGATGAGGATGATGAGGATGAAGAGGATGAAGAAAATGAAGAGGATGAAGAGGATGATGATGATGATGATGATGATGATGA